TTATAGTACAAACACAATGACTCACAGTTATGTAGACTTCCCAGTCTCCTCATGTTTGTTCTGTTGACAGATTTGACACAATTGACATTTCCTGTATATTTTTATTTATGTTCAGTGATACAATATCGTTAGATTTTGTTTTTTTTCTAGTTCTTATTTTTATTTCATACCTACTTTAAGCTTACTTTAAATTCATTATAATGACCATGGTAAATTGAAGGAAGACTGCTTTTTACATCTTACAAAGACATCTCCAGGGTAAACCTGCTCAGCACAATCACTGCTCTCCAGTGGCAGACCCAGACTGTTTGAGGGACAGAAGCAAAAAAATAAAAATAAAAAGGAGTGCCAAAAGTTGTGATGCATTTATGGTGAAACAGCTAAGTCAGGGTTAGGATAAGCACCATAGAGGGTCCTTTATCATGTTTTATCTACCAAAGGGGCATCCAAGAGGGTACTTTTACAGCATTTTGTTGAACATTGAGTTACAATACAATACATGAATAGAAATGACAGAACAGAACTTACAATCCCCCTTGTCTTATCCACAGCTGATATAGGTAAACCTGACTTCAAGCTGGAGGTCAGCGAAGACAAAAAGAATACCACCCTGTATGTGACTGACCCACTCACCGCCCTGTTTAATGATGGCCACCAGCTGACCATCAGGGATATCTTCTCAAGCCAGCTTGAGTATAAGGTCACCTATCGGAAAAACCGGAGCACCGGCAAGGTGAGTGACAGCAGACATCACAACAGCAGCGTCAAACACGCACACCAACAAGACCATATGGACAACGTTTTCCCTCTGTGCTGTCTGCAGAAAGTGTACAACTCCAAGACCAGCACGATAGAGCTGACCAACCTGGACCGAGGGGAGAGCTACTGCTTCAACGTACAGGCCTACATCCCCAGCCGCAATCCCGACAAGCAGCTGGGAGAGCTGAGCCTCACTAAGTGCTCCGAAAACGACAAGCCCTTCTTTGAAGGTGAGGTGGCCTGATTCTAAAGCCGGAATTATACTTTATTACACGAGGGTTCGAGTGACACAAATTGCATCATCAGAGGGTGTGTGGTGAGAAATGTTTAAGGGGAGACACTACAGATGAATGGCGTAAAAGATTTAACAAATAGATATCACTTTGGCTTTTGAGCACAAAGACTGATTTTTAGAAATCTAACAGCACCCTCATGTGGAAGCAATGAGCAATGACATATGTGGGTAGGTGGCATATTTCTGTCCAGGGTGGTAATCATTGATTCAGTGGGGAAAAAAACACTCTGGACACATGCATGTTAAGCTCCCAATCACCTCAGCCTTTCCATACAGACACACAGTGACTGGTGGAGGATGACTCAGGTTTTTTTGTTTGGATTATAAGAAATGCAACTCAGCAACACTCCCTCTGAGTGGGATGTGTGTGTGACTCCTTAATGCCTTTACTATAAATAGTAGACAGATATGATTTTCTATGTGTTGTCTACACTGTCTGTCGAGAGGGCAGCTAAATAATGCTCCAAAGTTACACGCCCGCTTCATGCTAATCCCATACAGTTTTTTGCATGGATTTTCATCTAGTGTAATTGAATATATTTCTGCATACTGGCGTCCAACAGTATTGAAATTGCATAATTTGGCTGGAAAAGCTGAGACTCTTGTGGATTCAATGAGCCCAACTGTATTCATATATGATGATGTCAGTCCACATAGTAGCCATTTCATTGGAGTGAGACCACTGTATAAAATGAGCTATTGTGACTCATAGGAAATCACAGCCTCATGAAACTGTACAAGCGTAAACTAGAGACTGAGATCCTCCAGAGGATGGATGGATTTCCTAGGTATATTGATGCCACTGATTTCTCAAATTTTTTAGTTGTACAGTCGCCTTTGAGATTGAAAGAAAGTTCACCTGAACAAGTTCACTAGCGTCACCCAGGGGCTGGAGGCCCCCCCACTTTGAAACTCATTCTGGCCCCACTGACTGAGAATGGTGTTCATTCTGTGCAAGAGTTTTGTTTTGTGGGATGTGATGAATATTGCAGCCTATAGGGGTGCATTGTGGGGACTTTTGTTTCATTTTGTATTTCATATACAAATCACATATTTTGTCAGGTTTTTCCTTTAACTATGCTACATCCTAATTTACAGAAAGTACAATGGTACCACTTTATTTGTGGTCAACCCACAGATGTAGAGTATTTCTAATATTTCATCAGCTTATTAGTTAAGACTTCAATCACCGTTAGTTTTTTTGATAGTATTACATTTTTAAAAATATTATGGATTTAATATTTCAGAGATTCCTTCATGTACCATGAGAGGCAGCTCACGTACCATACTTTGAGAACTGGTGCTTTAGATAATCTGTTAAACATCGAAAAACAGTTGAGGTTTAGATAATCTGTCAAAACATCGGAAAACATTTGAGGTTTCCAAATAATTTGGTTTTTTGCACCGAGATCAAAGAAGTCTTTTAATGTAATGGGGTCTTCCTATGTCTGCAGGGTTTTCAGTGGGTTCGATCGCTGCTGCCATCTTTTTCATCCTGCTGATGATCGGCCTAATCATTGCTGTCACAGTGGTGTGCTGCAGGCGCGTGAAGAAAGCTCAGAGAAGAGGAAAACAAGTGCCACTCCAGGATGCATAGAGACACCTGCATTAGTGTGGGAACATGCGGTACAACTGAACTGAGCCTGTGTCAGATTTAGTTCAACATTCCACTGTCAGACACTGGAATCAATCCTTCCTTTGGCTTCTGTGAAACTGCCTCTGAATGTGTCAGATATATTCTTCCTTTATCATTTTAAGCTGCAGAAAAAGAGACTATCACTGTTTGAACACTCCTGCTGTACTTTAGTCATATTGCTGAAGCTGTAATATTTCTTGTCTTTTATATTTGGGGAGTGGTACCTCTGATAATAGATAAACACTAGCAACGGATTTTATTTATTTCATTTTATAGTGTACTTTCTAACTTGAAATGTTGTCATGATGAGGGTTTGATACACAACACTTTATGGGAAATCATCATCACCTAGAATATATTATTTTTGTATCCAATGCTTAATTTATTGTTTAATTGTTTAGATGAAATTAACACATTTGTATATGATGGTATTTTTAGCTGTTTTATATTTTAGATTGCAGATCATTTTATTATGTGGTGAAATGTTGAAGAATAAATATTTTACAGAACACGGACAATATTTATTATTTCAAAATTAATTTTTAGAAATCATACTAATGTTTTAAAGAAAACTATTTTTTGGTTTGGAATTTTGGTAACCAGTGTCATCACAAAATTGTTAACAAATCAATATATTGGTAAATATCTGTACTTTATTTAAGCTGCGGTTGGTAACTTTTACAGACAGATAATCTGTGAAAAAATCAGGTTCCTTTGGCTCCTCATTTGCAAGAATCCACTGGGACTGAATGAAAACAACCAATCAGAGGCGAGAAAGACAGTTTAATGTTGAGTCTCATTCCCAGGTTGTCAAATAAAGATGGTTTGTTATCTTCAAGAAAGAGGCTTTGGGTTGGTCCTATCTCAGTCCAGTCCAGAAAAGCGTCAGTGACCAGAGATCATTATTGAACCACAACAGTGCCACTGGGCTCTAAACATTTTAGGAACCTGTGTTTCTTTGGGCCCTCTGCAGTCTCCTCAGTACTGTAATAAGTTAGTCCATAGTATGTTCAGCTGATATTCAACAGTGCTAGCCTACACCCAACTTCTGTTTCTATTTTGAAGTTATAAGAACAGCTTTGCTAAAGCAACACACCCATTAATTCCAGCTTGTTAGAGACATTAATAGTAAATGGACCTGTAGTTTTTCAATCGAACAGAAACTCATTCATGCACATTCACACACAGATGACACAGAATTGAGAGCAATTTGCGGTTCAGGAGCTTGCTCAAGGATACTTTCACATGGAGCAGGGAGGAGCCAGGGATCGTACCAACAACCTTCAGCTTAGTGGAAAACCCGCTCTACCTCTGAGCCACAGCCTTTTGTGCACTTGACACTGTTACTCTGTATGAATCTGCACAGCTTGATGCTAAGCTAACAGTTTCTTTCAATGACTGCTGATATCTTACATTCTCATTGAACTGTTGCTCAGAGGATCTTTGTCTCTTTCTGTCCTTTCACTTGTCACTCTGGTTGAACCACTTTTTCAGTTTTGTTCTTCATGTCCAAAACAGCCCTTCATACAAAATAACATCTGTTTGTTATTTTGTTTCGATTTCTACATGCATGAAAGACGGTTAAAAATATAGAATAGTCCTCAGACCACAAGCTTTTGTTGCAGGTGGAACTTTTGGCATTAGTGTAAATAAATCACTGTGCATGCTGTTATTTTCTGTGAGACTTGATCTGGGTCCTGTCTAAATGTTCTCCATTTATGATGATTTCCTTTGGCTAGATAATTATAAAAAAATGAAATTGTACTTCAAGAAGGGAGCATTTCCTGTGGGGCACTTTTTGTGCCAAGCTTGGGAGAGAAGGTTAAATATATTGTTTAAGACTGAGCCATATAAAAATCTATAATTTGTAATGGAATCTAATGTTTGATCACTGCAACTGTTTTTTCTGGTGGCTTGTAAACCTATGAGGGTTGGGCACCTTGTGTGCATGACAATAAAAAAAAAATTAAAAAAAAATCTAAATTATTTTTCATAATCTGACACTCAGGAAGCAGGAAATCAGTTAAGGGAACTTTGGATCTTAGTACCATTTTGTATCACATTTCAGTTTTGCCTCCTAAGGGAAAAAGTCTGGGCACCCCTGGTTTATATATTTGTGTATTTATGTACAGACTTTACAATACAGTTGGAATATAAACATCATTGCATCATATAATTAGAACAATAATAAATAAACTGAAACAATAATCTACCATCACCAAAAAGATCACTCCTTAACGTCAGTTTAAGACAATTGTTTTTGGCCATTGAACCATATCAATAATGACAGGGTGAAAAAACTTAAAAGCATTAAGTAGCAGTAGTCAAATAATAATATATATTATAAGACATTATTTATTGTCCTTTCCAGGAAATTTGTTGTTACAATTACATAACCTCACAAAAATACATACACAACATAACCATCCAAAAACAGCACATAATATTTACACATGATGGCTACCAAGGTGCTTTGTTGAGCATTGCTACGGCAGAAGGGACAAAAAACTCTTGCCATAGCGAGCCTGTTTCTAGGCCAGGGATCTGTATCTGCAGCTTGATGGAAGCAATGTGAAGAAGGGGTGAGGGGGGTGCCTGGAGTCTGGTGCAATATTGTGTGCTCTTTGTGTGATGGCTTTGTTGTTGAGGTCTGAGAGGTTGGGGGTGGGGAGACCAATTATTTTGGAGGTGCTGTGTGTGATACGTATGAGTTTGTTCCTATAGGAGGCAGTTATCATACTGAAGAAACTGAGGGAACAGGAGAGGAGAATGGGTTGGATCATGCTTTTAACAGAACATAACTGTAGACTGATGAGGAGCCTCAGACAGTGCGTGCTGGCAGCTCTGCTTGGTAGACACATTTCCCATCTGTCTGCATGAAACTGACCCTCATCTGATGCTCAGTGACCTGGAAGTAAACAAGTCCTCCCACTGTGTGATTGACAGGACTGGAGTAGAGCTGCCACAACAGAGGGAAACTGTCCCTGTGACTGGTTGCAGGGTCGCTGACACTCCCACTCCCGCTGACTACATATGAGCTCCCATCATCCTCTTTGATAAACTGTTAGAAGAGGAGACCAGTCATTAAGATTCATTGTCTGTGTTCCATGAAGGTACAAAATATTGTGACAGTCCATCACTCATCAGCAGCCGGGGACATTGTGGTTCAAACCCCTGAGCCAGGGAACCCCACATTTCCCATTATTGTTCCAAATGACGGACACGAAAATCATGTAAAATGCTGTACATACTGTGAAAATGACAATAAAAAGACTCTTTATTAGACTATCTTTATTTTTTTATCTTTATATTTTATCTTTAATATGTAACATTTCTGCATTAAAATGTATATAAACACTGGACAAATATTATATTATAATAGGTAAACAGGTTCGATAGAATTCAATATTTTTTAAATAATATTAACATGCAATGAGATGCACCTTAAATAAATGTGATTAGTGACATCTGAGATCATGTAAATAATGGACAGATAAGCAGACAGCTGGACCATTTAACTGCTGGACAGACACACACATTTCCCAACTGAATGTTTGGTACATACCTGCAGATTGTGATCATGGCCACACAGGTAGGCAGTGACTCTGTATTTCTTCAGTAGGGGCCTCAGTCTGTTGACCAGACAGGATGTTGGTCCATGATGGCCAATGGACCACACAGGATAATGACCAGCCACCAGAACGTAATCTGACCTGGGACAAGTCATACAATTTGTCAGTCTAATCCAGAGGAGCCAGCAGCACAAGCATAGGTGATCAGTTCAAACTGTAAAATGTATATTTTTCCATCTTTGGCGATTCTCTTTTTGATTGCCTTGCATGCATGTTTTACCTTGTGCAGTTACTTATCTGTACATTTTTATATGATTAAAGCTGGGAAACATCCCCCTAACTAAGGTGAAAAATGACACACCAAAACACATTGACTGTTAAATTAGACAAGAGCAGACTAATGCAGGAAGTTTATTCTGTTGTTATATTGTGCTTTTATTTTAAACCCACTAACCACTCTCTCTTTGAGGTCTACTTCCTGGGGGGCATGTTTTCATGGAGTGCAGAGACGAGAGTGTACAGTACTCAGCTGGTGGCAATTGGCTGCCAATCAACTCATCAGGCTGTACCAAGTAGTCAGGAGAAAAGAGAGGAGCGGGTTGAGGAGTTTGTTTAAGTTTAGGGCTTTTGGTAAGTATTTCCTTAGTTGCTTTATGCAGTTTGTTTAATCTGTATTAGTTTAAAGTCATGTGTATTTGGTTTATTTAAATATTATTCTGATTCAATTGCAAATATCTGTTAGATTTAAGTGGGAGAGTTTTTGTATCTTCACGGTAGTCGTGGGAATGATAACTTCCACAAGTATAAAAGTGGGTTGGAAAAGCAGGGTCAGGGTGTCTCAGAGAGAGGATGAAGGTTATTATCGCCCTGGCTGCTGGAACCTGCTACACTGGTGAAGCTGTTCTTGTCATGCTGTGTAATGTTTTGGTGATGAAGATTGTGGACTTTGTACAATCTGTGTTTAGACACCAGTAAATCAGAGCTCTGGACATAAACCTCTACCTGACTGATGCTGCTTATTCATACACTACACTTTACTCCTCAGTTCTGCTGGTTTTCATCCTGGTTGTAAGGGTCCTCAACCAACTAAACCTTACACATCTTCCAAATGATTGTGATTGCATAAATGAGCTTGATCTCTGTCTACACTGATACACTGGGAGCATCATTCACACTGCATCAAAAAATGTTCTACAAACTGTGGCTTTAAACAGACTTGATTTGTATATTTACCACTTATGATTCAAGTATGCATCCCAGATGCACTAAAACTCAGTTTGACATATTTGGGGTCTCCACTAGAACAGAAAATAACCACTTATCTGACTTTGTACTGACTGACCTGCCAGATATGTCAACGGTTAATTTGCATTTGCCAATGTGTTAACCTAACATGCAACCAATCAAGTTATTTCTGCTTCCACTTCATGTACAGATGGATGACATATTAAAGGAAAGAATAAGGATAAATGAACACAAAAACATATAGGACACAGAGGCTCAATCTGAAATGGAATTAATTTCATTGAAATGAAAACGGCGTTGCCAAAATGTGCACTGCAGGTTTCATTAAATTTCCCACCGTAATGTGTGCATTACATATCTGAAATCTAAGGCAGCAGCTCATTATGGCATTATATCCTGGACTGCAATTTAATTTTGCCCTCCATATACTGCTCTTTAAACTAACACATGACATTGAAATAATGAAGTGTTCTTTAAAACACCAAATGCAAATGAGGAAATATATTTTGAAAGAAAGCTGTTCATCCCTCCAGTCCTTACCTTTAAAACATTGTGGCTTACCTGCTGCTGGCCAGTTTAGACCTGATCCAGTTCCACTGATCCTCTGCTGCTCTGGGGTCCTCTGGTCCTGAAGGCTGGGGTTGGTCGTAGGTGTTTCCACATAACACTACAGTGTCAATCATCAGGACGCTCACTGATATGTTTGTGTGTGGGGCAGTAAATTGGAGGTCATAGTAGAGACCTGGGTAATTCCTACAGACACAGAACAGACACAATGATATACTGAACTACTAAAATACAGGAAGCAGACTGAAAAAGAATAGTCAGACTAAAAGTGAGTGTAGGAGGGTTTACTCTTTCCATTTCTGCCTAGATTAGAGATAAGAAGAGATATTCTATTGAAGCATGTTTGTAGTGTTTGATATTTACCATCGGTGGGACGTGTTAGAGTAAGCCATCTGAGCTGAGATATTGCCCATGTGGTCGTGGTTTCCAGCAATCAGATACCATGGGATATCCAGTAGAGAGGGCTGAGAGAAAACCCTTTCAAATGTGTGCTGTGGATGGGAAACCATTTATCATTCATCATTCTGTCATAGTAATTCACCTCTTATATACTTTAGTTCACCATAAATTGCCTACAATTGTCACTGAAGTTAAAAAATAATCCTCTTTTCCATCACAAACTGATGTTATATACAGTATGTCCTTGTTCCAGTACTTTAACAAAACTATATGGTGATTCAGAAAGACATGGTCCCTCACCAGCTTCCCCACCATGAGCACTGACATTAGTGTTCACTGGGGGCAAACCAGAAGCATCACTGGGGATTCTAAAATGTTGGATCTGATCGGAAACTCCAACTCCAAACCCCAACCTGACTATCAGAATTTAATAATCAAAAAAGAGAGATTGACATAAATTAATAATAAATACAGTTTAAGTAGTTACAATAAACTGCTCTATACAGTAGTTGAAGAAAAAAGTGTGGTAAAATAAATGAAAATATACAGATTTATGTCCTTGGTTCATGCCGTTTCATTTGATTGGTTGCTGTAGGTATCACTCAATGTCACCTTTTGGTAATTGGCCGTAGGTAAAAAGGGGGTGGGAGAAAAAAGCGACAAGAGAGACGGGAGACAGAAATGTAGAGCTAAAGTACAGTTGAAAATAATGACGTTATGGTACATAGCTTGCTGAATAACAGCAGAATCTGTAGCTGAGGACAGTAACGTGCATTTCTTGACTTGATCTTAGTCTGATAGAGAAATAGTGTTAAAGGGGTAAGAAATAGGAATTTTGTCAGAGACAGATTACTTAGATTTTGTGTAGTACTTTGATATTGCCAATTGCATTTAGTATATTTTCTGAGTGCCTATTTTTCTACAGTGATTTGCCCTTTCTGGTTATTCTGTTTAAAAGTTAGTATTTCAGCTATATTTAAAGGAGGTCTAATTTGGGTAATTGTGTTATTTCCTTTTTTTTTCTTTTTAACTAACAAAGTAAATATTATTTGTGTTACACTGCAAAAAGCTGTTAAAATATTATTTCATTTATTTGAAAGAGTTGTCTGGGATCAGTTATTTAAAATAGTATAGAGCACTTGTGAATAGAGCCACTGCTAAGTCTAACAGTTTTGTTGTTTATTCAAAAGGTATTTAGGCTATAAAAAGTTTCAAACAAAACAGGTAAACCTTTGTGGTAGCTACCATAATAAATCGAACCCAAACACCCCACGTTCCTTTAACTTACTCATCCAAACAAAGATGATAGCAGGTTGCTAACTGGATTAGAAATTAGGAAACAGGGTCACAACGTGGTAAATTAGTAAGAAAATCTTGGTACAAATCATAAACTTAGGTAATGCTTGACCAATGCATGACTCATGATGATTGAATGCATGAATTAATGCAGTACTTATCATCACTTCCTGTTGCTCAGCACTATCTCACTGTGACTTTTTGTGATTAGTTCACACTTCATAGATCAATAGATAATTAATATGCAGCCAGGTTTATAAAAAATAATAATAATGATTATGTTTATGTTAATTGTTATGTTCTGACCACATTTTAGACTAAGTGAAACAACTTACTGATTTCTAATGCCACCTTTAGATATTTCTATTCAATGCTTTACTAATGTGCCAAAACAATGTTTTTAAGTTCAAATATCTTATATCAAATATTGATTGACATTGTCCATCGAGGTCAAGGAACGGTGTTTAGGAAAGGACATAGGACCCTGATATTTTGGACTATTGGACTGCAGCCCAGGACTGAAACATACAAATAAACATTGCTAATAGAGAAAGAAATGCCCTTCATGCAAAGTCTGCTGCTGCAAAGGAAGTTGAGATTTACCTGTGACCTGACATGAGACTCGTACATCAAAAATTACATCTTACTCTCCCAGTGTTTGCTCTGTGAGCTGACCTTAAAGCGGGGGTCTTCCACATTCTTGACCCCACTGAAGTAGAAGTGATCTCCCAGGCTGAGGACAAAGTCCACCCCCTCCGTCCGAGCCAGCCGGTCCACCTCTGTGGCAACGGCCTCCTCATGAGAAGTGTAGTATGGAGGGAAAGGAACGCCGCCCCAGTCCGCAAGCCCCACAAAACGCAGAGCAGCTGTTGGGGACCACAACACTCTGTCACAGGTACATTTTTAGTGTTAGTGAGGTTGTAATAGACATGTGTGACGTGTGAATTTTTCATTCGTTAAAGCTGCAGTAGGTAACGTATTTGCTGAAACTTTCATTATATCATGACAGTAGTACATGGGACAGATAATGTAAAAAAAAATCATTCCCAGGTCATCAAATATCGATGCTGGGACAATCAACTATCTTCAAGCCACCGACCCAAAGCGTCTTCTTGGCTCTGATTGGTTGTTTTCGTTCAGGCAGGTGGATTGTTGCCAATGCCATGAGAAGCATTAGGAGGAGCCAGAGGAACCAGATTTTTTTTCACGGATAATCTCATGTAGTTTCATGTATCATACATAGTGACAGTTTCAGCAAATATGACAAAAAGTTATTTTTATAAAAGTTACCCACTGCAGCTTTAAACAGCCAAAAGTAGTGGTGAGTATAGCTGGACCAGCTGAGTTTGTTTGCTCTGGGTGGTCACTGAACAGAACAGTCTGGCAGCTCACAGTGAAACAATGTACTTTGAACAGGAGAAAGACAAAGAGAACAGACTCTTTGTCTTTCTCCATATGCTGTCCTTTGTCACACATGGAGAACAAAACAATTACATTAAACAAGACAATCTACGATCACATGACTCATCAGGTGCTGATGTAGATCCACAGCTCAGGTTAACCTGTCTCCTGTGTCACCAGCATACTGCAGGTCAGTACCTTGTTCCAGAGTTTGAAGCAGGTGCCAGCAGCTTTGGAAGCAGAGCACCAACAGCACACACTTCAGTCTGTCCATAACTCTTGAGTGTGATTCACCACCTTGTTCGTTTTCACACCGTTTAAAAGTGAAAAAAACTCTTCTGCAGCAGCGCTGTGACTTCCTGTATCTGCCCGGGCGAGAAAAACAGGATATCAGCTGATCAACCTGAGTTACTCATTGCACTAGTCATAGCAGGTGGGACAATAGAAAGGTCTGAAGGTACAGATGACAGACTGCTCTCTCCGTTGAGCACTACATAAAGGCATAAAGGCTGTACAGCTAGGTCCTTCATCATCTGTCGCTGATTCTGAATTTATTACATTTGATTGAATTTTATTCTATCAGTTGGAAATCTGAATCAAGATTATTTTATCGTTAAATTTTAGTAGTAGAAGTCTTAGGTTTTGGCTCCTCAACAAAAAAAAAGGGGGGTGCAAGGTGTTTTGTGTGTACAAATGTGCATGTAGTTATTTGCTACACTTCCAAATCAAGTAATATACCGTGAACTTATTTAATATTTCCAACAGCACATGCAAGGCAACTCATCTGACATAGCATCAATATCACTAGTTAAATACTGACCTGCATTCAAAACCTTACTTGAGTAAAAGTATGTATTATCTGCAAATATAAGTACTTTTTGAAAAACTGTATTTTTATATCGAAATCCAATCATGAAACAAGACATGGCTCACTACTGGAGAGAAGTGTTTCTGGGGTCCGGACCTCACTGATCACTGTACAAAAACAGTTTCAGACTGTTTTATTGCACTGACTTTGTAAATGTACTGTCTGATGTGCTGTACTTCAACATATGACCATAGGGTGGAAGCACATGCATCTATTTTACTATGAATTCATTTTGCAATTCTTTTCTGTTCTTGTTCATTCTTAATAAAAAAACAAAACCTGTATTCTTACCTGCAGGTATGTGACACCTTTTCAGACCTGTCTGTTACCAGTTCTTATATACACACAGCAGCAGGTCAAGGACTCTGTACAAATGTTCATTCATTCATTGTTTAATGAGTATCAAACCAAAATACTGCTTTTAAACTGAGACCCAAAGAAGACAAAATAAAATTAAACTAATGTCAGCCTGAACAGTGACTAAACATTAAGCTGTAGTTCTGACACTAATATTACTGATGAGATGAGGCCAATTTAATTACCAATAATATATACTGGCTTTGTGTGAAGTCACAGCAGAGCAACCTTTGACATAAAATGTAATCCATTAGGGAGGCCTTGTCTTGATTACAAAATTTCAAATCGATCATTGACTCAGTTCTCTCACTCCCTCTCTCTCTCACTCACACTCTCACTCACACACAAACAGATCTCTGTGTGAACATTTATTTCTTCTACAGTTTATTTTTTTTAATGCTGAGTGAGATCATAACATTATTATTATACATATAAAACCATGGGTATTGCTGAGGCTCCTTTACAGTTTCACAATAAAGTTACAGTGTATTAGAGAGACAGAGCAGAGAGGTATTGAGGGGCTGGGGAAGGATCTGCATATTCATGTACCAGTGATCGACTGACAGACACCATCATTGCACATCCAGTCCTCTGCTTCATGGAGCTTGCGTAAAATCACTTTACATAATTATCAACAATTTTGAATCCCGCCACCAACAAACTATATCAAATTTTAACAGAATTTCATTAAAGAGATGGTTAATAATGAGGTAAGAATAAAAGGAAAAATGTCTAGTAATAATAATAATAATAATAATTCTTCGCTGTTCAGTATGGAAATAACATCTTCAAATGTCAGGTAACATTATCCACTGTAAAACTAGATAAGTTGACTTAACTCAAAAATTAAAACTAACTTAATTTTCTAAGTTAAAAAAAAACATTCTTAATCAATAGCTTTAGTAATTTTAAGTGACACTGACCAAATTTTGTAATTTTTATTTGTACAGTGAAAACAAAATACCTAGTAATAAGTACTTAATCAGGAATGTTTCTGTAACCGAAAAAACCAAGTCAGTGTCACTTAAAATAACTAGCAAAAGCTGCTTCATCAACAATCTTTTTTAACTTCCAGAATTGAGTGTGTTAAAATGTTCGATGTAAATCTGTTTCAACAAATGTTTTGAGTTGAAATCATTTATTGAATTACAGGGCCAAAGGAACAGAAGTTGAATGCCGCTGAGCAGCTTTGGAATATTACACATGGATGGACAACAAGCATAACGTTGTACCAAATGCCAACTGGGTTCCCTTAACGTGTTTGTTTCATGAGCTACAGCTTAACTTAAAAAGCAGCAACTCTAAACTGATGCTTTCTAGCTATATTGATTCATCACTATGAATTATGTTCAATCATTAGTCAGTCCATGACTGCTTAAAGGCAGGTCAGATGATAGAGAGGCACTAAAAAATTCATTCACAAGTTACAAAAAAAATTCATTTAGGGGGGTGTTTTGAATCTCCTGCTGCCTTCTGACTGACTGCAGACCCTGCTGTATCTTTATTATGGAACAAGGTTATGTAAGACTAGATGGGGCAACATGGGTATTATGATAGCTTCCTACTTTTGTGTAGGCTCTGCCATTTGGTTCCCACAAAAGTCAAAATTTCCACAACAGTAGGGATGCAGCGATTGGGAATACCGATGTTTTTGTAGTTATTCATTCTCAGTTTTGTGCCAGGGAAATAGAAAAAAATAACAAAGATAAGCATGTCTGCCTTGTTGCGGCTCAGATCTATTCATCCAAGATGTGAGACAGAGCTGAACAGTCGCTCACTGTCCGTGCTGCTGCATGAAGCACACCCACGTGTGTGTGCAATTTCCGCCATTGCTGGAAAAACGCAAATATCAAAATTTTGGAAATATGCAACACAAAATTTAACCACCGCAAAATTGATCCGATACAACAGATAAATATTGGCCACTATACCAGGAACCAACGCTCGGCCAATATATAATCAGTGCATCCCAATGGTGCCAATTCACAAAATGTATCTTAAAATGTATTAAGTTGAACTATGCGAAATTTGCACCCTGGGAGAATCCCCTGATCGCAGACGACATTATTGAAATGAACTGTTTTTATTTCAAAATGTCAAAAACTATTTCAATGCTGGTGTGACTTGGCCTCAAGTCCACAGCACCGTTGCAGCTACGCCAGATGCAGGACTGTCTACTTCAAATCACACAAACATTTTAGGCAATTGTAAAATGTGTTACATCAGGAATGTTCAAAATACAGAATTACTGAAGCTGAGTGCTGGCAGTAGTGGCAGAGGTCTACCTAGCAACAGTCAGTGTCCCTACACCTGCACTGTTGTAACACATAGGATCCAAGGCTAAGTCGTGTTTTTGTCTTGGGACACAAACCTCTTTCTGGGGAGTTCATTATTACAACACTCTTGTGACTGTGACTGATGTGTTCCTGTGATAAGTAGGTACGATGATTATGGATTAGGACAACCGTTGCATTGCAAGCACTTCATTACCTTCATATCAAACAGCTGGCTCTAAAAAAGTGAATTCTGTTCCAGTGTGCACTGTTTGTCCTGTAACTACAGAGGAGCTGTGATCACAGAAGAAGAAGAGGCAAGTAGGCCTACATGTTTTAGATATAATTTAGATAATTATGTTGTAATCATCGGTGCTGTGCTACTTTGCAATTTCTGCAAATCTGACCAATCATTAGTTTCCCATGAGTATCACCAATCCTAGCAGTCCCCTGCGCAAACTGCCATACGTCACCAAACCCACTTCCTTGTTTCTACCTGTGAAGATGCAAACGTGCAACAAGAACGTCTCATATTTAGCAACACATATTAAGGCTAAAGACCATGCGAGGCAATTCCCTGATGTTCTGCATGAGAGGGGAGTGAAACTGTTGTTGTGGGACACAAACATAAGTCATTAATTGAAAAACACCTTTCTACCATAAAAAACTCCCAGAAAATAAAGACGTTAGTGGTAACTTTAGTGCAGTAATGTATAAATCACAAAAGGATAGAGCCAAGCTTGTCTGCTGGCATGAAAATCTGTGTGTGTCCATTCTGTTGCCTTTTCAGTGAAATCAGGCATTTTAGGCTTCAACAATCCCATAAAAGCCTGCGAAATCTTGAAGGGACTGGATATTAACTTAATACCTTAAGAGTTTCTTTTAGTAACAGACTCCACAAAATAAGGCAAAGCTTACCGTTTTACTGTATTACTATTGTTATTTTAAGATATCAATCAGCCTTGGCTGCTGTCAGCGTCTGCAAGCTGTGGAGAGTTTAACTTCAATGAGAACCTACAAGGCAGCCACTACATGGATACTTCAGTATTATTCTGTGCAGGACAAAGTTTACTGTGGGAAATGATGCCTCAAAGACCACTGTGGTATCTAGTTTTTCTCTACAGGCTAACCTCTGTCAATGAGCTATGATTGCAGATTATTAAAACTGTACAGTATACTTCCACCTTCACTCAACCTCTCTCCAAAGTGTAAAACCCAACCTAGAAGTTGGCAATATAAATTCCAAGTTTTTTATAATCAGACTGAACAGGTTTATGATTAGACGCGTGCTGCTTTAAATAACAGGAAACAAAGAAAACAAGTTGAGAGTTACAAATGATTAAAAACATTATTTTCTAGTTTTAGCTATGACTTCTGTCTTGAGTGCAAAGAATGAATGGACTGGTTTTTATCGGAGCTGTGCATTTGTGGCTAACGCCAGCAGTGAGTTATGAGCCAAACTCCACAGTTTCCTCTGTGATGGGCTTGAACTCGTAGTTTCCTCTCCCGTCCATGTGGAGATAATACTTCATGACAGAGACAAAAACATAAAAAATAGTCAGTAAGAAAGAAAGAAGGCATCTGAACTGCAAAGTAGGTGAAACAGACAAATGGAGATTTACTGATGAAGTCCCACCCCTTTTTGCTCTGTGCTCCAATAACACTTGAGCAAGCCTTGGTCAGAGCCTTAGTCAACTTTCTTCTTTCCTGTACGTAGACATACTATACTCATCCATGTTGAAGCATTACATCGTAAGTTAGCCAATGTCAACAAAACGTGAGCTAACTAGCGAATGATTGATGTAAACGGGCTAGCTAGTTAGCTTTTTGCTAACATTACCTAGCTAACGTAAGATGTGACAATATACACAGATCAGCCATAAAATTATGAGCACTGACATTTGGTTATCATGGCTGTCAGTGGGTGGGATATATTAGGCAGCAAGTGAATATTTTGTCTTCAGAGTTGATGTGTTAGAAGCAAGAAAAATGGGCAGTGTGAGGATTTGAGCGACTTTGACAAGGGCCACATTGTGATGGCTAGACGAAAACTGCAGCTCTTGTGGGGTGTTCCCGGTCTGCAGTGGTCATGGGCCCCCATGGTTCATTGATGCATGTGGCAAGCGAAAGTTGGCCCATCTTCAGTACAGGAAAGGACGAAGTTGACCGAGGTTCTGACCAAGGCTTGCTCAACTGTTATTGGAGCACAGAGTTTGGGGGGACTTAGGGAGGATCAGTTATACCATACAGTCAAATGCTTAGTCACAGTGTCCATATAGTGTGTCTAGTGCAAGAAGAATAAAAAATAAAAAAAACTTTATAAGAAAAAATAAAATATACAGAACCATTAAGAGTGGTTTAGGCGACCACGCTAGCAGTTGGTAATGGTGCAGAGGCAGACAAATGGTCAGAAATGAGAATGAAGACACAGTCCTGCTATCTACAAAATGTTCCATCACGTTTCTCCTTTCTGTTATAGATAGGGCTTCACTATGGTTCAAATGAATTGAGTGTCTCAAAGCCTGTCCCCACAAACCTTTCCAATGTTGGGATTCTGTAACTTTCTGAAACAGACCCTGAATTGAATTCAGGCTGACGGATGTGTCATTTTGACTCAAGACTAGGTCTGTAAAATCTTGTAGCTCCTCATGCCATTGTCCTGTGTTGTTCTGTGTACAACAGGCAAAACTACACTTTACACTAAGAGCAAAATCTGCTCAAAGAAGGAAACTTTTGTGAGTGAAAGAACAGTTGAGGTGGCTGTGGATTTCATTTGAAATAGAAATCAAATGACATTCAGTATTTACCTTGTGGTGCTTCCACAGAGATTTTCTGTGGGACACTGTGAACAAGGTGATGCCCACCTGTGGAACAAAGAAAACACAAGTAGTGCTAGACTCCAGATTCCAGTTCAACATGGTCAAAAACCTATTGACACTGTGCCACTGCAATATTAATTAGTTATCACCGTACAATCATCATAAAATAAGACTGGTAAACAGTGACATTGATTGTGTACCACCAAATTGTCCTGTGCATTTGATGAACTGATGATGGGTGAGGCCTAAACTCAAGAGGAAAGTCTTTTATTTGTTACATTACTTGCTGTGTTTGCACTATTTCATGGTATTTGCCTAGAATTGCTTACCCCACCTTTTAAAGAACCAGTGTGAAGAATTTAATGGCATCTAGGCAAGTAGGCAGATAGCAGATTGCAACTAATTGAATACCCCTCGCATCTATGTTTGACAACCTGGGAAGGATGTACAGAAAAATACAAAAGGTCCTATCTTCTACAGCCTATGTTTAGTTTGTCAGTTATGGGCTACTGTAGAAACATGGCGGACCTGCTCAATCTGTAGATAAAAACAGTTTATTCCAAGGTAATGAAAACACAACGATTCTTATTTTCAGGTGAATATGCACTCATGAAAACACACCTATGAATATTATATTCCATTTCTGCAAATATATCCTCCTAAATGTTACACACTGGACATTTAAATCTTCTTCTGTTTGAAGTTTTGTTTCATAGTATTAACTGTAGCTGCCAGAAGCATTCTGCTTTGGTCAATCTGTTGGCTTCACTGAACGGGAGCCCGTCCTCGTGCAACAGCAAGTAACAACACAAGTAGGTAATACGTTACCTGCTTGCAGTTAACGTGTCAGCCATCTCTTCCTGCTCAATGACTAAGATGGTGTGTTTAGGAGACCAGATGTAAACCTTGTTTTATGAGACGTGATGTATTTGTGTCGTACCGTCTTGCAGTGGCTGTAGATGTAATCCTCCACATCGACACTCACTGCACTGGTGCACTCGTCCAGAATGGCAAACTGGGGCTTGTGATAGAACAGTCTGGCCATCTACATACAGAGACACAGATAGACACGCGCATAATGATTCATCCGACATTGATAACTTCAGAATCATTACCAATTTTAAAGTGGCAAAACATTTAAATGTGTGAAGCCTAACCCAGTGGTCAGCAACTTTAACTATCAAAAAATAATAATAATAGTCTGGAGCCACAAAATAATATTTAAAACAAATCTGTCTATTAAATTATTTATTTCCTCTGAGACTTTTTATTCTTGGATTTGGAATCCATAGCTTGCCTTACGAGGTAGAATCACTAGTAGTAATAACACTAGTAGCCACAGCTATTAAGGTTTGGAAAAATATATTAGAAAAAGGTGCCAGGTCAGGATGAAATGTTTCATTTTAGTTGACGAAAAATTGACCGTTAAAACTTACTACTGTGTATTGTGGCATAATGACTTTTGACCACCAGCTTAAATGATGGTCCAAAGTGTTCTTGTTCATGTTCAAAAGCTGCCCACTTTGACTGGAACAGGTCTTCTGATTGACCAACCACAGCCTGTTACTGTGACACAATACAGTGGTCTCATAATGACAATCCCCCACGTCTTAAGACATGAGGGTTAATTAAATCACCAACACAACTGTAGCTGCAGATGTGAGTATGAGCTGGCCCCTACCACTCAGAGCAAGATAATCAGTTTAGAAAATGGATGGATGGTTTCTCTTGCATTTCTAATCATGAAGATTAATCAGTGTGTTGTGTTTCTTGCATAGACTGTTGACACGGAGTGAGTGAGTCCTTACAGCCATCCTTTGCTTCTCTCCTCCACTGAGCACGTCCATCCAGTCCTGGACTGAGTCCCAGCTGCCCTCCCTGTCTAGGATGTGACCCAGTTGAACATTGTCCAAGTATTCCTTTAAGACCTGGACGCAAGATACGGTAAGACAAGATAAGGTATATAACACACAAAGACAATGTAGGTGAAAGTGTGTAGGAGTGTTTTGTGTCTCACCTGATCAGAGATGCCTTTCCTCCTCTGTTCGTCGTAGGTGTCGGGGTAAATGACCTGGTCCCTCAGAGAACCCAGAGTCATGTAGGGTCTCTGGACAAACAACAGGGTTTCATGAAATCCTACAATCAAAAATCTGTGTTTCTTCTTGTCCCTACAGTGTGATGTTTGAATGATGTACAGTGCATATGGAAAGTATTCACAGCGCTTCACTTTTTCCACATTTCATTATGTTACAGCCTTATTCCAAAATGGATTCAATTCATTTTTTTCCTCAAAATTCTAATTGTACATAAGTATTCACAGCCTTTGCGATCAAGCTCAAAATTGAGCTCAGGTGCATTCTGTTTCCACTGATCATCCTTGAGATGATTCTGCAGCTTAATTGGAGTCCACCTGTGGTAAATTCAGTTGACTGGACATGATTTGGAAAGGCACACACCTGTCTATATAAGGTCCAACAGTTAACAGTGCATGTCAGACCACAAAACAAGCATGAAATCGAAGGAATTGTCTGTAGACCTCCGAGACAGGATTGTCTTGAGGCACAGATCTGCTGCTTTAAAGGTCCCAATGAGCACAGTGGCCTCCATCATCCGTAAATGGAAGAAGTTTGGAACCACCAGGACTCTTCCTAGAGCTGGCCGCCCCTCTAAACTGAGTGATCGGGGGAGAAGGGCTTTAGTTAGGGAGGTCACCAATAATCCGATGGTCACCCTGACAGAGCTCCAGGGTTCCTCTGTGGAGAGAGGAGAACCTTCCAGTAGGACGACCATCGCTGCAGCACTCCACCAATCAGGCCTATATGGTTGAGTGGCAAGACAGAAGCCACTCCTCAGTAAAAGGCACATTGCAGCCCGCCTGGAGTTTGCCAAAAGGCACCTGAAAGACTCTCAGACCATGAGAAACAAAATTCTCTGGTCTGATAAGACAAAGATCGAACTCTTTGGTGTGAATACCAAGTGTTATGTTTGGAGGACACCAGGCACCGCTTATCACCTGGCCAATACCATCCATACCATCCCTACAGTGAAGCATGGTGGTGGCAGCATCATGCTGTGGGGATGTTTTTCAGCGGCAGGAACTGGGAGACTACGACGCTCTCCATCCAACCTGATGGAGCTCGAGAGGTTCTGTGAAGAGGAATGTGCGAAACTAGCCGAAGATAGGTGTGTAAAATTGAGTAAAGGCTGTGAATACTTATGTACAAGTGTTTTCTTCATTTTTTTATTTTTAATAAATTGGCAAAAATCTCAAACTTTTTTTTAAATTGTCATACGTCCTAATAAATGTCTGAAAGGGATCTTTAACATAGTGGTAGTAGTGGTTTTTAGTTTTATTATGTTTGGAGTCGTTTAACAGAATTGTGATAGATACTACCCCTAAGCATTCACTACGTATAGATATTGCAGTCTAACATACGGTGTATATACTCTAACTTCCAGTGGAGTTTACGGTTCAAAATGTAGTTACTGCGATCTTGTTTGTTATCTATGAGTAAATGTTCTCTCCCAGTATAGATATCTGTCACAATTTTGACTCCTGCCTTGAACAAATTTGGCTTTGTCGGGCTATAGATGCCGCTAAAAGCTAGCATGGGAACATAGCTGCCACTGTGGTGGAACAGAAAACATGGCCTACAGAGGATTTTTACCTGTGGAACGTAGAAAAGTTTCCCTCTCTCAGGTTTTGTTAGGTGTCCACCAAACAGAGGCCACAGCTTAAAAAAAACAAAACGTGTATAATTGCTTTACATACCAAAAAAAAAAACATATCAAACACATGCACATTATTTTGGATCGTAAACCACTGTAAACTGGGAGGGTCCTAACCTCTCCGAGCGCTCTGAACAGAGAGCTCTTTCCACAGCCATTTGGTCCACACACAAGAACGTTGGTGCCAGACCTCACCTTCAGGAATATAATATGAGAAACACTTGTATGCAACTCATAATCATTCGTATGCCCACATAGTAAAATAAATAAATACATAAAATTCAACTTGATTTTCCAAACAAATAAATTCCAATCAGTTCAGTCGATCACAGTTAGATATGCTAATGAAAGATGAGAGCTTTACCTCAAATGTGAGGTCTCTGATCAAGATGTCTCCATTAGGTGTTGCTAGTGGGGTATGCTCGAATCTGCCAAATAAATAAAATGTTGCTTTAAAGCAGAGCTCATGAAAAGAAAGACAAAAAAATATAAATAAAATGTATAGTGCAGTGCAGAATAAAATACATACTTAATGATGTTATCTTTTTTGATGATTTGACCACTTCCAGGCACTAGTACGAGTTTCTCTGCAGTGTCTGATTCTGAGGTGAATAGAATAAATCAGAAACAAGATAAGCTGCACAGTTCCACTTATCTGAGATGAGAATGCTAATGAGTCGTGTGTACCCTTCTCCTGCTGGGAGACCATAGTGCGTTCATATTTTCCAGCATTCAGCTCCTTCAGGACTTTTATGAGTTCAGTGATACGAGCTGTGAATCTGTGGGCGACATACACATGAATAAAAAAATCAGACACACATTTGAACAGATTCTAGCCCTGCCTTTTTTGGAAGGGAGTATATTATTTTATTGTTCCAAATGTACACTGCAGGCCAAAGTGACCCAAATCTGTGCTTTTTACTCATATGTGACTCAGATCCATGACAGTGTGAACAGCACAAACCACATAGAATCTATTCTATTCTGTTTTGGGAGATTTTAATATGTGGTCCAAATCAGATACAGGTCAGATTTTTTGTAATGTCGTAAATGGATGGACCTGTATTTGTTTTCGCCTTTCTAGTCTACCAACCACTCAGCACTTTTATACTACGTGCCACATTTGCCCTTTCACACACATTCACTCAGTGATGGCAAAGTCCATCGAACAGAAACTAACTCATTCATACACATTCACACACCGATGACACCTGAACAGTCATATCAGAATACATAAGTTAATAATGTGAATTGGATATTTGCAGAGCTGTAACAATTAACATAAGGAAGTGACCCATGAAAAAGCTTCATAGAGAGGTAAAGTAAAGTTATTTAACTGATTACTCCTACAGTATTAACAGATCACTGAAAAACGGCAGGACATTCAGACTCTGGACATATCTATGAGCTAAGACTTTTTGAAATTACTTTTTTAGTAATATCCCTTAACACTTACCCTGCAAGGCGGGTCATCTCGCGGCCAGCCAGTACAATCCTGCCCAGAGCCTGGGACATTCTCAGGAGCATTCTCCCACTCTGGTAATAGTCCTACAGGCCACAGAGATCCAATCAGTTAAAGCTCACAGCCCCAAAACATTATTGCAAACAAGTTATTAAGTTTTATGTTTTCTACCAGAGAGCCACTGGTGTTTCTTTATTTTAAAGATTTTTTTATTTTAATGTTTATTACAGTCAAAATTACCTTAATGCTACAGACAAATGTAATGGTAAATGGACCTGTACTTGTATAGCGCCTTTCTAGTCTTCCGACACCTCAAAGCGCTTTTACACTGCGTGCCACATTCACCCTTTCACACACATTCACTCAGCAGAAACTAATGCATTCATACACATTCATACACGGCATCAGGAGCAATTCGGGGTTCAGTATCTTGCTCAAAGATACTTCGACATGTGGCACCGGGAGCCAGGGATCGAACCAACAACCTTCCGATTAGAGGACGACCACTCTGCCTCTGAGCCACAGCCGCCCATGTAATGTGATTACAGTTTCTTTGTAAAGCGTTACCCCAACACTGGCCTCCAATAACCACAAAGCAGCAGAATCTATCTTACTTGGATGGACAATATTCTGTGTGTGTGTGTGTGTGTGTGTGTGTGTGTGTGTGTGTGTGTCTGGGTGCAAGTGTGTGTATGTGAGCTTTCTTTGACCTCCAGCAGCTCAGAGTGTGAGCTGTGCAGGTGTCGCGGGTCCGACTGGTTTAGGAATGGCCGGCTAACCACCAGGTAGCCAACCACAGTGGCCACGTCTGCAGAGGAACAGCATGTGGACACACGAGGAACAGAAAATAAACACACACATATTCATTAATATGGTTCACACAAACATTCTACTGCTTGTATTTAAACAAATTCTACACAATTCTTTAGAGACAAGGATGTTGTCCCCCATCACTTTTATTTATTGCTATTGCTTATAGAGCACCTTCCTCTCTTGATTAAAACAGTTGTGTACCAAGAGTCTATAAACTCTAGAGCTATGTTCTATATGTAGTTGAGTTGTGTACTTAATTTGGGTCATCATTTTATTCAGGTAACACTGCATTTCACATGCATAAGTCAGCATTATGGTTTTATCCAGTCTGAAGCCACATTGTTACCATCCACTGTTTAGATCTTGGTGCTTTTAAACTCTAGATTTGAACCAGATGAAGGATTTTAGTCATCGGACGTCTGGATCTTAAGTTATCAGAGAAACAAGCTGAGCTAACGTTAGCAGCAGCTCGGCTCAACAGCGTGATTTTTAAAGAGGAACTGCTTTGTTCAGTGTTTTCAGCGGTTATAATCAGTGGATCGGTTTGTTTTGGAGAAGAGGAGACCTTCACAACATACTTTGTCTTTTTTTATTGTTTTGATGTCAGAGACCTCTGTACGTTTAATATCAGAAATTACATACCAGTAATAGTTGACTATAAATTACTGGGAAGGGAAGTGATGTTTTTTTTCTTACCACTTACACTCAATACAGCAAGGCAAATATAAGGGAGAACCTAAATATTGTGAATTAAAGTAATTTATGTACTTACACTTGGCAATTATGCTGTCCACAAATCCCATGGAGAAGCGAAAGAATATGAAGTTATGCAAGTGGTCCACCTGAAGACGAAATAAATATGTTTACATTCTGAACACACAGTGACTTGTAACAGTGACTTGCACAAAAACTTGTTTCCCTGTGTAGAATAGAAGAATTTGGGCAACCCTTCCAAAAATATCAGCTCCCATTAAAAAGTTGGTGTTTCTCTGTACCACGCTTTTCTTTCTCTTTCCTGTTGCAGCTGGTGTAGCCAGATCTACTGTTACACATTTTTATTTCTACTAGGTAACCTGTTTTCAGCTGTTTTCAGTAAATGTTTCAGAGGTAGGGGGTGTTAACAGTGACCTGCTTACCTGACTGATTACCAATGACAACACAGCACTGCTGTTGCAGGAATATTTAGAGAGTAACTTCATTGATAATCTTGTTTTTGCTCACCCCCAGGGGTTCAACTTCTCACCTTGCTATTGTGATATACAGATGTACTCACACACAACATCACTACTGGGTGTGGTTACAGCTGCAACAAAACACATTACTACACTACTAACACTACTAAACCCACTACGTTACCCACCAGCTTTTTGAATGTGGCATGAATGGTCTGTTTTTCTCTCATGTTCCCATTGTAGAAGGCAATCTCCTCACTGAAGAGAAAGAAAAGAAGATCAGTGCAGTGTTGTAGGAAACAGCTGTACAGTAACAGGGTTTGAGCTGTTGCTGGTGTGCTAACCTGTTGGTGATGAGGCGAGAGTTGACAAAGCGGTACTCCCCCTCGTAGCGCTGCTCGGTGACTGTCATCTTGCCTATGGGCCTCCTTAGTCTGGTCAGGAACAGACCTGAGATCAGCAGGTAGGCCATCATGATGCCTGGGCCCTGGGTAGGGGAGGGGAGATGGAGACAATGGAGTCACTGTTTAGCACTCAGACCCTAGGATGTGTGTGGTAAAGACGATGGGGACCTACGTACATTATATTTCTCTCCTCTTCACAGCTAGTTTAAAGTTGGGATGCACTGATTGGGATATCCTGGGTTGATACGGATGTTTAAAATAACAATTTGACTGATGGCCAATCTTTTGTTGTGCCAGGAAAACAAAAATCTACAAAGATAGGCAACTCTGCCTTGTTGAAGCCCAGTCCATTTATCTTCAAAGACGTGTGGGGTTAGCCAACACAACACTTGTTTTAAGTCTGGAACATGGGACTTTCAAGAGCATTTCATTCTTCAATCTGAGGGATCTCAAAGCAGAGTAACAGGAAATAAGGGGGTGGATAAGTTGTTCAACTATGTGTATGTCCCCTGTAACATGGTTTATTATGCGGGTGAAGCTACTGCCCAAAACAGGCTGGCTCCAGAAGTGAGACAATCTCCATAAGGCCCCATATTTGTCCAACTTTACAGCAGAAACATGTTTAAAGTCTGGCACAAAAAACGGTTTTAGTCTCTTAAACTAATTTCCCTGTTTAGGACAACTGTATGGGGTGTGAATTTGTATATAACTATAATCACAAAATTTACCTGTACAGTAGACCGGGTATGCCATTAAAAAAATCTAAATAAGTTGTTTGAATTGTATTGTGCAGAGTACTTAACTCACTGTACACATTGGTCATTGTGTACTTGGGCAGATGACGCAGCCACAGAAACCATGAATTGGTTGTGCATTTATGATACAGTATATGTAAAACCCTTGTAAAAATATGAAAATTGTGTATCGTCATGTCTTAGTTTGGTTCCTATTTAAGTAGACATGGTATATATTTAATGTATTTGCATAGGCTGAAAAAACATGCAGAAGATAACCTGCTTACCTGAGCACCAATGGCACTTGTCAGCTTGAAGATGTACAGACCAATATCCAACAGAGGCTAGAGAACAGACAGAGGACAGAAAGATTTACAAATAATATATTATATCGTAATATCGAGTAGCACCTGGACCCAGCAGAACACAGGAACTTAAATCATCACGATGAATGGGCTATATATACACTAATCAGCCATAACATTATGACCACTGACTGGTGAAGTGAATAACACTAATTATCTGTCCTCAAGTTGATGTGTTAGAAGCAGGAAAAATGGGCAGCATGAGGATTTGAGCAACTTTGACAAAGGCCACATTGTGATGGCTAGACGACTGGGTCAGAGCATCTCCAAACCTGCAGCTCTTGTGGGGTGATCCCGGTCTGCAGTGGTCAGTACCTATCAAAAGTGTTCCAAGGAAGGAAAAGCGGTGAACCAGAGACAGGGTCATGGGCAGCCAAGGCTCTTTGATGCATGTGAGGACTGAAGGCTGTCCTGTGCGGTCCAATCCAACAATGCTGGTTCTCATATAAAAGGTGTATGAACACACAGTGCATTGTAGTTTGTTGTGTATTGGGCTGCATAACATTATGACCACCAGGGTGCCCAGGTGGTAATAATGTTATGGCTGATTGGTGTAGTCTATCGTTTCTGGCACTCCAAAATCATTTGGGGAAATCTGGTTTCAGATTTGGAGTTGCTGGGTAGACCTAGTACAATGTACCTGCAGCAGGACAGTGTGGGCAATGGCCCCATGTAACCTCTTACTCAAATGAGTTTGTGTACATAACCAGGGTCCAAATATAACACAGCTCGACTGCACTGTGTGAGTGAAATTTGTCATGGATAAAGGTCATTCTAATATTTAAAATAAAAACATCTCGGGTATATAGAGATTTTGTATCTGTCCTTTCTCAAACTGCACCTCTGCTGGCCCTCTACAGGGGGGCTATGAGGCTGTGATACGTGGCAGGAGTGTGTCATAAATTCAATTCAATTTTATTTGTATAGCGCCAATTCATAACAGAAGTTATCTCAGGACACTTTTCAAATAGAGCAGGTCTAGACCGAACTCTTTATAGAATATATATAAAAATAAGGGTTCTCTGTCTGGCTTGAGTAGTGATGAGACTTGCACAGCACTCCAACCTAAAAATCCTAAATTTCTCATTCCCTCTGTATACTAGAAGATTGTAGAATGTTAGTTAGCTGAGAGCCAATAAGATTTGGTACCTTGCTGAGGTTGGAGTAAAGGTCCACTACACTGTTGCAGAACTTCTCCACATCCTGTGTCAGTAGCTGGTCTGGATTGGCTATGCGGTTATCCAGGTTTCCCATTTTGTAGTAGGTGAAACCTCTGAAGAACAAGAAAAAAAGAGTGAAGACTCAAAGAAGCCAGGAAACACAGAGAACACATGAATCTATATGTTACTGAACAGAGATAAAACCAGATAATCGATCAATTCCCAGTAGGTCAAAAACATCGTAAATGGTAAAAGGACTGTACTAATATAGCGCCTTTCAGATGAGGTCAAGCTTTCTTCGAGTGACTTGTTCCCCTTGTTCCCACACGCAGAATAGCTCATTATGTTGCAATTTACTGCTAAATTGTATTGGACTATGAAACTTGAGGGTTTGAGCCCTGGCTTGCAATCTGGGGTTTCTTTTTCCTTTAAATCATGACCTATAATGTTACATCACTAGGGTCATCAATGTTCAGTGGTAAATAATTGATACGGTGCAACTAAAGCACAATAGGGGTGCACTAATCACTCATAAGTCTGAATATATCAAAACGTTATACACCCCTGGTGTTTGGCCCTGTTTTGCCACTGCATTGAAACCATAGATGTCCATAGTGAGCACTGGGACTAACACAGTAAACCTCAATGATTATGATTTAACCCCAGCATGGATATGGTTTCTTTAAGAAATACTAGTGGTACAGAATGGATTAAAACAGTCCTCTGGAATCAAGTAAGCAAATAAGCAGATCAACTGCTATTGGCGCAAAAGCAGTTGAGCAACCCTCAGTCAGAACTTCAGTCAACTTTCTCCTTTCCTGTACTTCTGCTATGGGCTAGGCTTGTCTATGTTGTAAAGACAACCACATTTTGAAGATGGTTATAAGATAAAAATGACATATTGGAAAACTTAAGCTAACTAGCTTGACAGATTGATGTAAACTGACTAGCTGGTTAGTGTTTTATGTATGTATGGATGTTGCTTTTATCTTTTAACCATCTTCAAAATGTAGAGCATAGAGCAAAAAAGGGCAGGAGTTATGAAGGATCCACTGAGCATTATGGCAATAGTTAAGGAAAGGCTTCTGTATAATCTACAAGGATGGTTTCAATTAGGTACACACTGTAGTCAACATACTTTTTAGGCAACATTGATCAGTTTTGATTGTGATAGTAACATTTAACATTTTCTGATGCTAAACTCTAAATTCTTGTACTTGCAGATGGCATTACCTTGGCCTCTAGCACCACTGTCAGGAATCTTGGAGTTATATTTGATCAGGACATGGAATTTAACTCCCACATAAAGCAAACCTCTAGGACTGCCTTCTTTCATCTACGTAATATTAAAAATTAGACACATACTATCACAGACAGATTCAGAAAAACTAATCCATGCATTTGTTACTTCTAGGCTTGATTACTGCAACTCTTTATTATCAGGCTGCCCCAATAAGTCCATTAAAACGCTCTAATTAATTCAGAACGCTGCAGCACGAGTACTGACAGGAACTAGAAAAAGAGATCACATCTCTCCTGTACTAGCTTCTCTGCACTGGCTGCCTGTAAAATGTACAGTAGAATTTAAAATCCTCCTTCTCACCTACAAAGCTCTTCATGGTCAGGCCCCTTCATATCTGAAAGAGCTCATAGTACCCTATTACCCCACTAGAACACTACGTTCTCTGAATGCTGGGCTACTTGTGGTTCCTATAGTCTCTAAAAGTAGAACAGGAGCCAGAGCCTTCAGTTACCAAGCTCCTCTCCTGTGGAACCAGCTTCCAGTTGTGGTTCGGGAGGCAGACACCCTCTCCACATTCAAGAGTAGGCTTAAGACATTCCTCTTTGATAAAGCTTATAGTTAGGGTTGGCTCAGGTGAGACTCTCCCTCTCTCTCTCTCTCTCTCTCTCTCTCTCTCTCTAAAGGCAGTTTTTCCTTGCCCCCGTCGCCAAGTGCTTGCTCATGGTGGTACTGTTGGGTCTCTGTAAATAATGTTATAAGCAGTTTGGTCTAACCCTGCTCTATTTGAAAAGTGTCCTGAGATAACTTCTGTTATGAATTGCCGCTATACAAATAAAACTGAATTGAACTGAATTAATTAACGTCCTGTTGATGTTTTACGCTGTGCACTGTTGGCTTCTCTTGATGCCTTTTCTTGGAGGTCAGCCTACTTTTTTTTTTATGGGCGGCTGTGGCTCAGAGGTAGAGCGGGTCATCCACTAACGGAAGGCTGGCGGTTCGATCCCTGGTTCTTGTTGCATGTCAAAGTGTCCTTGAGCTGAACCCCAAGTTGCTTGTATGAGGGTGTATGAATGATTAGTTTCCGTTCTGGTGAGCAGTTGGCACCTTGCATGGCAGCCACTGCCATCAGTGTGAATGGGGTGAGTGTGGCATGTAGTGTACAGCGCATTGAGTGGTTGAAAGACTAGAAAGGCGATATATAAGTACAGTCCATTTACTATTTATCAGTGGGCACCAGGTCTTGCTGCAACTAACAATTTCTTTGGTTTTCAAAAGAATCTCTTCATTATTCAACAAAAATTAATAATTATTAAAATGCCCATTACAATTTCCCAAGGCACAAGGTTATGTCTTTAAACTGCTCATTTGGTCCAAACAAACAATTTCCTGAAACTGAAAAAAGCCGAAAACTGTTACATTTGCTGGAACCTGTAACAAGACAATGTTAGGTACTTTTGTTTGATAAAGGATGTAAACAATTAAATGATAATTAAAAAGTCCCATATGACAGGGAAGCAGCTTTAGTACTTACTGCAGGTACTGGTCGTACAAGTTCTTCGTGAGCCTCTCGCGGAACCTCAGCTTCAGCTCGTTTAGACCCAACTTCAGGAAGTTGTTCACCAAGGCTATCTGGAATGACCCAGTCACACATAACATACATGTATCTATCTCGCACTATGAGAGCTTTGCTTCAGTATAAGTGACATGGTTTTAGAATCCCTATAGTATTCATGCTTATTGTTTTTCTGAATTAGAAGTATAGTATACAGAAAACATGCAAAGCAGAATATTTAGAGTTTCTGAGAGCAATGCAATCTAAAAAATTAAAGGACCAGTGGGTAGGATTCAGTGGCATCTAGCAGTGAAGTTGCAGACTGCAACCAACTGAACACAACTCAGCCTTCCAAGAGTGTAGGAGAAACTCGCGGAAAACGTGAAAGGCCCTATGTACAGCCAGTGTTTGGTTTGTCCATTCTGGGCTACTGTAGAAACATGGTAGTCAATATGGCAGACTCCGTAGTCTGTAGTCTCTGTACATAAATCGTCTCATTTTAAGGTAACGAGATGCAAGAATGTGATTATTAAACTAATGAAAACATACCTATGAATATTGTATTCCATTTCTGACAATAGATCTTCCTAAATGTTACACACTGGACCTTTAAAGAATTAGGCTGGAGATAATCTGTTTTCTTTTTGTCAACAAAACAACAGTGAATGTATCTACTAACAAGTATTGTGCGAGTATTCAAAGCCTGATTTATCGTCTTCCTCTGTACCATAGAGCTCCATTGTTGTCTAAAAACTATTAAAAAGAAAACATCAGTGAGCCGCACTGTTTCACTGGGTGATATGTTCCTTCATTACCATATACACAAACACTGTGGTTTATCTTTACTCAATCCCACATACACCGTAATGCTGCCACAAATACTCACTAGAGCAAAGAATTACAGTGGTCAGTTGTTTCTGTAAAGTACTGAGCTTTAAAAATCATGGAATTTGTTGACATTAAAAAACAGAATATTGCCAGCCTTATCATTTAACATTGAGGCATACAAAAGTACATTGAAGCAAGAGTGATAAGAATGATCATGCTAAAGGTTAGTTTTTTGCAAGTGCATGAAATGATTCAATGAAATTAGTAACTACACAGTAGAAGTAAGAAATGTCAGTGTTTTTCATATCAGGTCTCCTCTGTACACTTTACAGAAAACTATGTGCAGTAACATTAACTGACACTGAACTATAAATGTGTTACATAATAATATATAGCATATAGCAATTAAAATCACACAGGAGTGTGACAAAAAGAAAAAGTTAACAAATGAAAACACTTACAACTGGCATGAATTTGATAAAGCTGAACAAGAAGGTCTTGAATTCTTTTGTCGAGCGACCAATAATTGCACTGCAAACCACAACATGCATACAGATGAGCAAACATTGCCAAGAGAATCAGAGGAACAAATACTGAGGTTGAGGATTTTCCTGTGGAAACAATGCAGCTTTGTTACACTGCTAAAAATCCAAAACGACTTCTGCTTGTACTTGGAGTGTGAATTATTTTACTTACTGAAACAGAGAGTAACAGTGGAGAACTGACATAGATGAACACACAATACCATTCAATTTATGTATTTCCATGTTACTTTTATCGTGCACTATGACTTTTGGGAAAAATGTTTGATGGTTGTGGAATCTGTAAATAATGTTATAATTCAATTCAATTCAATTCAATTCGGGGGGATTTCCCATGGTGCACTGAGCTCCGTTGCTGTTGTCGTCATCATCATCTTCTTCATGTTCATCATCATCAGTCACTACTATTAGTGTAGTTGTTGCTACTGTTGTTGCTTTGCGTCTGTCTGTCTGTCTGTCTGTCTGTCTGTCTGTCTGTCTGTCTGTCTGTCTGTCTGTCTGTCTGTCTGTCTGTCTGTCTGTCTGTCTGTCTGTCTGTCTGTCTGTCTGTCTGTCTGTCTGTCTCTCTCTCTCTCTCTCTCTCTCTCTCTCTCTCTCTCTCTCTCTCTCTCTCTCTCTCTCTCTCTCACTCTCTCTCTCTCTCACTCACTCACTCACTCACTCACTCACTCACTCACTCACTCACTCACCCCAACTGGTCGAGGCAGACGACCACCCAGTCTGTTATGAATTGGCGCTATACAAATAAAACTGAATTGAATTGAATCGAATCACACACTAGTGCACCTTCCTGTTATGCCTTACAAATACTGTCAAATCTGACACAACAAGCAGGGACCAGGCCTTTACTTAAGACATGGTATTATTAGACACACGTCTTTAATTTAATTTCAGGTGGTTTAAATGTATATTTGCCTGTTATGCTGTGTTGAAATAAATGAACTCAGTCTCCTAGCTGGTCATTCAGAATAATTAAGGCTTTTTTGTTTCCTTTTCTGCATTTAACAAGATGAATATATATACAATTAAACTGTTTTTATTAATATCATAAATGTGCGACAAAAGGTCAACTATAGGCTTTAACTAGGGACTGCTACTTGACTAGGAAAATATTTAGTCAGGAACAGCCCTAGCTGGTTCCAACACCTTTATTGTGAAACTACTGAACGAAGTGGTGAGTTCCTTAAGTGCAGGTTTAACACAGAGAGAGAAACTGCAATTCATTTATGTTAAAAATTATTCAAAAATAACATGAGAATTTCCAGAATCATTTATATTAGGTGCTTTACTTATACTTCACATTTACAATATGAGGGGATGTGACTGTCTCGGGACAGGATGATCCTGGACCTGCATAAAGACCCTGACAGCCGAGTGAGAGAATTTTCCTAGTTCCTAGTTAACTGGTAGCCCTGATGATGATGATGATGATGTTGATGTTGATGATGATGATGATGATGATATAGTTAAAAGAATATGAATTTAAATCAACTTTGTCTTAGTTATATATCTTATTTTAGGGTGTATTCAGACTCACTACAGGGACATTGTATATTTGAAGTAAAAAAGTAAAAAGGGATGGAGAAGATCAAACAGACTATTTAAATATTTACAAGTTCAAATAAACTATAACTTATAGGAACACCCTACTCCAGGAGATACGGAGAAAAAGAGAGAGATGGTCAAACGTGCCCCACAGGCTACATCTACTGACTGCCTGTTTGCAAAAGAGCTGTGGAGTGCAACTAGTCAGAGCACCAAATACAAATAAAGTTGCTAAGAGGGTCTGGAAAGTTGCAAAACATAGAGAAAATGGCAGTCAGCAAGGCAAGTTAAAGTGCTGAAAATATGAAAAATATGGCTTAAATATGTTTTGTTGCTCTGCTGTCTGCTTTTCCAAACTGGGGGCTAAAATAAAAAAAAATTCTAGGACAACACAGGACTTTATTTCCAGGACACCTGGCAATTTTGATCAATGTCCCAGTGTTTCCCTGACAAAATAAAACTAGATTTTTTTTAGCTTTTCCAAGCTGTTGCATATGCATGCATAATTGCATAATTAATCAATTAAATAATTATATTGTTATCAATATTGTATATTCATATTCTTTATTAAATGTGTTAAGGGTTGCAGTATTTATTAAAGGTTTTGGCTTTGAACTGATGAATCAACAGACAGTGACTTGTGAACTGGACTTGGACGGCTGAAAAGGTCTATGTAATGGACAGAAGTGTTCCTCTCATTAATAAACTATATATATATAATAACTTATTTTTGAATTGCTCTGAATTGTTTCATTATTTAATTAGATACAAGAAACAAGTTCATTCCTGAATGGGTTGCTCACTGACGTCAGCAGAACTTTCATTGTTACAGAAATATACATTTCAGTGAAATCACAAACACATTAATTGAATGGAAGTCCATGTGAAAATGTATGCCAACAATATTAATTTGACCACCTGATAAAACCCACAGGTCGGTGTTATGGCTCGGAAGAAAACGTAGGCCTCAGACAGTAAGTGATGAAAAAGCACAACACAACACTATTACAAAGCAAAATGTTAAAACCACAGTTAGTGGTTTAAAGCTTGGTTTTTCACTTCTATGAGAACCATATGCTGGACAGTTACCCCTGGTATGACTGATATGTAGGAATAAAAGTGCCTCTTGAATAGAGAGATGTCTCTGCTTATAATACCACTGTGGAGAATCAAAACAAACATCAGTTTTTGCAAAGAATCAAACAGCAATGCATGATGGAACACCCCACCCATTTTCATTACAATCTTACATGAGAAAAGAGCATCATTTGTCTGTCAGCTGCATTGGCTTCAACATTTTTAAAGGTCTGATACTGACTTTAACCCTGCAGAAGCAGAAAGCCAAGACCAATTAGGGCCGTCACTTTTGAATTCAAACTCGTTTGAATACAGTTCATTTTAGCAATACAAATGTCTTTCTGTAGCTACATTCCATGAACACTGTGTTCTCCATTTTTTCCTTTAATGCTAAGCAGCAGCACAGTGCCACAATTTTTTTTGGACAGTTTTCACTGAGGCTACTTTACTGCCACAAAAATGTCTCCAGTGCCATATCACCAATATAACAAAAAAATAGGGATGTCATGAAAAAGCCATCATCACGTGTGTTCACCTGATTTTACCTGGTCCGTGTTTGTAAAATAATCATGTGTACGCATCTTCACATAATACCAGAGAACGTGTCTCTCTGTTTCTCTGCAGAGTGACTGTCAGTACAGACCGTAGATAGTGGGAGGGGGAGAGCGATGGGGGGACTGTGCACTAGTTAATTTATCGCGAGTGGCGTTGTTCTCTTGGAAGGATACATTTCTCTGACCTGCTTATCCAATATAAACTCATCTATAAGGTAATCTGGCTTGTTCTTACAGATGTTACGGTTAAATATAAAGTTGGTAAAGCTGCTTTTTTTATGGCCTGGAATGACTAGACAATCCGCATTAGATGTGCTGTTGCTATGAAAACTGTTGGTAATGGGCTCTCTTTAGTAAAGTCATTCTTTTAATGTCACAGAAAAAAAAAAAAGTATCTCTATTATATCAATTTGGAGGCACAAAAACACAAAAAACAGAATACACCTGCATACAGCCCACTGGTTCACTGTCAGTCAGTTGCAGATTTATTCAGTGTGGACTAATAGGGTCGTCGTGGCTGCTGCATGGTAATGCCCCGAGTATACGTTTAAAGTCATCTTTCAATAATAATCAAAGTGTGAAGCCAGACTCTGACCTTTCAATCATGGTACCGTTCTGGATCATCCACACGTCACAGTAGGTCCTGGCCACCAACATGCTGGCAATAAAGATAAGGTACCCAGTCTGTGGGGAAGCACAAAGAATAGTTAGTAGAGCCTGTAAAACATTGCGGATCATAAAGTCGTTTATCATCATGCCCTTCACTCTGCTCATATCTACTCAACTGATCGGATAAGACTGAATGGGACCAGAGGAGCCATGTGGCTGTGACCTTGGCTTATATAGCTGATGTATCTGTGTCAAAGGGCTCTGCTGTGCGCTGCTATTCCACAAGTTAAAAACCTAACCTTCAGTATGGTGTTGGGCAATATACAGGATGAACTGGTTTTAATTTCCTATATGAATTGTCCATATGCCTCTCTATGGCGTCCTTATGCTGCCATATAGTTGAAAAAACTGGAAAACTAGTGACTAAATATCCAGGATGTGTGGAAACCTGACAACAAGGCTGTAAAGGCAGACTAGTGAGTAGATAAGGGAGTTTTTTTTGTAAAAGATTCAAAATTCACAATTGGGCTATTTACTGACATATTATTTATGTTGTAGAACAAAACGACAGTTAACCACAGATATTATTTCAGGCATTTAATCAAAAACCCATGGCCTTTGAGGAGAGGGAACTGGAGGTGCTAAAATGCTAACTCAGTTGTTGGTTTTAGGACTTATTCCTGCAAATATTGGATAGCATCTTCATTTTAAGCTGTGCAAACTATTGACGTGTCCACACACAGCCGGTTGTCTGTCTCATGTGTGTCTGACAGAACATTTACACATATATAAATCAGTCTGTCTACACCGGCCACTTAAAGACTTGAGTTACTCATGCTATGTGCATTTAAACGCAACCCCAAACGTATTTTTACACTACGGGGAGGTAAACAACGTATTTCACTTAGTCAGCTGGGATATACGTATGCTGTCAGAGTGTAAAAACAACACTGACCCAGGATCTCTCCAGTCTGTTTAACTTTCCTACACCAAACAATTGGGTTTGAGGAACTGACGACTGCTGAAATAAACAGAAATGGCCTAACAGCAGTTTGATGTCATACCTCCATGCAGAAAAATCGAGGAACCATGATGCGCAAAATCTGCAGGATTCGGTGGAAGAAAACCTTGTCCACTGATGCACGGTCTTTCTTGCCATCTTTCTGTATGAAGAGATATAACAAAGGTAGGCTGTGATCCAACTACAAATATGACTTTAAGACTGTTTAAAGACTTTATAAATTCCAGACACACAAACATGAAAGACTGACCTCAGCATTATGCACTAGATCTGACCCTCCTTTTCTACTGCAAAGAAAGAGTAATGAGATCAGACAAATATAGTAACATTACAGACGTTGTGCTGTGAAGAAGTTCATACACCAGATTAGAGGATTGCATTGGGATTGGGATCAATACATGAATACCCTTTAATATCTTTGCTTGTATTGGAATAATTCAGCCAATGTTGCGAAAGGCGTCTGTGTGTCACTAGTCCTATTGTTCATCCTAATCCAATGAGCCAGAGGGATCAGATTGATAAGGTTTTATTTTTATTATTATTTATATATTTATATTATTATTAATATTTCCACTTTAGTAGCTTTTAGTTTAGTTTTAGTTTTTTTTTGTTTTAGTCAAGTTACATTTTCTGCTCATATTTTGGACTCCATGTCCTACTTGAACAACAAATAGTGTATATACTTTAAGTTATTTTTATCCATATATTCTTATATCTTCTATTAATAATAATATTAGCAATATTTTTACTGTGATATTCTTTGTTTTCTGTTTTTGGCTGCTTTGCCCTATTGCTGCTGTGTCAAAATGAATTTCTCCTAAGGTGGATTAATAAAGGAATTATCTTATCTTATCTTATCTTATCTTACTATTATTATCACTACAGATACTATTATTACTATAATCACTGCTCATTGTCCCCCATCGTTGTTGTCGTTATCATCTTCTTCATGTTCATCATCATCAGTCACTACTATTAGTGTAGTTGTTGCTACTGTTGTTGCTGTCTGTCTGTCTGTCTTTTATCTGTCTCTCTCTCTCTCTCTCTCTCTCTCTCTCTCTCTCTCTCTCACCCCAACTGGTCGAGACAGACGACCACCCACCTAGAGCCGAAGGATCTGTCCTAGGTTTCTGCCTTTTAACAGGCAGTTTTTCCTTGCCCCCGTCACCAAGGTCTTGCTCATGGTGGTACTGTTGGGTCTCTGTAAATAATGTTATAAAGAGTTCGGTCTAGACCTGCTCTATTTGAAAAGTGTCCTGAGATAACTTCTGTTATGAATTGGTGCTATACAAATAAAATTGAATTGAATATGTCAGTCAGTGGACTATTTCAGTGAAGAAGTGTCAGTCCTTTAGTGGAGAGTTGCTTCAATACTCTCAGCTCTGTCTGCAGCACATGCAGCCTTACCAGAGTACACAGCTGAGCAGACTGTGCAGAGTCAAGCGGTGTCTTCATGGTAAGTTGCTGACTAGTTTGTGAAATACATTTCTGGAGAGTTGATAAACAAGGACCCATCATTTTCCTCTTTCAATATAACTAATAAACCTATCCCTGGCTCATGTGGTCTGATCCAACAGACAAGCTACTGTAGCTCAAACTGCTGAAACAGTTAATGCTGGTTCTGATAGAAAGGGGTCAGAACACACAGTGCAGAGCAGTTAGTTACGTATGGGGCTGTATAACATTCTGACCACCAGGGTGCCCAGGTGGTCATGGCTGATCGGTGTATATTGAATGGTAAATGGACTGTACCTATAAAGCGCCTATCTAGTCCCATCTAGACCACTCAATGCGCTGTACACTACATGCCACAGTCACAAATCCGCATTAAATTCACCTTTAATGGTCAGTGTTAAAAAACATCTGCTGGTATAACTATGCTACTGTTTAAGCTAGGTTGGGACATTGATACGGTTTAGTTCCACAAACATCGACTCTCATTATGATACTGTAGTGAAGGGACTTAACGTCCAGTTAAGCATTCATACAGGCACACAGGTTTAACTCAGAAGCCACCTGTAACACTTGATCCATCTCATACCTGTGGCAGTATGAAGCTTCCAACCTTCCACTCATTTAGAAATTAGTGAGGTTTGGAAGTGATATTACTTCTCCAACTATATCCCTGTGCATCATAGTTAACACATTTGTTATTATTTAATGTGTCTATGCTCTCCCAGCTCCAGACACATTTCCTGAGGATTTTAAAATGGACTCTCCAGACGCATATTTGTGTTCTTGTACTTTATGTAATGTCAAAAGAGAGGCACACAGATTGTGAATGAATATAAAAAATGAAATAAATGAAATAATTAAACAATTGCTTTTTTTAACATATGTAAAATCTTAAAATTTCCCCTGTGCTATGTGCATTGTAACTGGACATATTCAATGTTATTACTGCCGGATCTAAGAGTGGATTATAAAGATTGTGAACGGTGGAGTGTCATTCCTAAAGATAAGAAAATATACATTTCAACCAGCAATTTTTTTAAATGTTTTTCTGGAATTTTGCGTGTCTATTGTGCCCAAGTGAGATACTAGGTTTTTGGAACTATGTCAGCGATTAAAGAACTATGACAACCGTGGACAGCTCAAAACAGAGACATGACAAATAAGTTATTACCAACTTATCCAAAGTTGCACACATCGGCCATTCGGTTGTGTATGAAGCGACTGTTAAGGTGTTTTTGGAGCACAAAGACAATCGTTGTTTGTACTTCGATGAGAAAGCAGGTTGGAATAAGAATCCAGGACCCAGCAGCAGGTCGCTGTCACCTATCTGGATGGGAAGCTAACAGCTAGCAGCTGCTGTTAGCCTCCTGACAGCCGTCACAAAAACAACTGAAAGCCGAGTTTTATACACTTCAAAGCGAACCTGAACAATGTCCACTGCCGCCTACTTACCCGTCCTGTTTGGACCTCCGTCTTCTGTTCTTCAGCAAGTATAAGACTAACAAAATACCGCCTGCTATGGAGGAGTTCTTCGCTGTCACATATTTACTGAAGGACGCCATGTTTCTGACACAACGACCGGCTTGGTTTGCTCGAGTTTGCTTCAGTTCAACAGCGGCATTCTGGGAGTCTCACGCCATTTCTTCTTCTCCTTCTTTTTCTTCAGAATAGACCAGGTCTGCCCCTAGTGGACAGATGCGGTACTCTTCAGTTTGACATGAGCTCAATGATGTCCAGTTCCTCCCTGTAAACCGACTGGGAGCTCAATGTCCTGTTATACAGCTTCTAATAATGAACACTGCAGTTTTGTTAGAATGTAGAAAGACTGCAAGTAATATTTTAATTGTATCAATTACTCTTCCATCTTCCATCATATATTAAAATATCCTCAGTAGGCAATTTGTTCATATGTAGTTTAGAGCTGGGGTATTCAATTAAAATTTAAAACAGGTTCAGTTCAAAATTGTGTTGTGTGACTCATCTCTTGTACTACTGTATACTTTTATCATTTGACTGGTTATCATTTTCTCACTGCTCTCAATTCCTCTTATCTGGTCAAGATGCCTCAGCTGGCTCTCCTGTTTTAGTTTGAATGGGTTTTTGGCTTTATGAATGAAACTGAATAGAAAATGTGTGGTTTGGATTACAGAGCAATCCAATGAGACTTTGAAAATAATCCGTCCAGCCAGATCAGCGGGACAAGCCCACCACGGTGGGAGCTGTCAACCCAAGAGAAGAGGAAGAAAGCTGAGATAGGAGCCATGCTGTCCCATCTGGGACTTAAGGCTGCTCCTGGCTAATGTCTGGTCTAGACTCAATGGAGCTCAATGGGAAATCAAAGATTCTTTGTTTACATCCAGCATATTTGAATAATGGAGGGTTGTGTCACATTTCATTACATTACATTACTGTACATTACATATGACATCACATCTTATTCTCTAGGTTTTCAAAAATAAGAACAAGCTGTGAATTTTGTGAAGGCAGTATAGTATGAAAATGTTTTACTTTTTTATCATTTATCAATAATATTGGCAGATGAGGTCCTCCCTTAAGACTGCAGAGCTGTCTCGAGTTACCAGGCTATGTCAGTGCTGCCTCACCCTCCCTCCCGCCCTGGCTCAATGTGGAAGGCAGCCTAAATAGACCAGGACTGCATGTTTAGGGACCAGCTGACAGAGTAGAGACCTGCTGCCACTCAGAGACATGGAGAGACTGGAGCAAGCTCTGTTCCGCCTGGAACAAGGTAGGACGACTATACACTTTATCCACAGCATGTTAACAATACTGCACAGTCAGAGCTCAACTTTACCATAATAACACTGCTACATTCCCATATAATGCAACTGTATGCTGCTACAGTACACTACAATAATATAATACTATAAGCACACAATATAACATGCACCTGGTTTAACCTATAAATGTGTGGCCTTGTCAGGGACCTTCTCTCACTCTAGGCTATTTAATGCACTCAGAAAACTGAATATGTCATGAAGTCACCCTTTAACCTTTTATTTATTCAGGAAGTTTCACTGTGAGCAAGTCTTACTATTTCAGGAACGTCCTGTTCACACACACACACACACACACACACACACACACACACACACACACACACACACACACACACACACACAAAATACATAATGGCGGTCTGAACGAAGCAGCATAACCTCTTCTTAACAGAGAGGACTACCTTTTGAGTACATCCCATTCTGAATGCAAGGCTGTAGCAATGCTGAAAAGATTGGACATACATGGGGGAAGGAATGATTATAAATCTACAGCTGGTGTAAGTACTTAAACTGGAACTTACAGGTTCATATTTTCAACATGGGAAGTTGAGTACACAGTATACCTGCGTTCAAGTAGGACTGACAGCAAAAACAGATGCTTAGAATCAGAATCAGAAATACTTTAATAATCCCAGTTCAAAATGCTTTCTGCACTTTAATCTCCCGCCAGTAATACAAGAATGTGGTAGACAACAAAATAACTTTGTGTAAAAAGTACTCACATAGCAGTGAATACCACTTCAGTGGGTTGTTTACACAGACCCTTATTGTAAACAGAGTAAATACAACCTCCCTTGAAGGAACCATATATAGGTTCCTGTAATGTATTCTAGTGGTCCTCATTACTCCTGCTGTCTTCAGGCTTTGAGCTGCAATTCCGTCTTGGCCCTACCCTCCAGGGTAAGGAGGTCCAGGTCTACACCAACTACCCTGCCAAAGGCCATATGTTCGATCGCCTAAAGTACCATTCTTTGGACTGGGTCTACCCAAACGGCAGGGAGGATGACTCTGATAAATACTGCAGACTGGACTTAACGGTGGCTGGATCCTTCCAGTACTACTTCTCCTGTGGGTAAGTTGCTATTCATGGTTATTATATTATCATGGGACAATAAACCTACTGTGCTCTGATCACGAAAACTGCATGCCCCTGGTCTCTCAGTCATGGTTACAAGTGTGAAATCTTCAGTCATAGATTAGGGGGATTTGGGGAGTGTGTTGAAGCCTACAAAACATGTTTAAAATATAATTTAACAAATGTATTTCAAGGTTGATAAGATTTAAAACATCAATATGGCAGATAGTCATGGTGTCACACTCCCTCTGTCTGTGTTACTTTTGCAGCCTCTCTTTGGTTTCTATACACAGCATGTGCATGTTAGTGCATATTAGTCCGTTTGGATACAACGGAGGAGAGACTGAAACGTTTTTTTATCTACTTCGGTAAATTATGGATCTATTTTGAGCAAACCTGAGTTGGTGAGTTGATGATTTTTGGAACAGTGGAAAGACCAACAAAGACAATGTTGGTGAGTTTAATTTGTTTCTGTCCACTTTGAATAAAGTTACAATGTTACATGTTATTATATGCAAGGTAAAATTACTGTTTGTATATGGAGTCTTGTGGTGAGTGATAGTAATATTACTGTTTCTGGTTAAACTAAAGGTTAATCTCTGTAGGGACCCTTTCCATAATGTTGTCAGACACTTGAATAACAATCTAAGCCTGTCAGTGGCAAAAACAACTTTCAGTGTACTACATTTGTCCCCAAGGAAAATATTGGTTACCTAGCGATGGGAATTCTTTAGTGAATTCACTGAATGAAGGGGTTTATTTTGACCAAGTGTGTTATATGACTATCTGCTAAGTAAAATTACTAGTTTTGTCAATGGAGCTGTAGCACCCATTGTTTTGGTCTGAGATGCTCTAGTGCAACATTTAGTGGCAAGTAAATTTCACAATAATGAACAGCCACAAATTAAAATAAAGCACTATAGGTCATATAGCAGGTCAGCTTGGCTGGTGCATACATATTTTATAATTGCTTCCCATAAACGTGTGTGTTTTTACCACCAACACAGTCATAACCTGGTCAGTTTGCAGTGACAAAGTTTAGAGACAAATCAACCCAGTTTTCAAAAGGCAACTGACTGACTGTAAGAGAACATTCATCTACACTGAAAACCATCAGTCCAGATGTAATGAACAGCAGCAGTAACACATTGGTTTATATTTAACATGTGCATCACATTAATTCAATACCATTATTATTACTGAAATGTATTAGTTACACTACTAGTTACTCTGGAAATTAATGTTAATACTGTAATATTCTTGCTAGTAATGCCTTACTGCCCAACAATGGTCAAGGACAGCAACCAAAAATACAACCGAGTACTATTTAACATCAACAACAGGGTTGTATTAAATACTTACCACCAAGCTATATTTTGGGTGGAATATCACTTTAGCTTTGCATACATGAGTCAACTATCTTATAATGGAAATGTGCTGAACATATTCCTACTCCAAAGGGAATAAGCTCTGAGCACCGCCCTATTTGCCCCAGTAGCAATGAGAACATCTGTTAAACTCACCATTGTAGTATCTGCCTTAATAACATTTGTTTGATTGACATTTGATTGATAGTGTTAAAAAATTGTGATTCAATGAAAGAACTCAATCTGTGAAAGGTCTTTGTGTGTGTGTGTGTGTGTGTGTGTGTGTGTGTGTGTGTGTGTGTGTGTGTGTGTGTGTGTGTGTGTGTGTGTGTGTGTGTGTGTCTGCTAGAATCTTGCTTTTGTATTTCGAGAAAGAGGAAACACATGCATTAACTCTCACACAAATATCAGACTTGACCTGCACTACCTGATCTTCATTACCACAAGGAGAGCCAGTCAGGGCAAAAAATGAACTATTGTGTCCAGTAAACTGACATCAACCACTGAACTGACCATCATCTACAGCTATGCACATGTGTCCAATCCATCAGGGGCTTAGAGTTGTTTTTTCTCTTTGACAGGGATGAAGAAAAAGTGAGCAGTGGTTACATTGTGGTTGATCCAGTGCTGAGGGTGGGAGGCAACAATGATGTCCTCCTGCTGGACTGCATCAGCAGCCAAACATACTTGGCCAAATGCCTCGGCCCTCTGGACAAATGGCTTGACAGGGTCAGGGTTGCAAAGGAGACTGGTAAGTGGGCCAGCATGACAAACTGATCTGACCACAGATTTTCTGAATACAGAATCAATCCCATACAGTACTTTATAACACAACAACATTAACAATGCAGATATTGGGTGTTATGTCTATATAGGGATGTCACATTACCAGAAATGATATATTTGATACTTATATCAGTAAAACTCCACCATTCTTGATATCTAATTCAATACCATGGTAAAAAACAAAAACAAAACAATAAATTCCATCCTTTATTAAAGACATTTGAACTTTACAAACAACAACAGTGGTTAGTTGATGGTTTGGTCTTCATATAAACTACCTTACTCTATCTTAATATCATGAGCCTCATTTTGTAACTTCACGTTATAATAATTCTTGGTCATCTGTGATGTGAAAACATCAGCTTTAGACTGTGCATCCTGCTCATAGTTAACTTATAAAATACCAGTGTCCTGCTGCAAGCTCTGCAAAAAGAGTATTTCCAACATGTGAGAACATGTCTGACACGACAAATCTCTTGTTGTGTCCTACATGTGTGAAGGAACAAATTTCAAATTCTTACGTTAAAACACTTTTAGTGTTTTTTGACAACTGGAGGCAGAGTTGTTGCTGCAGCTGCTGTTGCCATATTTATCATGTTATTCTTCCCTGCTGGTAGGTGTCATTCTTCTTCCTATGGCATTAATTCTAAACTGGAACACTTGAAAGCGTATACATGGCCCGTGTCAGGTCTGGGTGACTTGAATCCCCGGTACCTACCGTACTGTAGAGAAATGTGTACTGCCATGTTTTCATTACTTTGCCATTGACTCAATACTGAAGAATCGGTTTTGGTGACATCCCGATGCCAATATGAAGTTTACAAATATTGTTGTTTATTGTACTTGCTTTGAAATTATAATTGTTTGTTACAGGTCAGTTTGCACTAATCACTTGACACAAACTGGCAACCAAAGGAATTTGATTACAAAATACCATCCATCCATTCATCCATCCATCCATCCATCCATCCATTCAAGTAGTTTTATGTTTGTCTCACAACACACTGGTCAGTGGAAAAGGTTCTATTCTACTGTGTCCCTGTGTCTTATGTTATGTGTCATTGATGAACCCACGAAGAATTATCTCAAATTTCAGCATTTCAGTGTCTTTTAGGTCATGCTTTATCAGCTTTGTTTTGTAGGCCTCAGTTTTGTGTGTAAACACAGTTATAATGTTAATTTAATTCATGTTGATCAACAACATGCAGTTGTAAAATGATTTGCTTGGTTTGATCTTCTTCTTCTTTTATAAAAAAAAATGACACAACTTAATGATCATGGGAAAAGTGGGTCCTGAGGTGAGACCGGTTAAGAACCACTGTTTTAGGTCACTGTTGTGTTTTCCTATGGTTCAATCTGACCAACTGAAGTCCAACATTAGGAAGCTGGTAAGAGCTGGTGAGCACAGTGGAGCATTTCACAGCTAACAACATTTCTCAGGAGTTGGTAAAGACCAAAAACAGAGCTAAAAGCAGAGTGTGAAAATATCACATTCATCAGGAGGATATACCCCTCTAAATAAATGCTAATATTCCTCTGTGTCTGTGTGCCATTACAGACTCTGCAGTATGACAATCACTCAGAGTCTAGTCTCAAGTCTAAAATGTTGCTACAAGAATGGACTGATCTCAGCGACGCTGATGAACTCTCTTTATCTGAGGTTTCATGTTGCTTTTGGCTCTGTTCTGTGTAGGCTACAACATGATCCACTTCACCCCGCTCCAGAAGCTTGGTCTGTCTGGCTTCTGTTACTCCATAGCTGATCAGCTGGAGTTGAACCCTGACTTTTCAACTGAGGGGAAGCACTGTACCTGGAGAGACATCGGTAACCTGGTGGAGACACTGAGGAAAGAATGGAATATGGTCTGCATCACAGATGTGGTCTATAATCACACAGGTAAAGTCATACATGGATTAATGAGTGGGCCTACCAGGGCAGGCCCAGGAGCCCAGCGGTTCAGAAAGCTAAAAACAGGCACAAAACAACCACAAACTGAAGGAACTATCCTAAAGAACAATATGGTCATGTCATTTGTAGCTGTTTTGTGTCTCTTTCAGAGTGGTCATCTTGCTCCTGTACAGGAGGAGTAGGGGCCCTGTCCTGTTTACATGTCTGCGCCTTAGGAACCCATCATTAAATAGGATTTCATCCAGGAGAATGTATTTTGAGATATTTATTTTGTATTTGTAAACCTTAAAAGCCCAGTGTGTTAGATTTAGTGGCATCTAGCAGTGAAGTTGCAGATTGCAATCATACAGTTCAGCCTCTTAGGATCTACGGTGGCCCCAAAAACATGCAAAAAACCACTGCGTCTATTGATAAAAACGTCTCATTCTAAGGTAACAAAAACACGACGATTCTTATTTTTCAGGTGATTATACACACCTATGAATATTATTTTCCATTTGTGACGACAGATCCTCCTAAATGTTACACACTGGACCTGTAATCTGATTCGGATAATCAATTAGCTGCTCAGTTTTCTATTATTTGCAACCTTCACTGGATCACCTGATTTTAACATCGGAACAATTGGATTATTTTATGTTATAATTGGTGGCATTGTATGGGGAAATATTGTACTTGCAAACACTTGTGAGTGATACATTGTTATATAATGCAATTGTATGCTATTTCTATCAGCTGCTGTAGTGACTCGATGCGATGAGTTAAAAGTCTTGTCTTACTCTTAACAAGGATAGTGGCAGTGCTGTGGTGGAAATAAACCACAGTGGCAGCTGTGCTATTACATCACCTTCTCCGTTTCCTCATTGACATTTAGTCCCTATTCATGTTGAAGGTCATATACATAGATAGACTGGTAACGGCAACAGGGTGCACTTTATCAGAACATGACAGCTAGACTTCAGATAGAAAAACCTTCCTTCTCTGATCTTAAAAACTACATTAAGCTAACTATACATTGGGTGCCTTGGTGTTTTAGAATGTAATAGTTTGCATTCTGCTTTTATTCTCAATAAGGTGATATTCAAGATGACTTCACTAAGGTTAGGTCATCTCTATTAGTTAAAAAAATATTTTAAAAAGAAATTTAAAGGTCCTGTGTGTAAAAATTTAGAAGGATTCAATTCAATTCAATTCAATTCAATTCAATTTTATTTGTATAGCGCCAATTCATAACAGAAGTTATCTCAGGACACTTTTCAAATAGAGCAGGTCTAGACCAAACTCTTTAAAACATTATTTACAGAGACCCAACAGTTCCACCATGAGCAAGACCTTGGTGACGGGGGCAAGGAAAAACTGCCTTGTTAAGAGGCAGAAACCTAGGACAGACCCTATTGGCTAAAAGCTATTACAATATTTATAGGTATGTTTTCATTTGTGTATGGTGACCTGAAAATTAGAATTGTTATGTTTCCTACGTTACCTTAGAATTAGTCATCTTTGGGGCACCTGGATAGCTCACCCAGTAGACCTAGGTCCTTGCCCCTACAGCCCAGAGTTTCAGTCTGTAACTCTTTCCTTTCACTGGAAATCTGGACCTAAAGTTTGTCTTGTTCTAGTCTTGTTTCCCCTATGTTGTTCTTGGTTCAAGGTTTTTCAACATCAGTTTCTGCATTTTACTCTCTTGTTGAGGGGGATGTCCTTAAAACCTATGATCTTCAGCTCTCCCACCACTTGCGGTCACGCAAATGATAAAGTGCATTCCCAACAATGTTTAGGTAGTCTCAGGACACCCCATTGTTGAAAAAGCCCACTCAGAACCCATCTAAAGTTTATAAATACAGACCAATGTCACTGCATGAAGGTTCAAATGTCAAGTCTCAGGCTTGCAATATAATTTACTTAATTCCCACTTCTGCCCTTTTGTCTGCAATAGTGATGGGTCGGTCGCGAACAATCCGGCTTTAAGAGCCGGCTCTTTGAAGTGAACGACGGGAGCCGGCTCCTGATTGGGAGCCAGATACGGAATTTCTTTTCGGATTTTCCCGTTTTTTCCTGTTAAAGCCGAGTGATCTACACTGAGCAGGAGGGGGGAGGGAGGGGTTACAGACACACAGGGCACAGTGAGCAAGTGAACAGGTGGGAGGGAGATGTGAGAGAGCAAGAGAACTTGGCGCTACATAGACAGAGACTACACACAGGAAAGGTGAGGAATACGAGTGACAGGAAATGTAATAAAGTTTGGACATATATGTATGTGGTAGACAGTTCAAAGGCAGAGTGTTGACTGCAAAGTTAAAAATTTCATATCAAGCATCATGGCCGATGCTGCAAGTTCTCTGAGAGTTATCTCAGTAACGGTTGCTCTCAGCAGCTCTTACACTTTGCTAGGAAATTTTTACACTCCTAATGGTAAGATAAGATGCTTTGTGAATACATAGTAACAAATACACAGTAGTTGCACATTTTTTCTCACAACATTGTGTGCAAAATTAGATACTGTAAAATGTGATTCATATAACCTATTAATCATGTCAAGTAAATAGAATAATATATTCTACTTCACACTAATATCACACTTCATTCACAATGCAATCTTTCTGGCCTTCCTTGCCGCAAACTCATCAATAACCTCCTCGTAGGAAATCTGACCACCAACCTCATGGTTGATACTGATTGTGGCCAGACCACTGAGGCGTTTATTGAGCCATGGTGGATCTGAGGTATGTTTTAAGGAGTTTTAACTTGGAAAAACTCCGCTCAGCTGAAGCTACTGTTATTGGTAGTGTTGTGCTTATCCGTAGTTGCACATATTTTCTCATCTCTTCTCTTCTTCTCTGCTCTTCTCTACCACCATCCATTGTCTCTAGCGGCTGACAGTGAGTGGATTCACCTCCATCCTGAGTGTGGTTACAACCTGGTTAACTCTCCTTATCTGAAACCAGCATGGCTTCTGGACAGACTTCTGTGGCATCTCAACTGTGAGGTGGCTAATGGGAAATACGCTGAACAAGGAGTGCCAGCATGCATTCAAGATGAGCATCACATAAATGTGAGTCTGAATATTCTTACTGTAATTGTGGCTACTTGCTGTAACGTTAAAGTCAAGATACAACCTTGTGCACTTCTTATATAACTCAACATGTTATATCTTTTTATTACCAATAACCAGATTTGCCCATTTTTTGTTTTGAAACCTTAGATTCTCAAAACTCTACACACAAATCCAAAAACACACTATTCTTGCAATAATTCTTGCAATGCAAAATCTGCAGCTCCAGAGCCACATATGGCTCTTCAGACCTGTGGCTTCGTCAAAAATATATGGTATACATATATATTTAGATTATTTTTTAAATATTATTTTATAAATATTATAAATCATTGTTGTAGGCCTAAAATTATTCTTATATTCTCAAATTGTAGAAACGTAGCTGATTTTTCATCAACTAAAATGTATGCCCTGACGTAGCGCCTTTTCCTCTATATTTTGCCCCATTTAGTGGTGGGATGGAAATAAACTAATGAAAAGCAGGGGAATTCAATGGACCAATTGCAACCCATACCACCCAGTGGAAAGTTGTAGCACTGTGTGTGTGTGTGTGTGTGTGTGTGTGTGTGTGTGTGTGTGTGTGTGTGTGTGTGTGTGTGTGTGTCTGTGTTTGTCAGGCTCTGCGGGGCGTCCTGTGGCAGCAGGTCTTCTCCAGGCTCAGGCTGTGGGAGTTTCTGCAAGTCAACGTGGATGAAGCTGTGGAGCAGTTCAAACAGCTGCTGCAGGAGGGTGAGACAACAATGATGAAGGAACACAGAAAAGTGTAAACACACACACACAAAAAAATACATTCATAGAATTATTTCAATATTTGTAGTCTATGTTTAGTAAGGTGAGTATTTTGAAGCAGGTGCTGAAAATTAAGCTCATGATTAGTCTTTTCAGTTATTTTTCAAAGGGAAAATGTGTTTTTGTAAAATAGAACAAGAATTTAACATGTATAAACAAAACAACACAAAACAAAACAAAAGAAGCTCATGTGTGGACCTTTATCCATCCAGGTAGTTCAGGTGTCGGGTCCAGGTCCAGTCCTGAGTGTAAGAAGCAGCTGAAGATAGTGCAGGACCTTCAGCACAGACGCTTTGGAAACAAAGTGGACATGAACTCTGCCCTGAACATTTTCTGGCCTCACAGGTGACTCCTCTCTATAGCCTTCACCTGCTTTACTCCCCATGGGGCAGGGAAAGTACAGTTGGATACTGGCAAATAGATATAGTAATATAGATATATAGATGTAGTAATATGACAAGATTTCAGTTGCAGATACTGTGTGGTAAAATATATTGTTATTGTATTGTTTCCGGTTCCGTCTGTCCCATGCAAATGTGGTGGTCAATGGTAAAAGTTAACCACGACCTCATGTCTGTCTTTTTCATGTGAATGCAGTATCTTTTTCAATTCAATTTAAGACTAGTACAAGATAACATCCAGCTCACCTCAACATCTACCTCATTCTCTTCGACAAAGTCTGCAAAAAATCTGGACATCTGTCATATAGTTATTCATAGTTTGGAATTCCAAATGGTACTGAACACTACTACGCAATTTGTTTTAATTTAATACAATCTAATCTAATCTAATCCAATTCCCTTTCACAGTCCTATGTATTGATGAATATTTCATTTCAAATTAATTTACACAGCCCTGTCACCTGTCAGGCAATAAATCTAGACATTGTGAGCAAATTGATTCAGAAACATGATGTTATCCATAGCAACATGGCCGATGCTGCAAGTTCTCTGAGAGTTATCTCAGTAACGGTTGCTCTCAGCAGCTCTTACACTTTGCTAGGAAATTTTTACACTCCTAATGGTAAGATAAGATGCTTTGTGAATACATAGTAACAAATACACAGTAGTTGCACATTTTTTCTCACAACATTGTGTGCAAAATTAGATACTGTAAAATGTGATTCATATAACCTATTAATCATGTCAAGTAAATAGAATAATATATTCTACTTCACACTAATATCACACTTCATTCACAATGCAATCTTTCTGGCCTTCCTTGCCGCAAACTCATCAATAACCTCCTCGTAGGAAATCTGACCACCAACCTCATGGTTGATACTGATTGTGGCCAGACCACTGAGGCGTTTATTGAGCCATGGTGGATCTGAGGTATGTTTTAAGGAGTTTTAACTTGGAAAAACTCCGCTCAGCTGAAGCTACTGTTATTGGTAGCGTTGTGCTTATCCGTAAGGCAATGCACAAGTTGGTATTTATTTCTGTGAGCTGCTTTTTGTGTATGAATTTCAACAACTCAAATTACGTACCTTTCTCTTTTGCAAATTTCTCCTGCTCTTCTTTTCTGTGCTTTCGAAAGTGGGCCCCGGATGGCTTCTGCCATTTCACTTTCCATGGACTGTAGCTGTAACCATAGTAACCTGTCGACACGCAGCCGACCGGCCGACTGCGCATCAGTGTGCGCGCTAGCATGTTGTGACCGTGGCCACGTCAGAATTGTCATTTCTTTTACTTAAGTTTAATTTATTTTTTTATGTCAAAGTATTGTTGCGGATAGAGGGATGGCAAAAACTGTTGAAAAAAGAAATAGACATTATATATATAATTTTTTTCTCGCCACATATTTGGCGCCCCTCACTAGGTGGCGCCTTAGGCAAGTGCCTATGACGCCTATAGGAAGGACCGCCATTCTCAGGAATGCTTGTTGGGATTTCTTTGATCCACTTGGATTGTAATAGTAATAATAAGTGTGTAAAAGGAAAACGAAAATAACAACAGAGTGAAAGAAATTTCCCATAGAATTAATTAGGAGTTCTTTTTGATGGACAGCACATTCAAAGTTGAAAGGTCTACTGAAATGTGAATATGTCAAGCTGATAAGAACAATATATACTGAAACACTCACTGATCCTTCTGTTGGTAACAATATCATGTTAAGCCATCACCATGAGTCACTGTGTTGATGGGATTGAATTCTCTCTCTCCCTCTCTCTCTCTCTCTCTCTCTCTCTCTTCTCTCTCTCTCTCTCGCTGGTAACAGTATGAGCCCATCAGACATCCAGGAGTGTTGTAACAGTTTCAGAGGGAGACTGGAGGAGCTGAACCTGGATGCCTACAAAGAGATGAACCACCATGCAGAGCAAGTGTGTGTGTGTGTGTGTGTGTGTGTGTGTGTGTGTGTGAGGTTAACAGATTTATTTTCAGTGGTTGCTGTTCAACTTTCTTTTGGGATGTTGAACCCCCATTGCTGTTTTATCTCCTCAGGCGACTGACTGCATTGTGAGAAATGTAGTTCATGAGCATCTTTCTGATCAGGGGCCTAAGCTGGGTCCGGTCTCAAGGAAATACCCTCTCTGTCCCAGGTAACTTCTCCAGCTCATCTTCACTGACCTGTTAAAGTCACCATTGAAATAATTTTACTATCTAAATAAATACTAATGGCTGTAAAATGATCTGACAAAAAAAATGAAATTGGGGTAAAAATGTATAGTAATATAAGAAATTTAGGAGTCTATTTGTAAATTTTGGTTCTAATGAAGTTTATTAAAAGGTGTAATATTACCTGGGTGTAGATTATTTCTGATCCATGTGTTGATGGCTCAGAGGCAGAGTGGGTTGTCCACAATTTGGAAGGTTGTTGGTTGCTCCTCCCACACATGTCGAAGTGTCCTTGAGCAAGATACTGAACCCCAAATTGCTTCTGATGCCGTGCTCACAGTGAGTGAGTGTGAATGTTAGTTTCTGTTCGATGGACTTTGCCACCACTGAGTGAATGTGTGTGAAAGGGTGAATGTGGCACGTAGTGTAAAAGCGCTTTGAGTGGTCGGAAGACTAGAAAGGCGCTATACAAGTACAGGTCCATTTACCATTTACTGTCTCCTCCAGGTATTTCATCTTCCCTTTTGAAGAGATGACCTTTGATGAGGAAACGCAGTTGATGGAGCAGAGAGACAAGGCGTGCCACTTCCTGGCACATGATGGCTTTGTGAAAGGAAATGACCTGTCCAGGGACTTTGTTGGACCAGGTAAACAACCTTGTTAGAAGCAGGTAACGAATGCATCTCCCTACTTTCTTCTAGTTTTGCCTAGTTTCGCACAGCAGCCATTTTGACATGAAACAGTGGGTGTTCCCAATTATATACTTAATAGGCCATAAGGTGAAGCCGTCTATATGGGGAACTAAATATTTTTTATTTCGTAAAAATATCTATTAGTTTAGTTTAGAAAAGTTGTCTATGTGACATCCTACAGTTATTTTTAAATTCGTGTTGAAAGTCGGCAATAGTTCTCTCCTCACATAGTCAGATTTTGATTATAAGTGATGAGGCTTCGCGGAACGATCGTCACTTTCTTCCCTGGACCAATCAGGCATTTTGGAACGACATGTAAACAAGAATCCAAGATGTCTGCGCCCTCGTTGTCACCATCCGGCAACGAGAGGAGAAAATTACAACAAACTTTCTTCAAAAGTGCGTAAGTGGGATTTTAAACAATGCTCTATCTCACATCCATAAAGAAAGAAGAGACGACCGATTTACATCAGCGTCCAACAGCAGGGCGAGAGTCAGAGAATAACAGAAACATGGAACGTTGCATTGTATAAAAATCCATTTTGACGGTGTTCCTGAAGACCTACAGGTGCTTCACTGTGGCAGGCGAACAGAAACGTTGACACAGCAGGTAAAAAAATAAAATAGGTTTGAAGTTAAAGTTAAAGAACTCTAGAGGGGGGAATATTGGGAATACCAAAGTGAGCAAAGGGGAAAACAATCATTTTTAGATGCATGTTTTTCTAAATGCTGCTGGGTACCGTTAATAAAATTCAAGTACAAATTCATAATTTATTTAATATATATTGTACAGTCAGAGTCAGATAAACATTGTTTTGCATACAGCTGCAAGTACATAGACATCTATAATATAATAGACTGCACACTTGAAGGAGTCACCACTATTGAAACCGATGATTGTCCTGACTGCATTAATAACGTGTGGAAGGCTAAGATGGAACATCATTTATACACATGATAACTAGCCTAAACAGTGAGTGGAACCTTCAGGACTGAGTAATGGTAACGATAATAGTTTGATTTATAAATTGATTGTTTCATTTTTCGGCCAGTTGCTGGAAGCTGCAGAAACAAACAGAAGCATTATTGTTGCACAGTTTTACAGTATTTCAGACCCTATAATGTATCTCTACCAAGTCCATTTACAAGTCAGCTGAGCATGGACTTTTAAGCTGCAGTTGTATGTTGCAGGCAAAATAAATTGAAGAGGAGGTTGAAACATGATTTCCCCCAGATTTTCTTTAATTCCCTAACAGGACCAACATTTGTGAGAGGATTTTTGTTGATAGACAGGCTACCTCAACCATCAGGCACAGAAACAAGAGTCTAAAAGTGACAGTAAAATTAAGTATATTTTCTATACATTTGTACGGAAGCCCTAACGGGCCATGCATTCATGCATTTTATTTCCTCTGTTTCCAGTGATAACGAGTTAATTTTCTGTATATGCTGTAAATTTAAGTGTGGCTGATTTGACCACGAATATCATTTCATTTACGTAATATTACAAAAATTAGACACATACTATCACAGACAGATGCAGAAAAACTAATCCATGCATTTGTTACTTCAAGGCTGGATTACTGCAACTCTTTATTATCAGGTTGCCCCAATAAGTCCATTAAAACGCTCCAATTAATTCAGAACGCTGCAGCACGAGTACTGACAGGAACTAGAAAAAGAGATCACATCTCTCCTGTACTAGCTTCTTTGCATTGGCTCCCTGTAAAATGTAGAATAGAATTTAAAATCCTCCTCCTCACCTACAAAGCTCTTAATGGTCAGGCCCCTTCATATCTGAAAGAGCTCATAGTACCCTATTACCCCACTAGAACACTACGTTCTCTGAATGCTGGGCTACTTGTGGTTCCTATAGTCTCTAAAAGTAGAACAGGAGCCAGAGCCTTCAGTTACCAAGCTCCTCTCCTGTGGAACCAGCTTCCAGTTGTGGTTCGGGAGGCAGACACCCTCTCCACATTCAAGAGTAGGCTTAAGACATTCCTCTTTGATAAAGCTTATAGTTAGGGCTGGATCAGGTGAGTCCTGAACCATCCCTTAGTTATGCTGCTATAGGCCTAGACTATCGGGGGATTTCCCATGGTGCACTGAGCTCCTCCCTTCCTCTTTCTTGTTACTAACTTCACTTCCCGGAGTTCTTGTGCTTTCTCGTCTCGCAGGTTCTTATCGATCCTGGTGGAGCCTCCTGCCATGGTCCTGCTAGATTGCCATTGCCAATACTGTTGTTGCTGTGCACCTGTCTGTCTCTCTGTCTGTCTCTCTCTCTCGCTCTCTCTCTCTCTCTCTCTCTCTAGGTGGGTGGCAGAAGACCACCCACCTAGAGCCGAAGGATCTTTCCTAGGTCACCCCGTCACCAAGGTCTTGCTCATGGTGGTACTGTTGGCTCTCTGTAAATAATGTTATAAAGAGTTCGGTCTAGACCTGCTCTATTTGAAAAGTGTCCTGAGATAACTTCTGTTATGAATTGGCGCTATACAAATAAAATTGAATTGAAATTGAATTGAATCACAGTCGTTATCTCGAGATCTCGAATTAATTATATCGTTATCTCGGGAAAACAAAGTTTCATTATCTTGAGATCTCGAGAAAATTAACTCGTTATCACAGGAAAATGGAGGAAATAAAATGTATGAATACATGGCCCTTTAGGCCTTCCGTACATTTGCCATATTGCATGGTCTTAATTCCCACTTAAGTATCTTAATGCATCAATCTTTGTTTCAGGTTTTTAGGTATAAATGTCAGATACTTTGTGTTGCTAAAATGAACATAAATTAAGTAAAACCACCAGTCTAAGATTTTTTTAAATTTATATTGTATGGATTGTGACAAAAAAAAACTGCAGGATATTTTGTGGAGAACTTTTGACACAGTGTTCACAAGGGTGTTATAGGGTGTATAATGGAAAAAAATGCTTTTAAAAAGTAGTGTCCAGGAGTGAGAACGAAAATCACTTCTAGCCACTTTTTCTTCACCTTACAGCCTATAAAGTTCTGTTCCATTCAAGTCAAATAGAGTCACGGTGCTGCTATTACGCCTGTGGGTCATTGATGCAGCTACTAGGCACTGGTTTGTAATGCAAGTTAGACATTATGATGTTCCTGTTCTTTTGCTTTAAGACATTTTCTCTAACTTTTCTCATTTTAGATTTCATAATTCATTTTCTTTGAGTCATTTATTCCTCCACTTATTCCTCTGACAGAGCCTTGTCTTGTCTCCCCAGTATGTGTATCTCACTCACTGACTTGATTTGATTTGCTGAGTAGCATCACACAACATTATTTACTATGTGTGTAATTGGTCTGTGAGTGCTGTTTCTGTTCCTGGGCTGCTAATCCAGTGCCATAAAGACTAGGAAAAAGTAGAAACGCTCTGTCAAATATGAATAGTCCAATAATTTATTGGTTATTGGTCTGGGTTGGAATAAGACGGCATCTGGGTCCATCTATTAGTGACCTCGGTTCTAGGGGATGGGGAGAGATGGCAGGTTACAAAGGAGGCTATGTGGATAATGCATCGATTTTTCGCCAATATGACTATGCAAAGGTACTCAGAAGGCTGCTTCAAAGTTAAATAATTTAATGTATATGTTGTCAGTTCTAGTTGACACTGCTGAGAGCTACTTCTTGTCTCTTACTCGGCTGCTTGCCACAGTATTGTAAATCACAGCGCACTCTGCTGGATAGACTTTGCAGTGACACCAGTATATTACCATAAGCGATAACATCGGATAACATATGCAGGTCTCTGGCTCTACATTCAAATCACACAAAACTAATATTAAGATTCTACACTACCAATTTTTTATTCCGCTATTTCTTCTTACTGTGATGTCTGCAGGCTCACAGGTCTACTTGCGGAGAGAACTGGTCTGTCTGGGCAATACAATCAAGCTTCGTTATGGAGAGAAACCAGAGGATTGTCCTTACCTGTGGGCTCGTATGAAGTTGTACACAGAGATTACAGCCAAGGTCTTCTCTGGTGTATGCCTGGTCAACTGCCTGTCCACCCCTCTGCATGTGGCTGAGGTATTTTCTAACTACCCCTCCAGAGTTTATACACGTTCTCAATTTACATCTTTCATCACTGAGACTAGTAGAGCTGCTTGACCTGCTTTTTTTAAAAAACGATACCGATAACCGATAACTTTCAGCTCCTAAAGGCCGATACCGATACCCGATAACTTTCAGCTCCTAAAGGCCGATACCGATACTGATAACCGATAACACACACACATATACATATATATATGATCATGACATTAATACTATGAACAAACCCCAAAACACTTTTGGCTCTTTAAATGGAGATATTTATTTTTTGAAAGCCTCGCCGATATGTGTAAGTCCCGGTGGCTTCTTTGCGGCTGGCTTTATGTTGCTAGCGTCTTTAGCAGCCTGGGCGTCCTCATATGCTTTCAAAACACCGTCGAAGCGATGGCTAAGTTTCAGGTGACTTATCAGGTTTGATTCAATACGTCAAACCTGATCGTGCTACTTTTACCTTCTCGTGGAACTTGCCTGGAACATTTATATACAAATATTTATTACAAGTTTCTTCAGAAACTTTGAAAAAGTCCCACACAATCGACGCCATGTTGTCTGTTTTCAAACGTAAGCACGCTGTGCTGCATTCACGGTGTGGCGGAAATTCCCTGTTTCCACGTTTGCTAGTCGTTCTTTCGGCCTTTGTTTCTATTGTTTATGTGTAACATGTAGAAAAATACTGTGGATATCAATTCAAGTCGGCAACTACCAAAATTATGACCGAGTTAACAAGTTCTTTTTGGACATGACGGGGTATTCTTGAATTTTCCCAGTCAAAAAGAGTTTTTCTGATTATGCCTACGTCACTGGAACGCAGCATTTACTGCAGGCCACTCAGGTCTAACAGTGGGAGCGGGGCACTGCCGTGCTGACAAAATTATATATGTTATCGGGGCTATTTGTCATAATATCGGAATGATGTAATAATTTCCTGTATCGGGCCGATAATTATCGTGCACCCCTACTTTTGATAATTAATAACAGCAGCAGAGATTAATTGAGCAAATTAAAAGATGCATATGACTGTTATCTAATCCTTGGCTGGTATGATGGGTTTGTAAGGGAACACACACTTGGCTCTGGTAGATGGACTCCAGGTTAACTGCTGTGTACTTTATGTGTTGGTCCCTGTAGGCGATGCTTGCAGCAGCCAGAGACATCAGGCCTAACCTCTATGTGATAGCTGAGCTCTTTACTGGCAGTCAGCTTATTGACAATGTCTTGGTAAACCGCCTGGGAATCACCAGTTTGGTGCGAGGTACTGACCCCGACCCCGTTGACTTGCTCCACTCTGCACAGTCTGGAGGATAGTAAAGAACTGCAGTTGTCTGGTTGGACTGGGAATGACACTAAATGTCTTCTTCCTTTTCTCCTCTTTCTTTATTTTCTGTCTCTTTGGGCATGTTATTGTAATTGCATCTGACATGTACATGTTCCATATTTTCATTTCAAATTGCCTTTTAATACAAACTTGGTTATTTCACCTAATTTCCCAATCCTCCATCCCAAACAATGCTTCATCATCCTTGTCATTCTGTCCATCTATGCATCGCCATCATCCTCCCATCCATCCTCTCCTTGTGTTGTCACTGCTTTACTTGTATCTATCTGTCTCTATCTTCTCCTCGTTCTGCCAATCATTGCATGGTATGGCGGTGACCCTGTTGGCTGTGTTTGCCGTGTTTTGGCCCTGCAGCGCATGCTCGATCAGGCTCGTTGTCTGAGGCCAGACCTGTATGTGGTGGCTGAGCTGATCATTAGAGAGGTACTGCAGAATGTATGTGTGGCTAGGTTGGGCATTACCTCGCTCATCAGAGGTAAGCAATCGCACCAGCACTGTGTGTGTAGTTTGGAACGCTACATTTTTACATGATTTTGGCTTTCACTTTGGCCGAAGCCTGCTGATTTTAATGTTTCCAGATGTTTGATATCAGGACGTTGAGCTGAGAACTGACAAGTTGAACGTTGTCCAATTAAAACGGACCCACCGCGGTGACGTTTTTGGTGAAGCTGTTAGTTTAATAGTCAACTTGGAAGAAAGCGAACGTTTTGACAATAAGCTACATCAACACAACAGTATGTGGAGTTAAACTGGACAGCCCCAATAAAATCTGAATAGTTCTACATGTTGTTAAATTGCAATGTGAGCGGCAGCCAACGGGGGTGCATTATGTCGGCAGGATCATTTAAAAGGCAACCGTGACTACATTGTGCGTCTGCCCCATTTCTGATACCGTGGTGGCAGAAATTTAACAGCGGCGGGCCGCCGCTCTAAAATCAACACAGAGGAAACACTGCACAAACTTCACTGTGGAAATGTGGGAACTTTAAATAAGAATCGAAATCTACATATATCCATATCGATAAAGGAACAGTTCCGTTTTAGGTGAGGTACTTATCCATAGTCAGTTTATTACCTGCAGTAAACAACAGTACACACGCCCCCAGTTTGGTGAAGCTGACAATGACCCCAGGACAGAAACTGCGGTCAAGCCAGCCGTAACTTCGATCTCCGTGGTCAAATCAGCCGCACGTAAATTTCGACTGTGCGATTATTCTCAGCATTATGGTAAATGCGAAGAAAGAGCGTATTCACTTCCGGTTTTCAAAATAAAGGTATTAGGAACATTAAGCTATAATTCGAACCTATATTTAAAATAAAATATGTTGCATTAAAGTTTTCCATGCGCCCATGATGAATAAAAAACACCTCATATCGAGTATCTTTACTGCGCCACTGTGGAGAAATGTCAAAATAAAAGTCCCATATTTATGCCTCCAGAGATTGCGTATTTGACCATATTTGAGGTACTGTAAAAACATATTGCTCAATAATTCCTAACTATGTATGATATATTTGACTTCTACACGTCTAAGACTACACACACACTCAATATCAAGCACTTTTACTGCAGCAATTTGGAGAAATTCAACAATAAAAGTCCATATTTTTACCTCCAAGTGGCACATTTGACCATATTTGAGGTACTGTAAAAACATATTGCTCAATATTTCCTGGATATGGACGGTATATCTGACTTCTACACATCTAAGACTACACACACACTTAATATCAAGCATTTTTACTGTACCAATTTGGAGAAATTCAACAATAAAAGTCCATATTTTTACCTCCAAGTGGCACATTTGACCATATTTGAGCTACTGTAAAAACATATTGCTCAATATTTCATGGCTGAAGATGGTATATTTGACTTCTGCACATCTAAGACTACACACATACTCAATATCATGCATTTTTACTGCAGCAATATGGAGAAAGTTAAGAACAAAAGTCCATATTTGTACCTCCACGTTGCATATTTCACTATATTTGAGCTACTGTAAAAACATATTGCTCAATATTTCCTTGCTAAGGATGGTATATCTGACTTCTGCACATCTAAGACTACACGTATACTCAATATCAAGCATTTTTACTGCAGCAATTTGGAGAAATTCAACAATAAAAGTCCTTATTTTTACCTCCAAGTGGCATATTTGACCACATTTGAGCTACTGTAAAATTATATTGCTCAATATTTCCTGGCTAAGGATGATATATCTGACTTCTACACATGTAAGACTACACACATACTCAATATCGTGCATTTTTACTGCAGCAATGTGGAGAAATTTAAGAACAAAAGTCCATATTTGTACGTCCTAGTGGCATATTTCACCATATTTGAGCTACTGTAAAACAGCCGAAGTTACGGCTGGCTTGACCGCAGTGGACAGAAGCAGAGCGCTGCACTACTGTGGATAGAGGCTGCAGCCACATAAAAAAGCCCCACCTCAAAAATCCTTTACCTCGCTGTCAGACAGCCTTTCACTTTTACACGTCCATATTCCTACACATAAGCCCCACTGCGCTTCACACTTTAATACTGGGCATATATCACGCCTGAACAGTGTGACAGCTGCCTCGCTGAACTGCTGAAGCTCGCAAAAATTTTTTTCAGCCATAACATTATGACCACTAGGAAGCCCCTAAAGGGGCATGGGGGGAAAAAAAATGAAACGTTTCTAGTGCGCACTGCTATCTAGTACTATCTAGTGCGCACTAGATACGATCCCTGTTGTGGCGAATCAACACATGGCTAATTTTAATATTCAAATGAGTATTAAACTAATTTGTCTGTAACTAAAAAATAAATGTAAATTAATCTGTAACCTTTTTTGTTACAGTCCGCATTTAAATGCCCTGACCTGCAGCTCTCATTTGTCCTCTTTTTGAGAAAATAACAAAAACGGTCTGCCTTTTGACACATTACCTTGTTAGTTTAATACTCATTGGCTTAAAATGTGTGTCAAAATAAGTAATTTCATTGGTTACATTTTGTGTTGTGACCTATCAACACATGGCTAATTTTAATATTCAAATGAGCCATGTGTTGATTTGCCACAACACACATCCATATCTAGTGTGCACTAGATATGGATGTAGTGCTCACAAGATAGTATCTAGTGCGCACTAGAAACGTTTAATTTTTATTTTTTTTCCCCATGTCCCTTCAGTGGCTCCGTAGACCACAGACAGGTGAAGTGAATAACACAAATTATGTGGTTATCATGGCACCTGTCAGTAGGTGGGATATATCAGGCAGCAAGTGAATGTTTTGTCCAAGTTGATGTGTTAGAAGCAGGAAAAATGGGCAGCGCGAGGATTTGAGCGACTTTGACAAAGGGCCACATCGTGATGGCTAGACGACTCTTGTGTGGTGTAGAAAGGAGTCCAAACACACAGTGCATTGCAGTTTGTTGCGTTCCTAAAATAAGTTTTTCTGCAGCCCCCTGTCCTCAGCAGTGTGTTGCTCTGCTTCATTGCTGGGACTGTCTGCTTCTCTAAACTGGGGGCATGCTAATCAGCATCTACTGTAGGTAATACACCACTAACCCTGTAAACTGTGTGCTCAATTTGTCTACTTGTCTATCTAGAGATTCCTAACTCTACCGCACATTAGAAATTTTTTTATTTATATTTTATATTGAATCTAAATTGCACAACTTGAACCATTCGTATCAATATACCTTTAAAGCCACTAAGAAGTTTCTACTGTTAAACAGACCCACAGTGTAATTAAATAACATTTAACAGCATTTTAAAGAGTTGGCATGTTGTAGCCATACTTAGTGTTTGAGCTTGCATGCTTTCATAGACAGTAAATTGTATCATCTTTACTGATTTTGCTGATGTGATGTGCTTCCCTCTGTCTCACTGTCAGATGCTGTGGGTGCTACACACAGGCAGGAGGAGCAGGGGGACTGGCTGTCATGGTTTGGCAGAGAGCCTGTTGGTGCCTTTGTCCAACCCAGCCTTCGGCCTCTGATCCCAGCTTTTGCTCATACAATGTTCATGGACATCAGCCCTAACAATCACAGTCCCATCCAGGTCTGCTCTCACCAAGAACACACATTATACTACCAAATCTTCTACTACTGCTTACTTTGAAATTAATCTACTGCTAACGCTACTATACTCCTACCATGTCTCTACTTTAGTGCTGTTAGTGGTTGTAGATTATGTGACACGCTGCCTCATAAAACTCCTCCTATGAAATGTTGTGATCAACTGTTACGACGGGAACAGGAACTAGCAATATTTGTGGTACTCATTAGCTATTTAAAGCTGGCATTGTACTCTAAACATAAAATCGTGCTTGACTTTGCACAGTGAATCCTTACCAACCTGTGGCCCTTTGCTGCATATCATCCTCCCTATCAAATAAAGGCATAACATTGTAACATTAGAAAAGCTAGTGGCTCAAAGAGGCTAAATAAAAATATGTAGAATTCAAATACTTCGCAATAAACTGCCAAGATTTGAAACTGTGTCAATCAACAACATTACTAAATACTGTACCCATATAGGTTTAATTTCAGCAGAAAAAAACTGGTTTGGGGGTTTAGTTACTCTTTAACAGTGACATGAAGCCAGCAATGTTAGCATTCCATGTCTTAAAGGGGCTTAAAGACAGGGTTACACTAGAAAGGAAATGTCTTGTATGACATGTTATCTAACCGTGTTGGAAATCAAAATCGTTTATACTGGATCTGACGAGCCACACTTCGTAGGGAGCAGGAAAGGGGATATCGTTTAGTAATGGGGTAAACAGTGCACATTCTCAGACAGTCTCTCATGGAAGACATCTATAAACTTGGCTGTTCAAATGAAAAGTGAATAGTTGTGTCAAGAGAGGAATATCTTAGCCTCTATCAGTTGAATTAGAATTAATTGAATTAAATTTTGCTCCAGATATTCATGGTACCCAGAGGATGGTTCTTAATTACTTTAATGTTTCCTGTCTTTTGTGCCATCATCAATTCAATGATAGAATTAGTTATATTTGGTGTTTAGTACTAATTATTGTCATATAAACTATTGCTCGTCGGATTTATTATTATTGTGTCTCGACTTTCAGTGCAAATTCAAGGAAATAGAAATTATGAACACAGGTTGGCTCAGGGGCTACCCTTGTTTCCTCACAAACAAAAACAACAAGGCTGTTGTGAGCAAAGCTGGTTGGGTTCTTGTTGTGGAGTTACTGCATTGCTAATTTTAACCGCATAGGTCTTAACCTGTTGCTTGTTTTTATTGTTTCAGGCATGTTCAGTGTACGACTTCTTGCCCAGCTCTGTCCTGGTCTCTATGGCCTGCTGCGCTACAGGCAGCACCAGAGGCTATGATGAGCTGCTTCCTTATCAGGTAAACTCAAATACCCGTACCACAGTTCCCCAGTTCATTTTTTGACAAGCAAATAGAACAAATGTATTAGACTTTATCCAACCAAGGTGTTTGTGCATGAGCACACAAATTTGCCACTGGACATCTTCTGAGCACAATGAACACCCCCATGAGATTTCATGGCTCTACAATCTCCATGACATCACCCATAGGTTTCTGAAGTGCTGTTCTGAAGCTCAGCGTGGCCAGTGGCTCTGGCTGTCACCATCTTGGCAGTGCTGAGTCTGCCAGCCCCGGCTAATCCAAAAATGGGGCTGAGGCAGACTGAATGCACCCTGATTACTGAAAACAGATGCTTGTGAAGGCCACACTCAAAGTGGTCATTCCCTTAATTATGCTTAGCTTGCAGCAAGGAATCAGCCCTGGTACATGGGGTACCAGCTTTTCCAGGTTAGCTACAAGGGAGCCCCAGTCATGCATAACTTAATATAATTTAAATGGGTGAGTTCTATAAAAATTCAGTCATCTTGAATGGGGAAGGCTGTACACATGTTTATTTGTTTATTCTGATTCTTATTTAACATGGGATGTTTGGGGATTAATTCCTTTTTTTCAGATCTCGATGGTGGGGGACAATCATATATACACCTGCTGGAACTCTGATGCCCAAACATCTGACCAGGTCAATCTGCAGACTGGGATCCTGGCTGGAAAATTGGCACTGAACCGGCTTCATCAGCAGCTTGCTGCAGAGGGCTTTACTCAGGTAAACAGTAAATGGACCTGTACTTGTATAGCGCCTTTCTAGTCTTCCGACCACTCAAAGTGCTTTTACACTACATGCCACATTCACCCTTTTACACAGTGATGGCAAAGTCCATCGAACAGAAACTAACATTCATACACATTCACACACCGATGCACGGCATCGGGAGCAATTTGGGGTTCAGTATCTTGCTCAAGGATACTTCGACATGTGGCACCAGGAGCCGGGAATCGAACCCACCCGCTCTGCCTCTGATCCACAGCCACCGTCTGTTCTCTCATTAATATACAGTATGAAGATTTTCATCCAGAGCTGCTCAGCTGACAATAATTTTTGTTGTCCTAGGTTTCTGCCTTTTAACAGGCAGTTTTTCCTTGCCCTTGTCTCCAAGTGCTTGCTCATGGTGGTACTGTTGGGTCTCTGTAAATAATGTTATAAAGAGTTCGGTCTAGACCTGCTCTATTTGAAAAGTGTCCTGAGATAACTTCTGTTATGAATTGGCGCTATACAAATAAAATTGAATTGAATTGAATTGTCTGATTATCTGTGTTGCAATATAATATTCTACAAGTAAAGATCATTAGTGGTTTGATACGGGGTGGTTGTAGCTCAGGAGGTAAAGCGGTTGTCCACTAGTCAGAAGATTGGAGATTCAGCCCCAGGTCCTACTGCTGCATGGCAAGATACTGAACCCCATATTGGTAATGCTGTGTATTGGTGGATGAATGTTAGTTTCTGTTTGTAAAACTAACTAACTTTGCCATCACTATATGAATGTGTGTGAATGGGCGAATGTGGCATGTAGTGTAAAAGCGCTTTGAGTAGTCAGAAGACTAGAAAGGCGCTATACAAGTACAGGCGAATATTTACCATGATATTGTTGTTTGAATTTTGTTATAGAAGATGCAGCGTGTAGTATTTAGTGGCATCTAGCAGTTAAATTGCAGACTGCAACCAAGTGAAACCCCCTGACTTAACCAAGCATGAAGGAGAAACTATGGTGGCCCTCTAGAGCCACTGTTTGGTTTGTCCATTCAGAGCTACTGTAGAAACATGGTGGTTCAACACTTTGGACTAGAGGACTGGGAGGGGGCATGGAGGAAAATATTTTTTTCATGGGAGGAAAAAAAATCTTGGATCTAGCAAAAGTTTATCACTTCAGTGTTACAGTAAGTAGTAAGTAAGTAAGTAGTGTTACAGGTACAGTAAGCAGACTCCTCCTCAAGTCAGTGGAACCCCCAAATAATACTGAGAACATAATCTCAGTGTTCAGTCTCAGTTTTTTCTGTTGTCATTTTATGGTTGATGTCCAGGTGGATTTGGAGCAGCTGGATGAGGATGTGGTTGCAGTGACCAGACACTGTCCCAGCAGTCATCAGTCTGTGGTAGCTGTGCTGCGAAGGGCGGTCAAGAATCCAGAGACACACCATTATGCATTTGATGTTCCACCTATGTTCATACCAGGTGATATTCATGCAGCCACATCCTGATCGTTAACTTTTATTTTTATCCTCTCTTAATCCTCAGAAGCACAAGAATACATTCCAGTCTTTGCCTGTCTCCTGTCTTCTCAGGTCAGATTAAAGAGGTTATATTGGAGGCTCTGACCATTGTGAGCACCAGCTCCAACAGAAAAGATGACAAAAACATAAATGGCTTGCCAGAGCGCACTGTAGAGATCAAAGAACACATCCAGGTATGGACTGTAGTTATCTTCAGTGGTGTGGAATTCTGGATACAGTAAGTGAAACATGCATTTCTGTGTCTCCACTGTGGGCAACATAGGTCCAAAACACTCTGGTGCTGTATACATGCCAGAAAGCAGTAATGTAAAGTATGTTTGAATTGTTATAAATGGTCTAAAACATGCAAAACTCTGCTATGGTATCTACATTCCACATTTGAAGTAACTTCATGTTTAGCCATTAAAAGTATTTAAACATATCTTCCAGCTAAAGGACAGTAGGGTGGTGAAAAAGGCAAACATGGTGTCAAAAGAGAACAGTGTTGTTCAGGAGATAGTGTTTGAGAAGTTCCCACCAGGCTGCATCATCATCTTCAGGTAGGTCAACCTGAGGAGGCAGTGAAGGAATAGCAAGTGCTGTTCTTAGTTTCACAGAATCACTTAATTACTTTTATGTATGGCTGGCCCAGTTTAGATGGTCTGTGTTCTTCTATAGGGTGACTCTGGATCCCTGGTCCCAGGAGCAGCTGGGGGCTCTGAGACGCCAACTGATCCAATTTAGTCCTCAGTACCAGACTTGCAGCCTGGCTGAACTCCGCACACCATCTGTTCTCACCAAGCCGCTGATGATGTTCGTATGCCTTAACAATTAACAGTGTATTTCAATAATAATTTTCCATTCCCTCAGGTCTTCCAGTTTTCCTTGGTAATTGATGTTACACACTTGACGAGTTAGGGGGCACAGTCTGAGGGAGTGGAAGATTTAAAATGGACACTAGTCAATGATGAATTACCAAACAGTCTTTAGCCACTGTCTGTGGATTCAACTCAGGTATTGTCAGGCAGCAAGGGAAAAGGACCCAAACTCAGAAAATGGAGGCAAACAGGGACAGTTCAGTTCAGCCGACTGGAGGCGTGACTGGGTATTGGCGAGCATGACCAGCTGGGGATCAGGACGACCGCTGGTGGGGATAGTCGATTGGAGATCTGCGTTTTGCGACCGAGGCTCTGTGGCACTTGGCAAGCAATGGCCTCGAGAGCCATGGTGACATTGCATTCTTCTGAGGCCTCTATGGGGATACTCCTTTAAATAGCAAGGTGAATTCCTTTGTAAGATGGCCTCTTGACATCAAGAGTAGTTCCTCAACTGGTCCATTGAGGGCTCATAGAGTTCAGGGAACAGAGATGGCAAGATAGCCAACAAAGGTGCAGGCGGGTGGCTGGACAACTGGGAGGCAGGCTAGAGGCTAGATGAATAGGAGGCAGACTGGGGTGTGGGCTGGAGGTGAGACAATTGGGTGGAATTCCAGAGCTTAGGCTGGAGGTTAGCAGGCCAGGGTGAAGGCTGGGCTGGAGTGACAGGCTGAAGAGAAACAGGATCTGATGCCAGTGTGAAACTTTCCCGTGTAGAATGCTACTTTGGCAACATCAGGGACAAAAGGACAGTTAGAGTGTCTGCTGCATGTTTGCGCAGATAATTCTGCCAGGCAGGTGAGTGTGAGGCAACAATTACCCAAAAGAAAACCCCCACCCTGGGGTAGGAGTGTTTTAGTCCTATAGCCCTGATGATTATTTACATTTTATACTGAAAGAATGTGAAGTTTTCTGAACCGGAGGGCATAGGCTTTTTGAAAGTCTGAGGGAGTGGCCTTACAATGTTTTTTTAGCAGTCTTTGTTCATGAGGCTTTATCAGTGCATATATGTATCTCCCCTACACGCACTCTTCTGCTTATATGCTCCTTCCTTCCAGCATCATGTCCAGGCTGACTCTGGCTGACATGAACATGCTGCTGTACCGCTGTGATGCTGAGGAGAGAGAGGGTGGGGGAGGATGCTACAGTGTTCCTACCTGGTTACCTCTCAAGTATGGTGGCTTGCAAGGTACTTTGGTGCATAACTTGAACATTGCATGATCATCATTTATTCCAGAGTTTAATCTGTACAAGTACTCATGAAGAGTTGTGATTTTTAGGGCTGATGTCGGTGATGGCAGAGATTCGCCCTAAGAATGATCTTGGACATCCGCTCTGTGACAACCTGAGGCAGGGAGACTGGATGATGGACTATGTCTCCAACCGACTCTTGGCCAAGGGTGGAACTGTTGGAGAGGTGAGCTACAAATATGTTAGCTATCAGGGCTTTATTTGATCAATGTTGTCACATGTCATTTATATCTAATCAGGGAAACTACAGCACTTAAATACAGTTTGGAGGCAAACAGGGACAGTTCAACAGGACATTCCCCATCAAACCAGCCAATCAGCTGTTAGCACATGAGCATTGAGCTTTACTCTTGATCTTGGAAACAGTAGCGTGACAAAATCATTTAATCTCAAAGGTCCACTTACCACCTTTTTTCAAAAAATTAAAAGGGTTAGGGTAGAGGTTACACGTGACTCGTACAGCCATCTGAGAAAGTGTTACTGTCTCACGATATCAGACGATCTGATATCTCCCTGCCTACCAATCGACTGGGGGTTGGTAAATGCAAGGTAGTTGCATTTATGTTGAAAACTTCTTACAAGCGTATGCCCCCCATAGTGGGAACAAGGCTCTCTCGCCATTCTCTTCAATTGGAGGTATTGAAGATCACTGAAACACAGAAAGACCTTTTTTAGACCTTTTCTCCTGTGACTTCAGCTGAGACATCCTATAATTCACATGTTGCTGATACGACTGTGTTTACAAGCACCCAACTTCCACATATCACCACCATTTCATCAAGACTTTGGACAGTTTTTTTGTTTTGTTTTAGACACTAATACTATGCGTCTAGTGACAATACCTGTATTTTGTTGGCGCATTTTTTAATGCTACTCAGATGTTTCAGAAGTCGTTCTTCTGACTTCAGTGAGCTTTAATAGTAATGTGGAAAGAACATGGATGCTACAAAAAAGACACAAAACAAAAAGATGTATTTTATTTCTCTGAGTATTTAAACAGCTTAGATTCATGTTGCTATCCAAGTACGCTGAATTAGTTGTGAGCTTAATATTAGTGATTTTGTCCATGGTTGTTGCACCAGTACATTCCCTAAAATATTGCTTTAGCTGACTTGTTATCAGAGTTAATGCTAATAAATAGCATATCTAACTAATCTAAGTCCCTCTACGTGAACAGCAACTAGCAGTTACAAATACGCGAATTAATAAAAAATTAACATTAACCCAACATCTTCTTTCGTCCACCATGTTTCAGCATAATATGACAACAACATTTTCTTCCCACATTTCAATGAATTTTCCCCCTTGACCAGCTTTGAATTACTGCTTTGTGGTAGAAATGTCCCACTTACTTGAATTACTTACTTACTTGATTGAAAAAAACATTTCCAGTGATTCTTTCAACAGTTATGTTTCTGCCAAAAAAGATTTGGTAAAGCACATTGGTTGCATATAAGGCAGGAGACAGGGCTGGCATAGTGACAAACAATGCTTGTCAAATACAACACATTTTATGGCAATACTGCACAGCATACATTTAGGAAATCTGAAAATTGCATTAGTGTGGCTGTAGCCTTGGATCTGCTGCATAATTTCTGGTCTATACAGTATTCAGTGGAATGCAACAGAGTTGTTGACCTTTGCACTACAGGTGGGCCACTGGTTCCAAGCCATGTTTGGCTACCTGAAGCATATCCCCCGCTACTTGGTGCCTTGCTACTTCGACTCCATCATCCAGGGAGCCTACACCACTGCTCTGGAGGCTGTTTTCAAACAAATGTCAAGGTGTTTGGCCTTTTCTTTTTGATTGCTTGATTGATGGCATCCTCTTCTATTTCCTTTATCTAATACTTTTTGATGGAGGGATTACTAATATGGGTAATTCAGATGAATATTATTAGGGCCTGCGCAGCAACTGAAACCACAGCCCCTGTGGCACGTTTCACCCATATGTATAAAAATCAGTACACACGTATCATGTCCATTCTATTGAATGGACACGATACGTGTATACTGATGTTTTGGCTGATGTTTTTGGCTTCACCAAAGGTGAAGTCAAAACATCTCGGCTTTAATTCGTTTTTTGAAGCTATAACAAGGTGGGTTCACGCCTGAGTGATTCCTCCAAAGGAATTTACCAGGTTGATTTCACATTTGGTTAGTGAATTCTAAAGACTATGATGATGGAAAGTTATTTAAACCTTATGTGTGAATGTGAATACCCATGAATTTTGCCATCTTGATTTTCCCTCGGGATAAACAAAGTATCTATCTATCTATCTATCTATCTATCTATCTATCTATCTATCTATCTATCTATCTATCTATCTATCTATCTATCTATCTATCTATCTCTATATGATATAGGAAGTAGTTGTAACTTCAGTGTACATAGTACAATCTGCATCAAACTTCAAATGTTTGATAAGAGTCACGCCCTGAACACATCTACTTCCTAATATTCATAGTCATCGTTCCACCTACCTGAAACAGACAGTAAGCCTTGTATAGCAATCATCTTTTGATTTACATAAAATGTTCACTGTGTGGTCTATGCATGAAATACTGGCACATAACACAACCACAGCACTCCCAGATGCATGCAGACTGTGAGGCCCGTTCATTGCTTCTTTAATTTGATGATGTTTTTGTATCTTGTTCAACTTGACTTAAGCATTGTGATTTCATTTCATTCTCTCAGTCCCTCATCTATTAACTAATCTGACTTGAGATGACATTGGTGATTTGGTGACATTTCTGTGTCCTTGGCAGCTTTGTGCAGAATGGTTCCAGCCTGGTTAAACAGCTGGCCCTGGGTTCGGTGCAGATGTGTGGTGTGTGTCACAGCTGGGCACTGCCCACACTCTCTCCTCACCTTAATGATGTCCCATACCGCCTCAATGGAGTCACTAACCAGGAGGAGCAGTGCTGTATGTCAATGGCAGCAGGTCTGTGCTTTCACTTTCTCATTTCATAGGATAAGAAAAGATAAGTTAGGATAAAATCAGGCAAGATGCGTGAAGTACATTCTTGTGCCAAAGCCACTCATGTATACACAATAGATACTTTACTTTATATGCCTATTTTTTTACTACTATACATCCATTAAAATATAAAATTAAACATTATTAAATAAAGTAAAGTAAAATGTAATTAAAGCAATCCAATCCCATCAAAAGATCAATACCAACAAGGATTTGCTACTAACTAAATGTGTGTATGCCTGTATGACTCTTTTTTTTTAAAGAAGCACAAAATTACAATCAATTCAATTCAATTCAATTGTATTTGTATAGCGCCAATTCATAACAGAAGTTATCTCAGGACACTTTTCAAATAGAGCAGGTCTAGACCGAACTTTTATAACATTATTTACAGAGACCCAACAGTACCACCATGAGCAAGACCTTGGAGACAAGGGCAAGGAAAAACTGCCTGTTAAAAGACAGAAACCTAGGACAGACCCTTCGGCTCTAGGTGGGTGGTCGTCTGTCTCGACCAGTTGGGGTGAGAGAGAGAGAGAGAGAGACATACAGACAGACAGACAGAGACAGACAGAGAGAGAGAGAGAGAGAGAGACACACAGAGACAGAGAGAGACAGACAGGTGTACAGTAACAACAGTATTGGCAATGGCAATCTAGCAGGACCATGGCAGGAGGCTCCACCAGGATCAATAAGAACCTGCGAGACGAGAAAGCACAAGAACTCCGGGGAAGAAGTGAAGTTAGTAACATGCATCAAATCAAATCAAAGATGATCTTTTTTTATTACTACAGCATATTTTAAAATTAAATTAAACAGTATATTATATGTTAACAGTTTTAAGTATACTTCAATATATTACACTTTACACAACTAATTACATGAGAACAACTATTTCAATAGATGGTTCTGGTAAGGAAACAAGGCATCAACATCTGTGATTTGGTCGATTATACTGACACCATGATCCGGTACCCACTGCTATCTGATATGTCTTTATCCTCTGTGCTCCATTATTGTCCAAAAGCTATTAAAAACCCATCAGTGAGCCACATTTTGCACTGGGTGTAGGGTTGCGAAATTCCGGGAATTTTCCAAGTTGACAACTTTCCATGGGAATTAACGGGAATATATGGGAATAAACAGGAATAAACGGGAATTAATGGGATAAACTGGATATTTTTAATATTGCTTGTTATAATACTGTTAGTCTATAACAGGGAACTTACATGTAGTTGAAAAGAAACATCTTGCAGGATAATCTTGCTTAAAACAACCTGATTTAATGCAACTTCAGTTGAATGTCCTCCCTATATTCGTCAATGACATGCACACACGCAGTAATCAGCATAGGCTACTACATACCTCAACATTTATTTATTTTTTTTAAATTTGTGGGGGGGGTTAATACATAACCCACCTATAACCATAACCATAACCATAGCCATAGTAAATCAAAGGCAGCATGCTAGCTACCATCATATGTTAAGCTGAAGGTCAGTGGTTTGTGCTACTACTTATGGTGCTATCCATTTGTCTCGTAAATCCCCCGACCAAGTTGCTCTGACGCGAGAATGTGACATAATTTCCTGGCTTGTACCACTTATAGCGTTCCATTTGTCTTTGGGCATTACGAGTCGGAAAGAACATGGACGCCACCAGTGCAGCAGCTGTGTTGTTATTGCTTGTGGCTCATCTTAACAAGCTCAATGTGAAATAATAATGTTTTTCTACAGAAACACTAACATTTCAAGTAATTCCGTTATTGCAAGTCTTACATCTCAATAATATTTTGCCATTTTCGCCTATTTCAATTTCAACAAGTGCTGTGGCGTTTGTCTCGAGCCACCAGGGGCAGTGGCGGGCTTGTGTTATTGTTAGCTACATTAGCCTATTTAGCAAACCAGCTGAAAACAAAACTTTACATTGTATTGCACGCACAGCAACACCGTGCAATGCATAAATTGGTGACTGGATTAAAGCAGCAATGTAAACACGTGTGTAAGAGCATTTAAAATAAGGTGACCAGATTTCCGAAATGAAAATCGGGGACATTTTTTAGCGCGGTGGTCAAAATCGTTAATCGTTATCGTTATGAAATGAATAACAGGGGCAATTACATGTTAATGTATTTGAGAAAGCAAATGAGTAGCCAATAAGAAATTACCCTTAACCCTTCCAAACTATTAACCAATATGAAGAACTTGGATTCTGATTTGACTCTGATTCTTCTTCTTATTATTATTATTATTTAGAGTTTTTTTTTTTTTAGCTATGTCAATCAACTCATGGGAGCTTGTCAACATGTGCACACTTCCACTCGTGACTTCAGCCATATTTCACAGCAAAGCATTACATGAGAGGATTTACACTTATGCTGTGCACTCCTTGTGATAGAAAGTCAGAACAAACTCTGAGTGCAACCTGCAACGCGTGCTTCCCCCTGTAAGGACGGGGCCCCTAAAATAAAATAAAGAAGGAGGCGCTCTCCAGCTGGCTCCCCCGTCACTCACCTGCAGCTGCACAGACGAGCAGAGGAGCGCTCTGCTGTTGTGGCGTCGATGTGCCGCAGCACAGCGGGAGCAGCCCGCGTGTGTTTTATAAAAAAAAAAACCAAACAAAAAGAGACCAGCCGGTCGACACAAGCCATTTACCGCGCACGTAACGTCAGCATGTTAGTTAAACTGGTTTAACCCTATGGTTTAACCATAATAATCGGGGACTGTCCCCGAAAATCGGGGACGTCTGGTCACCCTAATTTAAAACGACCAACATAGTACAAATACAAAGAAAATACATTTCAATATGGGCGCAGCCATCTTTGTTTTGCGAGTGGTACGTTCCCCCTCCTTCAGCTTAGTTTGTATTCACTGTATATGCCTGTCTGCTTATTACAAAACAAAATGTTTATATTTATGTTTGTATAAGATGGAGTTTGTATGAATTACCCAACTTTTCAAGTTAATTCTCCTAAATTCCCATTAACTCCTATAATTTCCATTAATTCCCATGCAAGTTTCTAAATTGGAATGTTTCCAAAATTCCCCAGCTTGTCTTTCCATGGAAAGTTTCCGGAAATTTACCGGAAAATGTCCGCCCCTTTGCAACCCTAACTGGGTGACATGTTTCGTCATTACCATGAACACACACACACACTGTAGTTTTAACTCAAACCCTACACTTGCTGTTCTACTGCCAGAGATACTCACTATGCACCAAGTGTGGATTAATAATGAAAATAGTCCCCAACCAATTTACTATTTCCTCCTATTTGAGTAATGTTTGCTGAACATGTGTACCTGTTTTTGGAAATTACTGAGCTTTCCTTACTATAAAGAAGAAAGTTTATATTAGTTTGCCGTTTTTAAAGATTTACGTCTTGGATTTTGGGCTGAGAGCTAGAAACAAGGTCAGTCAGAAATTATAAAGAGACGGAATAACACTAGTCTTATCTTTTAATAGTTTTGAAGGCCAGAAATCAAACATGGCTGCATGGTATGAAAGTTCAATTCAGAGTTTGGTCTGTCAATAAAGAGAAGCTTATAATAGGGTATTTTAATATATATACCCAGACCCACTATTGCCCTGAAATAATAGTTGTTTGCTATACTTCAGGTCTTCCTCACTCCTGTGCTGGGATTTTACGATGTTGGGGTCGCGACACATTCATTTCCCTGAGAGGGTTACTGTTGCTAACTGGCAGACACCTGGAGGCTCGGTGAGTCCACCACACAACTCCTCAAGACAGGAGAATATAGGCTTCAAGATATTTATAGCTTTGAGCACCAACACTTTGAGCAGAAACAAACTAATCTGATTAAAATGTCAAATAAGTCAAATGCCTGTTTATGTACATTTAATAGGTTGTAAAATGTATAGATTGTTTAATTCCGATTGTTAACCTACTATATGACTAATGAGTGAATTATTATATATTAACTACTAAAGAGTCTACTGGGATCATTCAAAAAGTGTCATCTACTGGACATAATGCATCATAACATAAGAACATAACATATAACAATAACAATCATAACATCTGGCAAAAGCAGGTTTAAAGTCTGTGACACATTTAAAACACCACTGTGTTCCAGTACTAGTATCTTTACTGTTGCCTTGCTGCCCATTTAATTTATGTTTTACCCGTTAAACATAAAAAGGTTCACATGAACGCTCATCTATTGAATCATTGTCCTGACTGCCACAGGAACATCATCCTGGCATTTGCGGGCACACTACGTTACGGCCTGATCCCCAACTTGCTGGGCCGGGGCTCTAGTGCGCGCTTCAACAGCAGGGATGCTGTGTGGTGGTGGCTGCAATGTATCCGGGAGTACTGCACACTAGTACCGGACGGTGTCTCCATCCTCAAATGTCCCGTCTCTAGGATGTACCCCACCAACGTGTCTGAGCCTCAGCCTGCTGGAGCCTGGGTAGGACTGTGTGCTGTATTCTCATTCTCAATTCTCATTCAAAAACCACTGATTATCAAATCCTGATCAGACAGGTTCTAAAATGATATTTGATATTTAATAAATCTAAATGTATATTTAATGCAGGACTTAAATCTGGTGTACCCAAGTAAAGTACTAAAACTGTTCTTGTGTACTGGTGCATGCGATGCGGTGGCCTATTTGTTATCTTATAAACAAAAAAGTTGTGTTTTTCCTTCAGGATCAGCCGCTGTATGATGTGATCCAGGAGGCCATGCAGAGACACATGCAGTGTATCCAGTTCAGAGAGACCAACGCTGGACCACAGTTAGATCCCAACATGACTGAAGAGGGTATTTTAATGCACTCATTAACAATACTGCTTACTGATTTGTGCTAGATGTCTTTTTTAGCTTTACACAGATCAGGTCAGTTCTGACTTTTTCCTGTTCTTCTTTGTGATTGTGCATCAGTAGAGAGGTAAATCCTCACAAAAGCCACTGAATACTTATTCATATTTTGCAATAAATTACCTACAGATCACATAACAACAAATATTAGAGAGAAACAGGAGGTTGCACACAACAAGGTCCCCAAGCTGGATTTGCACCGTTGATATAGCAGTCACAAGGTGTTGTGTCTTCAGCCTTGATCATACGTCAGCTGGCAGCTGTGAACGCACCCTGGGTGGCATGGGTTGAGCAGGACGTCAAGCAGGGAGGGCTGACTGCGTTTCGGGCTATACGTTGGCACCCGCCTGGGGTTCTGTGGTGCTGGGCAGCTGAGTTTCTGAGTTGCTGGGCAGCTGAGACAGCCAGTGGTGTCAGGCGACCCAGCCTTCCTCTGGGGACTCCATGGTACCCTCTAAAAAATTGTCAGGCGAGTTCCTTTAAGATGACCGCAGGACATCAAGGTGGCTCCTAAGGATTCAGGGAAGCACCAGACTTGTTGGCTCAGGGAGCATCTCCTGTCAGCTGCTGACAACTGAAGGGTCAATCAAACAGCATGGTATAGGTCACAGACCATATTAAGGAGTATGTTAATGGATTTGAATGGATCCGGATTTGACTTGGAGTTAATGGTGGTTCCTGTAGTGAGCTTTGCAGGTGCAGGATTGCCAAACTGGCCCTATGCAGGACTCTGGGCTAGAGTGAAAACTGGTGTTTTTCAAAGGCATAATTATAAGTACAGTGGAGGTCTGTCGGAATTAGTGCAGTGGAAATTTCACCAAAACTTTTCATTTACAAATAAAACCCTGAAAGAAATTGTGATTAACACACAAATGTTTTCTGCTTTTTGAACATTTGTCAATTTTGAACAAATCCTTTAGGAGTTTTAGAGACTGACTTTGTTTCACTACAACCAATGCAATCAATATGAAGTGTCTTCACATATTACAGAATATGTTGCAAATAGAAGTCTCTAGGACCTTAGTAAGTAATATCACTTGCTGACATTCTGTTTACTCAGTGACACTGTTAACCGCAGCCCATCTCACTCCCACCAGGATTTAATGTAGAGGCTGGAGTTGACCAGACCACTGGCTTCATCTATGGAGGAAATCGTTTCAACTGTGGAACCTGGATGGACAAGATGGGTGAGAGTACAAAGGCACAAAACAAAGGAATCCCTGCTACACCCAGGTACATTTTCTCCATCTTCTCCAGCTTTGTTTATTCAGCAAACATCCTTATTATTCATCATTATCATTTTTGTACTACATAAACTTGACTATTATTCTTAGTTTAGTGAAGCACTATTTCGAAATCGCTTTAACTTAAAATTGAGATCAAATGCACATTGAGCAGCCATGAATATATCTAGACAGGATGCACCGACTGACAATCCCAGTAATATCATACTGATACTGCTGCTATACATTAATAAAACAATATCTTAAACTCACTAAACTGAGAAGCTACAACAGTAACTATATGACAAAAGTAAGATAAATGTACATGAAGTCAAGAGGTATAGATACTTTACTGATAACAGAGAAATATAAAGACATATTTTAATGGTATACAGATTATACAGATATTCCAAATTACTTGTGTAGTGCAAATGTACTCAAGAATTTTTTTATGTTTCAGTTGATGGTTGAACTTGTTTCATTTTTTTTATGCAGTCCTGCCAAATAATAGACAGATGTCTAGCTGCCTTCACTAATTATATTCATTATTTATATTTTTTATGGACACAACATTTCTAAAATAAGCCAATTAATTAAATGACACTGAACACTAAACAAATCTTCTCCTTGTCAACACGTATGTGTGTCTGTGTGTAATCCAGGGATGGCTCTGCAGTGGAGATAGTGGGCCTATGTAAATCTATTGTACACTGGCTCGTGAAGCTCCACAACAATGGGCACTTCCCCTATAAAGCAGTCAACATACGCAGAGGAGGTAATTACAAACACTACATTAAAACATGATTTTAAAAGACCAGTGTGTAGGATTCAGTGGTATCTAGCGGTGTAGTTGCAGATCACACATTGACTCACCCTCCCCTTTAAAGGGCAAAGGAGAAACTGCAGTCGCTGCGAAATGCACGAAAAATGTGAAATGTGCCCCTATCTAGAGCCAATGTTTGGTTTGTCCATTCTGGGCTACTGTATAAATGGAAATTGTATATATTCCAAAATAAAGAACAGGGTGATAAGGTAAATAGATAGATTTTAGAATAGGCCATAAATACGTGTTTCTTAACTACATGTAAGGAAAAGTGATTCCATATAAAGCTACAACAGGGCAGTGTCCTGGCTGCACTTGGGGAGACAGCATGATGGGCCAACACAACCTTTAATATGTGTAACTCAAGAAGCCCATTGATATGGAAAGGCAATGACAAACAAGTTTTTCTTGATCTCCTGATCCCAACCTGTAAAAATGTATGCCTTTGTATCATAAATCTGGCAAGTTGTAGAGAAGAAGCTTGACATTAACCTCAAAAATAGGAGTGGGGCTTTGATGGGGGATCATATGAACCCGATACCAGTAGATCAGCTTTCTTAGACCATAAGAGGCACTTGGACTTTATTTTACAGCACCCTACACATCATTATATGGGCTGAAAGAGAAAAAGTGTTTTGTGGCTGCATAAAATAATTGATCAAATATTATATTGTCTCTCAACACTTCTCAAATGGAAACTGTCTAAATATTGAGTTAAAGCACAGAGCTAGAGTAAAGATTTTCTGTTGACTTTGGTCAATTTGGAAGTTGGAAATTACAGGATTTTTATGATTGTACTTGCGCATGCCCAGAAGTAGACCCTGTCTGTACTGGGCATCTTAGATAGATAAATAAAGATAAATAGGTAGATAAGGTGCAAGGAACAATATTAATAGTTCCAGTGTTGTGGAGTGTTAGGATGCAAGAGGTGACAGGTAGATTTAGACAAGCTTAGAACCAACAACAGACTCTGCCATCTTGTGCTTCTTCTCTCCAACCTCATGGAGTGATCGTTCAAAGTAGTCACTTTCTGTCCACTAGGGTAGTGCAAGGATCAGTGATGGTTTCCTTATTTTCTCAATATATGGCACCATATATGCCACCTCCCTTGGTCCAATAACCCACTCACATAGTGTCGTTTACCATTGCTATGCTGAAGAAATCTCTCTAAGACTGAACTTCTGGTGATCCCAGTCAGTCCTTCTGTTCAGCACATTATCCAGCTCAGTTCTGCCTCACTTTCTCCAACAAAGTATGCAAGAAATCACAGGGACGTTGCATCTGTCATTCAGTCCCATCATTTTGCACCATAAAACATCAGAAAGATCACATCTTATCTAACTTAGTATGGTGCTCAGCCCTTGTACAGGCACTGGTTGTCTCTTCCTTGACTACTGTAACTCCGTGAGGCAGAGTTGGCAGGCTGCATTAAGAATGAAACTTCTTCAAACAGCCAAATACAGCTCATATCACTAAATCCCTTTTTTCCACTGGCTTCCTGTGGCTCCTCCACAGGCACCTGCAACCTTGTGTCTCTTAAGGGCTGTCCACACCAGAGCACTAACTATAACAATATATATATATTTTTTTTAAACATGTAACTCAAGTGCATGGTGAAGTCCACAATACAACTACAGTGAAAAGGACAGTGGTGAGCTGGTCCCTGTTCTTCAAGCACTTGAGACCATTGCTTTGGTAGCAGTTCAGAACTATTGGTAATGGAACTAAATCACATAGGTATGAAATAGCAGGAAGCTGCTTCAATTTACATGTTTTCAAGTGTTTGTGGGGATTTAACTTTACAGACGAATGGATTTTACAGTCTGTGTAACTATTGACCATGTTATTTTTCATCCTAAATGTTTGATTTCAGGACAGACATATTCTGTGTCATATGTGGAGTGGGATTGTAAAATCCAGGAGAACTTTGAGAAGAAGTTCTACATTTCCCATGACCCCGAGGATTCTGAGGACAAACATCCAGAGCTGGTCCACAAAAGAGGCATTTACAAGGACAGTTTTGGAGCTTCCAGTCCCTGGTGTGACTACCAGCTCCGGCCTAACTTCCCCATTGCAATGGTGGTGGTAAGTACCCAAAGACAGACAGTGTACATTTTGGTAGCTAAAGCAAAACTAAATTCACAGAGGTGTGTGTGTGTGTGTGTGTGGGCTGTGTCTGTGTCTGTGTCTGTGTGGTGTGTGTTGTGTGTGGCAGGCTCCTGAGCTGTTCACTGTGGTAAAAGCCTGGGAGGCCCTGGGTATAGCTGAGAAGAAGCTGCTGGGGCCCTTGGGAATGAAGACCTTGGATCCTGAGTTAGTTGCCTGCTTGAGTATTGGGGGCTGTCAGTTGATATCAACAGTGACCTGTAGGACTGTTTGGATTTGAAGTTTGGTACTATAACAAACTCAGAAATTGTGTTCACCTCTATATTCTTAGGGCATTTTCACACCTATAGTTCGTTTGCTCTGGTCCGAATCAGGGACGAACTTGTTACAATGTTTCATATGGCCTCAAATTTGGTTTGTGTTCACACGTGTTTACAAGCCGACCAAAATGTGTGATGCGCGAGGAAACTGCTCTCTAATTAGTCAGAATTTCCATGCGGGAAAACTCCCGGAAGTAAACAAAGAAGAGCAGACTCCAGAGCTCCACTTTTCAATTTTGCAATGGAGGGACAACTGCGCAGGTTGCTCTTGGCCCTGGTCATTGTGTATTACATAGTTTGCACTTATCACTGTAGGCAAACGGTACAGTTTGAAAATGAGGCAAGGCTGAGGCTGGAAAATAATGTCATAATGCACTGGAGTCGGCAACGACGCATATCACGACAGTTCAGGCGGAGGCGCGCATTAATCCTCCTGAACTGTCACATGCTCATCAGTCGAAAATATTTCCAAAGATCCATCAGGTAATGTTACGCCCGTGGTCTTTAACACAGCATGCACAGCGGAGATGGCTACGGGAGGTGGTTTAGTCCAAAACAGGTGCAGTGCTTCCTGCAGTTGGGTCGGATCGAAGTTGGATCATGTTCTCACCACAAACGAACAAGGTCTCGGTCCGGTTGTTTTGGTCCGCACCTGAGTGCGATTGATGTGTTCACACCTTCTCAAACGAACTGCACCAAGGTGGTGAACGCTCCAGGGTTCCATTCAGCCGAACTAAACAAGGCAGGTGTGAAAACGCCCTAAGTCTGAGTCTCTACTAGAGTAGCTTTACATGAGTCACTCTTCAGAAACATCCTTATTTACAAGATGTGTTCATTGGCTCTTGATCTAAGACATAATGTTCTCCTGCCTTGTTTATCTGCAGTGACATGGTGTACTGTGGAGTCTATGACAAAAACCTGGATAATAATAACTTCAACCAGGCTAAGGGCTTCAACTATCATCAAGGCCCAGTAAGCAGACATAAAATAATTCCCCTCCAACAGTAGATATTTAGGCTGCCATTTAGTAGCTTCTGACACCTCTTTTCTTTTCTTTCAGGAATGGTTGTGGCTTCTCAGCTACTTCCTGCGTGCCAAGCTTTACTTTGCCAAGAAAATAGGAAAGGAGACGTATGACAAAACTGCTAACCTGGTGAAAAACATTCTGTCTCGTCACAATGTGCACTTGGAGAGGTATTAATTGACAATCATCATGTTTTTTCTGTTACTGAGTACCTTATCTAACAGTAAATGCAATGAGTAGGGTCATGAATGTGTACAGATAAAGAGGGAGAGGAAGAGAAGAGCATTACAGATGTTATTATATTTGGTTAAGGACTTGACTTTGGACTTGTTGGTCTTGACTTGAGTGCAAAGACTTGAGACTTGCGAAGCAATGACTTGGTCCCACCTTGTGTTTGAACCAATCTGACACATGTCCAATCAAGTAGCAGGGAACCATGAAGAACGTTAACGGTACTGACTGGCAGAAAAAATATACCAAAAATAATTTTGTTGTTTCTGTTGTTAAAATGGCATTACATTATGATTTGTTGAGGACTCAAACTCATAGTTGACCTGGGACTTGACTTGGGACTTGAATTTAAAGACTTGAGACGTACTTGTGACTTGCAAAACATTGCCTTGGTTCCACCTCTGGTTTCAACCATGTTTGTGGTGACTCAAATATCTTCCTCTAGGTCACATTGGAAGGGTCTCCCAGAACTGACAAATGAGAATGGCCAGCATTGCCCGTTTAGCTCTGAGAGCCAGGCCTCATCCATTGCAACTATCCTGGAGGTTTTGTATGATCTTTGACCCTACACCCCAAACAACACCATCAACAATGACCCCCATGTGCCTACACAAATGTATATCCTACACTAAATCTAATTTCTAAGGATTCACAAATAAACAGCAATTCTAGACCCATGTTGCTGTACCTCTCCAACAATGTATGTGTTAACATGTGTGAATGGAGTTTACAGTAAGGGGAGCCAGAGCTTGTTATCGGAAATGTGGCTTTAAAAAAAGTTTTTCATATAATGGAAATGTTCCTGTACGTGGAGGGCTAAAAAGAATGTCCCCTCAGGGGTGGAGAAGGGCTGAAGCATCCATCTTCCTTGAGAACTTAGCCCAATTAACCCATTGACAAGGTTACAAAGCTTTTGGCCATTGTTACTTGTTCAGAGGCTCCTGTTGAAATTGCACCCTCACATGCTGTTCATAAAGTTTATGGGCTTCATTGCATCCTGGTTAAATATTACGCCAAGGATCCGAACCTACTGTATAACCAAAGGTTCTGGAATTGTGATTAGTAGGTTCAGAATGTATAATGTAAATTATATCCAACCCTGTAGTAAGAAAGACAGTCCAGTAACAGAAATATTTGATCCCTGCAAAGCCATTATGTGTTTTTCTAAGGCATTACCAGCAATAATTTGTATGTTGATATAATGACATGTACCACTGTGTTTTTAAAGGGTTGAATTAAAGACAAATAGTAGATACAGACAGGAGGGGTATGACACGCAGCAAAGGTGCCTGTCTGGAATCATACTTGACAATTACAAGATATAGGCCACCAGAATGCCCCCATAAATGAGACAACATGCCTGTTCTTGGGTGTTCAAGGGTATGACACCAAATAAAACAGAACATACACATGGGTGACATATACAGTATGAAGCAAAAAGCAACATAAAGTGTTTAAGTTAAGTGTAGTTTCACCTGATCTTACAGAACAGCACACCACTTCTTGTGGTGGATTCCCTGAGTGTGTGGAACTCTACTGGAGGGACGAACAGCATTCTTCCAAAAGATATTCCCTGAGAGTGCCATCTAATACATCAGTCCAAAATCTCCCATAGGTGCTTAGTTAGTTTGAGAACTGGTGAATGTGAAGAACTAGCATTTGATTCTTATCGTTTTCATACCTTTTTTCCTTTAATTTGTCACCTGTCTGTATCTCAGGGTTAGATAAATGCTTTGAATTTAAATGGTAAGGTAAGAACAGTGTTCCAAGCCCCTCTATATATCTGCACCATATGATCAGAGTGGTTACTGTGGTTGGAGCCTTACAGATCAGTTGGGCGAGTGGTTCTAAAACATGTCAAACTAAGTGGGGACTCAAACCGACTGGTTAAGGGACTTTTAATACCTTAAGAGTTGAGCCTCTCACAGGAAGAAAGGGAGCATTTGTCTGAAACTGTGCTGTGTAACTAAACACATTCAACATGGTATTTCATGTAATAAATGAAAAATATTAAATTACAAGAGAGCTGTCTTTTTTTTTTACCATAATCAATAATATCTTAAAGGTAATTTTATCCACTGCAAATGAAAACTTATAATCAAACAAGTTCAGCCATGTTTTGTCTTTATTAACAGTTGTTTTGATCCTGCCTAAACCTTCATCAAGTCAAACTGACTGCAAATAATAGTTTAGTAGTATAGTATAGTAAGATGTAACCAAATGGCCAGTGTAGAGGTTACGCTACTATTTAATTAGAAAGGTAATTAATCACTGAAGATTAATAATACACTCGTAAATGGGGCACCACCTCCGTTGTTTAGCTACTAGAATAATCCGGAGGAAATTATTCCACAGATCTAATCAAATCAATTTATTAAATTTCAAAATCTATATTTAATCTCATATTTCTGAAGTAGTGATTTCTTTTACACATTCATCGATTTCCCCGCATCAAATCAAACCTGCACCGACAAGGACATACGGTTATATATGTTTATTAACTAAACTAATGCAGAGTAAATAGTATGAAATGATAATGTAAACAAATGACAACAAGTAACAGAATATGTGGACAATATATGAATTATTACTATTTGGTGATTCAGGAGCGATGGTGGATTTTGCGATGCGGCAGTAAGTTTAAAATATTACGAGAGTAAATTTTAGAACTACGAGGCCCTAATCGAAAATTCTCTTAAACTTAAAAGATGGGAATCAAAGCTTACAGACAGACACCAGCTCTCTTCCATGTGTGTGAATCCGGTCGTGTACCAGAGAGTCAGCCTACTTTGTTTGTAGATGGAACTTGGAAGGATTCCAGGCCCTTGGCTTTTAGCTCAACTGCGGCTTTGCATCACTGATCCAACAGGCCGAAGGAAGCTGCGTCTCGTCCCTGGTACCAGTGGCCCTTAGTTTTACGCTTGAGTGTGTTGGAGGCAGAGAGTCGCTGCATAATAATGTCTTTGTTCGGCTGGAAACGTTTGTACGTCTTCTTGAGCAGTCAACTACTGCGACGTCCTTCTGGCTGATGATGAATGTCTTAGAGTGGTTGGTCTTCAGTTTTGATTGTAAACTCATTCAGCTTCTTGTTTAAAAATAACTGGAGGATGAAACGCTGGCCCTGCGAATTCTCCGTCGTCATGGTCCAAGAATTAAACTAAATTCACTTTCTGTGAATCAGGTGACAATACTTGACGATATATATATATAAAAGACTACACTATATATATGTATATGACTACAAAATTTAAAATAAGCAATTCGTTTGTGTCTTGAGCTTTCAAAATAAAAGTACTTGAAAAGTACTTCAGCACAGCAAGTTATTACCTGAAGAAAAATTCAACACGTGTCGCAAAACGAAGTAAAATAAAGTACGGAAATTAAAGTAAGAACGAGAATAAATAACGAGTGGATCCAACACTCTTAGAAGGACGAAAATTTTAGGACAGAATTGTAAGAGAGGGAGGGAGTGACCGGAGTCTATCTCTTATAGCTTTTATTCTGGAGGCGGAACTGGACGAGAGGAGCTGCCCGCGCGCGTCACTTCCTCTGGTGATAATTTGATATACGTAACTTTATCAACTTACTCCTATCGTGTTTTAAAGTTTCGAGATCATAATTCACCGTTCACAGAACCCACCATGACTTAATACATAGTTCACATTTTTTAATATAACATAACCGAAATTACTTAATGTAAAGGAAAAATAGAGCTGATTAAAATCATTAAATCATAATCATTAAACATGCATATAAAGCAGCACTAAGGGATTGTACATATTTCGTATAGTGCTAACTTAATCCTTGTTCCTTCCAATTATGTGTCAGGCATTTATTATTTGGAATAATACATAATTATAAAACAAAGTCCGTTTTGAAAATACCTTACGCTATACCAGAATCTTACCAAAAGGTGGCACTGTGGCTCCATCAAACATTCAGACATTTTACACATGATTTTGTAACTTAGTCCAATCTGAAGACAGAAACATCAGACAAACATTACATTTGCGACCTTCTCATGCTGGATGGCAATCTATTAATTTTGAGAAGATGAAATTTTACAATAGTACTAAATAAGAACTAAATCTATATCCGTGCAAGTGTTGTTTCTGCTATCTAGATGGAATGTCCTAACTAGCACATGGACAACTCGTAATTTTCACTTTAAAGATAAGGGTGAAAGCATGCTATGTGTGGTTTCAGAGGAGTTTTTCTCTGGAGGTGGACCTGTCAGACCAAAAGAGATGTAAACACATTTCAGGGATATCTAACCCTGATTAACAATCAAAAAAGCACTTAATTATTACACACGATCCACTTTAGGTGTAGGGTGTCATTCTGATCTGTGGAGGAGTCAGTGATAAAACAAATTGACACCTAGAGATCCCATCTGAGAATCTGAAAAGAACCAGGCTCTCTGTGCAGGAGACTGTCGGCGCCACAGTCTCACCTCCCCTCCTGGGTCAAAAAGGTCAAAGGGAAAGAGGAGGCCTTGAAAACTCTCCTGGTGGAACATAATCAAAATAATATGATGATTGTTGAATCAAGAGACGGATAAAGCATCTCTTGTAGAGGAAGACGAGGACAAGGTCCTACACCAGAAAGAAGAAAATTTCAGAAAATATATCTCATTATCATATCCATCATCCGAGGTCTGATCCAAGATCCAAGCAAAAGACATTAAAATGCAGGTCACAACTTAATCGCCTGGGAAATGCTAATTACAAGAAATATCTTACTTAAATTGAATAAGTTGAATAATTGAATGCCACAGGGGTAAATTAGCATTTAAGTTAGATGTCTGTGAGAGGAGAGGAGATCGTTCCGCCAACCTCCCGATTAGTGGACGACCCGCTCTACCTTTGAGTAACAGCGGCCCGTTATCTCTCCTGCCAGTGTGTGATGATAGAATGTATGGTTTTACAGATGTCAGATTTTCACATCATCTTATCTGCACCACATTGAGCTTTCATTATTATTTCATTATCTTTCAAAAATATTATGTTTGGTTAGATGTCTGAAATAAGGTATGTGGTTTTGCACCTAAACCTTACCAAACTGTGTAATGTGTAATGACACATTATAAAATTGTTATGTTGAGTTAGAGAGGGCCACTATTAAGAATGTTGGTGGTTGGCTTCCTGGCTTGAGCAGGATACTGAACCCCAAATTGTTCTCAATGCTGTGCATTGGTGTGTGAATGAATATGCGATGGCCTCTGCAAGAATGTATGAATGTGTGTAAATGAGTGAATGTGGCATGTAGTGTAAAGCAATTGAGTGGTCGGAATACTAGAAAGGTGCTAAATAAGGACAGTCCATTTACAAATGATCATCATCAGATCAGATCAGGGGTGTCAGATTAGAAAATGCTTATATATGTCATTCTGAAAAGTACTAACAAATTATGTATTTTGTCATCTAATTTGAAGGACTTGTTAAGAGATTGTTAAGTGCTACCAGGTCACAAATTGATTTAGGGAAGGAGAGATAATATAACTAAATACAAATAATAATAACAGAGTTATTTGTGGAAAAAAGTGACTGGCTTGTCTGATCTGACCTTGTATAAAGGTCAAAGAAATTGTGTTCTATAATCATATTATAGAATTAAAAGTTATCTCAGAGCACTTGTTTATATATCCAGCTTTCACAGGACCTACAGTAGAAACATGGTTAGAAAGCTCATGTCTAACACTTTAGATTCACAAAACTGTGTCTGGTTTATTGTCTTTTGTAAAAGATAATTATAAAAACTCACTAAAGGACAAATTCTTTTCTAGTATTTTCTTGGAATTGTAATTTACAATGTCATTTGACCGTCATTTAATATCAACCATAACCTCTGCACCACTATAGCAGCCTCACATTGCCATTCCAAAGCCCGTAGTCACTCGGCACTCTATGGGGTTGGGTGACGACAGTATCAGTGGTCAGTTATGGTACGATAACGGTAAATGGACTGTACTTATATAGCGCCTACATTTCACACTCACCCCTCACACACATTCATACACTGATAAACAGTGAATACATCAACATTTAGAACAGTGCCTCTATGTTTACACATAAAAAAAGTTTATTCTAACTTTGTTCATTAATTTTATAACAGTAAAAACATGAATGCCAGAATATCACATCGAGGGCGGGGAGGCGTTCAGCCTTAATGACAGAAAATCTTGTTATTGGTGGGTATAGTGTTACCATGCATACACTGGACCTTTGACAAATTTGACAAACACATTGGTATTAGTGTGGGTGTTGGGGAAACCACAATCCAATATTCGCAACACTTTTCTAATTCATTACACAACTATTTCTGTCACTTTTCCTGTGTAATAACTAGGTGTAACACTGTCAATGCCTTCAAGAGGACACTGTTTGAAAATGTGCCACAATATCTTCATATTTAAATGATTACTGTGTATGATCATGACTGTGATCATTTTAAAGTAAGTTGAGACAGACATTTGAAGAGGGACCAGGAATCTAGTTATGAATGATCTAGTGCTTGTCATTTCAGGTTATGGAAGGTGGCTATAGTCCTAAGAAATAGGGCAGGGCATAGCTGTAACACAACAAGGTATTACATATCTGATCTTTAAATGTGAATTTGCATTGGCATTGTCCTTCTCATACCAGGAATACCTTTTACTGTTCTAAGAAGCAGGAAAGCCGTTGCTTAGCAACAGCAGTGACTCACACATATGCAGCTCTGTCCCTCACACACACACACACACACACACACACACAAGACAGACAGACAGACAGACAGACAGACACACACATTTTCCTTCCAACCATCCACCTCTGTTAAGGACACGTAACTTGCCATAAACAGAGCCGGTTTACACCTGTGGCCTCCTCCCAGTTCTCCATGCATCCCCCCTCCCTTCCCTCAGTCATTGTTTCCACTCAGACTCCACCTGAGCTGCTCTCAGCTGAATAACAGCATTGTATTACTCCCTGGCCTCTCTTCCTCACCAGCTGTATTTATGAGTAGTGGAAACGGCTCATTTCATTGCAATGGACCATGTTGTTTTGCTGCTGGTGTGTGTTGCTCCAGTGGTGCAGTGCTATGGCTCAGGTCGAGTTATGGAAAGCTGTGGAGACATGCAACCCCACCACGATGGACTGAGCCCACAGACAGGACCTGCACCCTTCACCGTCACCACCGACCGCAGCCACTATAGACTGGGAGAGGCAGTGACAGGTAAGCATTGCATTAACCTGCAGTTAATGCAATGCAGGTATAATATGTAAGTTATTAAATGTACTTCAAGGAGTTTTTAACTGGTTATTAAAAAGTCCCAGTTTAATGCCGATGCCTCTAAATGACCTACATAAACAAACAAGACGATCAGTGAGACCATTGGCTATTGCTATGTAGTTCTTGCCTGAATCTGTTTTTGGAATTGTTGTGGCCTAGATTTTCTAAAGAATTGCAATGCATGTTGTGATGTTTTTAGGTAGGCTAATATTTTGCAATGATATTGTTTGGAGAAAGTAAAAATTGCAAAAATGGTTGGGATTTTCTTTTTGTATAATTCATTACAAATTTAAGGCAACTTGTCCCAGTGATTAGAGCACTGTTTGGGCTGTAAATATGGTAAATGGACTGTACTTACTTACACAAACCGAAACTAATACTCATTCATGCACATTCATACACCGATGCATAGCTTTTGGGGCAATTTGAGGTTCAGTATCTTGCTCAAGGACAGTTCGACATGCAGCAAGAGGAGCCAGGGATCGAACCAACAACCTTCTGATTAGTGGACGACCTGCTCTACCTAGAGCTGTGGCTCAGGACATACAGACAGCAACAGTAAGACTGAACATGTCTGCATGATCTGCATCTTCACAACTAGAAACAAGCAAGTAAGTTTGGTGACGTATAGCTCAATGTTTTCAATTCAATTCAATTCAATTTTATTTGTATAGCGCCAATTCATAATAGAAGTTATCTCAGGACACTTTTCAAATAGAGCAGGCCTAGACCGAACTCCTTATAACATTATTTACAGAGACCCAACAGTACCACCATGAGCAAGACCTTGGCGACAGGGGCAAGGAAAAACGGCCTTTTAAGAGGCAGAAACCTAGGACAGATCCTTCAGCTCTAGGTGGGTGGTCGTCTGCCTCGACCAGTTGGGGTGAGAGAGAGACAGAGAGAGAGGGAGAGAGAGAGAGACACACAAAGAGAGACAGACAGACAGACAGACAGACAGTTGCACAGCAACAACAGTAGCAACAACTACACTAATAGTAGTGACTGATGATGATGAACATGAAGAAGACGATGAATGAGCAGTGACAATAGTAATAATAGTAACTGTAGTAATAACAGTTAAATTTTGAACACTTGATCAAATTTGCAGAAAAGTTGCGGTTATTGGACAAAATTGCAAGGTCACGCAGAATTCATTGATTGGTTGAATTTGCGTCAATTGTTGTGATTGCAACATTGCAACTTCCTGAAGGGACTGATAGAGGCATCAGTATTAAACTGGGACTGTTTTATAACCAGTTCAAATCTCACTATAGTAAATTTAAAAAAACAATAATACTGATTAATAATAAAAATCATAGAAGTAGAAAATTAATGAGAATGTGATTTGACAAATGTTATGCCATGTTATGCTTAATTGCTATTTTCTATATATTGTCATACACTGTAATATAATGTTCATATTTTTGCACTCTCTACTCTCTTCTTACACACTATTTTACATTTTTATATTTTCTATATACATTGATATATTGTAATACACACATGTTAACATTCTCCTTGTTATTATTGTTAATATTTATATTATTTCTTTTCTTTTAATTTCTTGTTTAGCAACTTGAGCAACTGTAACACAACTAATTTCCCCTTGATAATCAATAAAGTAATTCTGATTCTGATAATGTTGGCTAAGTGTACTGTCAGTAGGGCTTTCCTGGCTGTGATTGAATGTTTTTTTCCCAGTTCAGCTCCAGGCTCCGTCGTCCACTCGATTTACCGGTTTCCTGTTGCAGGCTAGAGAGGTGGGGGGAGAGTCTGCTGTGGGCTCCTTTGCTCCGACAGCAGCAGCTGTTCAGCGCCTCACCTGCAGCCAGAAACCTGTGAGTTTACTCCCATACAACAAACTTGAATGTGAACATGCAGGCCTACAGCAGGCAACACAACACAATATACTGTGCATGTAAATGGACCTGGACTTGTATAGCGCTTCACACACATTCACTCAGCAAAGTCCACCAAACAGAAACTAACATTCATACACATTCACACACTAATGCACTGTATCGGGAGCAATTTGGGGTTCAGTATCTTGCTCAAGGATACTTTGACATGTGGCACCAGGAGCCGGGGATCGAACCACCAACCTTCGAACCTAAGGAACGACCCACTCTGCCACTGAGCCACAGCCACCCGCATCTATGCTCACTGCTGGAATGTTTATTCATTTACTACATCTCAGTCTGTTGACTTGTTTGACCTGAGTGAGACAGTGTGCAGGACTTTTTTATTTTATTCAAGTTGTGCTTTCCTCTGATGATGTGTAGCTGGAACAGTCTTGTAGGACCTGACTTGACTGTGTTGTGATGTGGTGCACAATCAGATGCTAGACACTTCTAGACACATCTTGAACTCTATTTCTGTTTTGAGTCCAAATAGAGAAAAATGTTGTCATATGAATCTTCCACAACAACATGCCTCTCTCAGTCAAGTTCAACGCAGACTGACCATAAACTCAAAACATTTAAAATAAAATAGAAAACTAGAAACTAATTTTGTTTGTTACTCTAATTATGTGACATGCAGTTATATTAATAACATGTTTAAATTTCAGCTTAGCTTACATTAGCACCAACATATATGAATAATATATCAAATAATATGTAATAATAAATACATATTCCATGAAATAAAATTATTTTTGCTAGATTGCTATCTCAAAACTCACTTTAATAAAATACTACACAGTTCACCTAACATATATATATATATAGTATATTTTTTATTATTGTGACATGAACTTTCCATGACGCATTAAAATCACAGCACAGAAAAAGGTGTATTACATTTCAATCTTGCCCAGCAGAGTGCAGCATTGACCAGCACTAAATGCAAAGCTGTAATTTTTCATCAGGAGGTGCATACCCCCCCCAAACTCTTACCCTGATCCTTTTGCTTTTTTTAGATGGAAATGTGTTTGCCAAAATGAAAAACAACCAGGAAATACAAATTTTACAATAATGTGCTTGCACATATAAAACAAAAGAAAATAGACTTGAACAGTAAAGATGTCAACACTATGGTGACAAACCTTCATATAGAACATATGACGACCTCCCTTTGTCTCTCTCTCTCTCTCAACTTCAGAACTCAGCTGTATCCCACACTTCAGCGTCTGTTAAGACCTCCATTCAGGTGACGTGGATATCAGAAGCACCAGGAGACCCAAAACCCATTCAGTTTCAGTAAGGTTGAATTGTATGGGGCTAAAAAATTTACATTATAATTTTGGCATTGAAAATGACATCTTGAATTGAAAACAAACCCTGAACTGAAGACTGAAACAAGTTCTACTGAAAAATAAAACGGACATTAAAAATTATTTCATTTTATTTTTTTATTTTGTGTTTTTGACAGTCTTTTGATTTTTTATTCATGTCTATATTTTTTCAGTTTTTTGTTTACACTTTTCAACTTCATGTCACCATTTTGGTATGGAGAGGAGGGATTTGGAGAGGGACAAGGAGAGTGTGATTTACATATTTGCATACTAATGAGAAAATATCATTCTTCTTCTGATAACACACAGTAAGCATACAGCAGGCTTCCAGGAATTCGCCTGAAACCCTGTTTCTTTCTGCTGTTGGGTTTTCATATAGAACTGGGACGTTTTAAAGTTAACTTTAAAGTGACGTTATGCTGGTCTGGCAGCAGTGGAACTTTTCCAATACAAGTGCTTTAATGCCAGTGTTTACTTTTTGAATTTCAGGTTGTGTTTTCAATGCCAGATTTTATATTTAATGCCAAAATGTAATATCACAATTCTAGCCCCATGGAATTATGCTATTTTGTTTCATTTCATTCTGTTCTTTTCTATTCCTATGGGGTCAACAAAGTGAGCCATCACTTAATAGCATAATTCCCATGTGTTTGTAACTTGATACATAAAAACTGGTCTTGGTGTATCTGCAGTGCATCCTTCGTGCAGAATTACTGGACATTCTGGGTTGATGTTAGAAGTCCTGCCCTGATCTTCGCCAACAACAGTACTGGTGGATCTAGTGGATCTGGGACAAGTCTCCCAACTACACCAACAATGACAGCTACAATACAGAAACCTGCACCAGCTGTTGTAAGTAATAAAGATGATTAGGAGCAGGTAGGGCTGGGCGATATGGCTTAAAAATAAAATCTCAGATTTTTCACACCAAACCCGATTTACGATTTTAATAAAAAATTTTGTAGACTGTTTTTTAGTGGGTGTTTGTGATATCTCGCAGAGAGCAAAATTTTCCCCACTCGGCTGCATGCCTCTGCTTGAGGTGCTGGAATAAATTGATCGTACTGCTACCTTTGGTTGCAACAGCTTTCAAACAAACTTTCCAGTGGGTCGTGGTTTGTTCGCTGTCGGATGCCACAAAACCAAACCAGTTCCAAAAAACCAACAACACTGTACCTTTTTTGGGGACGAGCTCATCCTGGCTTGCTGCCATGTTGTGTGTATCTGTGGAGAGGCGGGGGGAGGGGTCAGCGCACTCTGACCTACGGGAGCCCAAAGGGAGCGCCGGTGTTGTGGAAGTTCAAGAGAAAACCGCTTTTAACTAAAAATAGATCGTGTTTAACTACAAATTCGAATTAATTGATAAAATCGATTTATCGCCCAGCACTAGGAGCAGGGTATGAAACTAGCCACCAGTTACCAAACCAGAATGTAACGTCTGTTACTTTCTGGTTTGCCAAATACAACTTAAAAAATTATATAGTGAAAGTTGAGCAGTTAAGACTGATTGATTGGTTAGTTGGATTTGGGAGCAGTGTCCACTGAATACCCTGTCCAGTCCCATAGCAACAGACAACCTTTGACTGGCCACACCCAGACCCTTGGTAGAGGTCATATACATTGTGGGTTATGTCCATGATAATTCCAATGTTGTTCTTATATTAATGGCTCTGTTAACTGGTTTAATGAGTTGTGTTCCTCAGCTATTGATACTGTTGCTCCAGATAAAGCGAGACTAGTGATACTCCAGTTGTCAATACGACCCCTTGGATAGATTAGAAGAGATAAAAGAAAAAACAAACCTCCATTTCAATACGCTAACATGAAGGAGTTATCAAAGATGCAAGAGCTGCATATTTCTCTGGCCTGATCAACAATAAGTATCAACCTAAGTTTCTGTTTAATACTATTAACCAAAATTCTGAATTCTGCTCATTCTGGATTTCCTTCCACCTCCCCTGATGACTGTGATACGTGTCTAAATTTCTCTGTTGACAGTGTCAGTGGTCTCAGTCTCTGTTCTTCTGTCTGAGTTCCACCTGATTTCCCTGCAAGATCTCTCTGATATGCATCCATTATCCTGCCCTGCTGATATAATTCCTACTAAATTTATTGAAGAGGTTGTCCCAGTCATTGCCCGCCAGTCTTTTATCTGCTGTTGATCAATCTCGACTCTAAACAGCCAGTGTTTTCACTCTCCGCCAAAAAAAACTACCTAGATACCACAGATTTATTAACTATAGGCCCATTTCCAAGCTTCACTTTATTTCCAAAATTCTTGATAAAGTTGTTGTTCATCAGTTTCTCCAGTTGGTTGAGGGACACAATCTCTGACAAATTTCTATCTGGCTTCTATTTGTTTCCCATTTCCCATTTTAAATCCAGAGGTGACCATACTTTTGAGGTCGTAGCTCCTAAACTTTGGAACAGCCTTCCAATTCCAACAGATCTGCTGAATCTATCGTTTGTGGCAGCTAAAAATGCTTTTCTATAGGTTAGGTTTTCTCCATTTGCCTTTAGTTTTGTTTGTTTGCTAAGTCCCACTACCTTTTACCTACACAGCACTCTGCCCATATCCACACACACACTCAGTACACTACTGACAACACTGATGTACATATATTTTTCGTTTTGAGTAAATATTGGTTAAATATATTTATTTTGTCTTAAACACCTTCATTATCTGTGTGGTCTCCCTTGGTTTGTATGAAATTTGCGCTGGTTCATGATAAATGTTATATAATTATTTAATGTAAATGTTTATAATAACATAATTGTACAGCTTTAATCTTTTTCTTTCAGCTTAGTACAATATCCAGTGCAGACTGCGGTATCACCAAGGTGTGTTTCAGTCAGCCTTCAAACTGTGACCCTTCAGTCAGTGCTGAGTGTTATTTCATGTCAGCCACGATAGTGTCTCCCAGTGATGCAGCTGTCCGCTTTGAGATGATAGGTCCTTCCGATGGATACATTTCTTTTGGATTCTCAGATGATCAGATGATGGTAATGTGAATACAAAATGCTTGAATCTTTGAAATGTTTATGCTTTGTAACAATTGTAACAGTAAGGCAATAAGTATACCAAGATACTTACTGTAACAACAATAAGTTGTTAACAATACTGTATGTGTAGAGAAGCAGCTGCAATGCGAGCAGCATTGTTCACATACTTTTGTTTGAACTTTGTGTGTACCTGGACAGTTAACATAGTGTAACAGTAATTATACATTAGAAGCAGAATAATACTCTTTAAACTTTCAGTTATGTTATTGTTGTGCAGCCCTGCTTGACAAAAGATCACAAGTTTTTATTCTTACCTCTGTCTTGCCTCAGGGAAACGATGACATTTATATTTGTGGTATAGGCAGTGATGGCCTGGTGCAGGTACAGCATGCCTTTTCAACAGGACGAACAACTCCACAAGCTTTTCCTCCGGTACTAAAGTTCTTCTGGTACCACTGATTTATATCTGGGCAATTGTGCTTGTCAGACTGTGAAATGTCTAATGCTCTGTCACTGCTCTTACAATCAACTGCACATAACAGTTGTTTTCTAACTGTCCACCAGGGTAATGTTTCAGATGTAAGAGCATCGGTGCAGGACACGGTGATTAGCTGTTCCTTCACTTCCATGAACACTTTGTCGACTCAGAGGACCACTGGCTTCAACAAAACCTACTATCTCATATTTGCCCATGGGCCAAGCAGCAAGGGTAATGACAACATTGTGTAATGGTGGAGGAGGAAGATTTGTCGGTTATAAGTGATAGAGATGTTACAAACTACTACAGGGTGTCGAAAACACGTGGAGAAAAATTTATATAGTACTGGGCCATGAGCTTTTCCATTTAATGAGCGCTTTTGGTTCAGCTACAAGTCAGACAGCTAACGAGGATGAACCACTGAAGGACCACATGCAGTTTTGTGAGATATATTTCTGAGATATTCAGGTTTTATTTTCATTAAATTAAATTCAGCACATCAATAATGGTAACAAAATGGTGAGCAGTTTCACTGGAACTGCTTAGTAGGTGTCCTATATAAGGAATTAATGGACACCCAGCAGCCAATCAGAATTGAGTATTTGCCCAGACGCAGAAACTAACCTGTTTCAGTTTGAACAAGTGTTATTAGGAAGCTGAACTAATAAGAGGGAAAGTTTGTAATCACCTCAGTAAACTACACGCATTATTCCAAGATTTTACGGAGAACTGGAAGATGATCAGTTAGCTTTGTCTATTTTATGTATCTCTCCTTTACAGGACAAATCCAGATCCATACAGATACCTTCATCAGCACTGACAAGGTAGACATTTCCACACCCCAGCTTGTGGAAAAAGCTGGATTGCCTCATATCATCAAAGCCCATGGTGAGGTCCTGCCCAGAGGGTTGTCTATAGTAGCACTAACTGGAACCATAGTGGTGATTGTCACTTTGTTTGTCCTTGGAGAAGGAGTACTAATGACTTAGGTGTCTTTTCCTTTTGCGCTTCCATCCATGGAGACATTCCAAAGAAATTTACTGGGCACATTCCTGCCTCTCTTTGTCAGGACCTATAAATGGACCTGTATTTGTATAGCGCCTTTGTAGTCTTCCGACCACTCAAAGTGCATTTACACTACATGCCACATTCGCCCTTTCACACACAGTCACATAGCCCATGGAACAGAAACTAATACATTCATACACATTCACACACCAATGCACAGCATCAGGAGCAATTTGGGCGTTGAGTATCTTGCTCAACATGTGGCGGGAGGAGCCAGGGATCGAACAACAACCTTCCGATTAGTGGACGACCCGCTCCGCCTCTGAGCCACAGCCGCCCCTAGCCGCTGTCGGGAAGGCTTTGTATGCGTCAGCTTGCTCACAATAGATGGGTGTGAGGGATTAGGTATTATGGATACCTAACAGTGAGACAAACAACACCTTATCTTGTTTTTCCTCTCAACTTTCTAAACCCATATAGTTTTACCAAGCAAGAACTATACAAAACTATTCTTAACCCTGCTCTAGTGTGAACACAATGAGTTATCAGCTTTCAAAGCAATGATCTGTAATGATCTCTAACCTCCCCTTCCTCTCTAAGATTCTGGAGAAAGTAGTCGCCAAAGAGTTGTGTGACTTTTTACATAACAATAGTTTATTTGAGGATTTTCAGTCAGGATTTAGAGTTCATCACAGCACAGAGACAGCTCTGGTTAAAGTTAATAATGACCTTCTGACTGCTTCTGACAATGGACTTGTCTCTGTACTTGTGTTATTAGATCTTAGTGCTGCATTTGACACCATTGACCATAATATTCTTTTACAGAGACTTGAGCATCAAATTGGCATTAAAGGAACCGCACTAAGCTGGTTTAAGTCATATTTATCAGATCGTTCGCAGTTTGTACATGTTAACGATGAATCTTCAATAAATATTACAGTTAGTCATGGAGTTCCACAAGGTTCTGTACTTGGACCAATACTATTTACTTTATATATGCTCCCTTTAGGCAACATTATTAGAAATCACTCCATTGACTTTCACTGTTATGCAGATGATACGCAGTTATATCTATCAATCAAGCCCAATGAAATTAATCAATTATCTAAATTACAAACATGTCTTAAGGACATATAATCCTGGATGAGCTGCAATTTTCTGATGTTAAACTCAGAAAAAAAACGAAATTCTTGTACTTGGCCCCAAAAATCTTAGAGACTCACTGTCTAAAGATATAGTTACTCTAGATGGCATTACCTTGGCCTCTAACACCACTGTCAGGAATCTTGGAGTTATCTTTGATCAGGATTTGTCATTTAATTCCCACATGAAGCAGACCTCTAGGACAGCCTTCTTTCATTTACGTAATATTACAAAAATTAGACACATCCTATCACAGACAGATGCAGAAAAACTAATCCATGCATTTGTTACTTCTAGGCTTGATTACTGCAACTCTTTATTATCAGGTTGCCCCAATAAGTCCATTAAAACACTCCAATTAATTCAAAACGCTGCAGCACGGGTACTGACAGGAACTAGAAAAAGAGATCACATCTCTCCTGTACTAGCTTCTCTGCACTGGCTCCCTGTAAAATTTAGAATAGAATTTAAAATTCTCCTCCTCACCTATAAAGGTCTTCATGGTCAGGCCCCTTCATATCTTAAAGAGCTCATAGTACCCTATTACCCCTCTAGAACACTACGTTCTCTGAATTCTGGGCTACTTGTGGTTCCTTTAGTCTCTAAAAGTAGAACAGGAGCCAGAGCCTTCAATTACCAAGCTCCTCTCCTGTGGAATCAGCTTCCAATTGTGGTTCGGGAGGCAGACACCCTCTCCACATTCAAGAGTAGGCTTAAGACATTCCTCTTTGATAAAGCTTATAGTTAGGGCTGGATCAGGTGAGTCCTGAACCATCCCTTAGTTATGCTGCTATAGGCCTAGACTATCGGGGGATTTCCCATGGTGCACTGAGCTCCTCTCCTCCTCTCTCTTTCTGCACTCATTCAGGTCCCATTAATGCATGTTACTAACTTCACTTCTTCCCCGGAGTTCTTGTGCTTTCTCTCTCTCTGTCTCTCTCTCTCTCTCTCTCTCTCTCTCTCTCTCTGTGTCTCTTTCTCTCTCTCTCTCTCTCTCTCTCTCTCTCACCCCAACTGGTCGAGACAGACAACCACCCACCTAGAGCCGAAGGATCTGTCCTAGGTTTCTGCCTTTTAACAGGCAGTTTTTCCTTGCCCTTGTCGCCAAGTGCTTGCGATACCATGGTGGTACTGTTGAGTCTCTGTAAATAATGTTATAAAGAGTTTGGTGTAGACCTGCTCTATTTGAAAAGGGTCCTGAGATAACTTCTGTTATGAATTGGCGCTATACAAATAAAATGTAATTGAATTTAATTAATGTAACCTACCAGTGTTTAAAAACCTGATCTTTAACTTGTTAAGCCCTAGCCAGAAAAAACGCCTAAAAAGACATACCCAAAGTAAATGAAGAATTGCTTCACAATTATAAGGTTCATATGCATTTCACATTTTGACGATAAAATGCAAAATTTTGCTACGTCTTTACAACGGGGCTGACATGAGCTGGTTAGGTCGGATTATGTTTTGCTTGGTATCAGCAGAAAGATAGTTTAATTTGACCCCTAACATGACTGAGTCGACCGAGCGGATATATGTGTACTGCTGCGTTTCATTTCGACTGTCCCTTATTTTCACAGAGCTGTTATTTTTTTCATTAATTGTTTAAATTATTGCCAAACAAACTGTGTTTGAGAAAAATACACTTGGACTGTTGTTTTGGTAGAGTTGAAGCCTTGTCTTTTGGAAACATTTGAAAAAAAAAAAACCAGCACAGCATTTTATTAACTTTTTACAGGCAGTAAAGCATTGTAACGGTCACCGGACCCGGTCTAACAGGTTAATTCAGGTATCCATAATTCATTAAAAAATATTTAATAGTTTTTTCTCTTCGTAATTACACTTCATGATCTACAAAGATAAGATTTGCAAGTGCACATTTACTTCACATTTAGTGATTGGGGAAGTCTTTGCTCATAGTCACCTCACAGAGAGGTTTAGGGACAAGGGTAAGACATGGATGTTGGGTTATAAAACCGTTTGCTTTGTGGTGAGAACTGGGAAGCATTTCAACATGTTCATGTTTCAGGAGCCCTGATGCTGATAGCCTGGATGACCACAGGATCACTGGGAATGATGGTAGCCCGGTATCTGAAAGGCATAGCCAAAGGAAGGAACCTCTGGGGCAAAGATGTCTGGTTTCTGGTGAGACTTCATAGATACAACAATATTCCACAAAATTACTTCAATATCCCACATTGATCAGGTTGTCTTTTTCCGAAAGACACAAGAACAAAAACATTTGGAAAAGCAAACGTGAAAATATTGAGAAATTCAAATCAAAATCATGTAAAGGTCCATTCTAAAAGCAAACACACACTTGGACAATGTTAAATATAGCATTTCTGTAAACTGTGGGGTAGAAGAAAGTCATTTCAAAAGTGTGCTACAGTCTAGTCTCTGTCTTGTAGACCAACAAGCTAAACCATTAGATAATGTTCCATACAGGAAGTTTCTTATTCATAATAAAATCTTTTATTTTCATAATTTACCAAAGCTTGGATGATGTATTTAGATTAATTACTCAGAATATTAATTGCAGTGAGATGTTAGATACATTGTGTCTAAATTAGTATCTCAGAAGCACATTTAAAGTCACATTCAAAGGTTCAATATGTAACTGTATGCTCTGTATGTGGTCGACTTGTACAATATCATGTTGTACTCTTGTGTTTCTCCAGGTCCATGTGGGAGCGATGAGTGTGACAGTAGTAGCCACAATCATTGCCTTTATCCTCGCCTTCTCCTACACCAAGGACTGGTCTGGGGTCAGTACACCAGCACTTCTGGGGCTCAATCCTTTTGCAGCTTCCTGCGGTGAATGTGGCTTTCTTTCCTTTATTTTCTTCACTGAAGGGCATTGGGCATCAGAATAAACAAGGAATTGGCCTTTAATGCACTTTATTATAAGTACTTGGTCATTTGGTTATTTGGTAACAATGAGAGATTGAGAAGCTACATGACAACAGGCTTTAGTTGATATTTCATAAAAAAAATATGACATGCTTATGGTCCTGTGAACTGATTCAAAGTCTTATTTTGTAACAACTATTATGACTTCTTTTCCATTGGTTATGTTAAACCTCAGTGGTGGGAATTTAAAAATGTGCATAAAGTTCTGGCTAAGAAATTGCATTATTTTATAATGTGAAGTGGTCCGATACAACACTACCATCAAGTATGATTTTAAAGGTAGGAAGTACTTTTATTTATTTTCTGCCTGATAGTGAGATGGTAAATTTGAAGATAATCTGGTTGTCTGTCTCCCATGGATTGAATGAGAGATAGATGGTTTCATAGAAAAGAGGGAAGCAAATGTGGGCAGTTAAAGGTGAAATGTATTCTTTAATGCAAGTGTTTTCACTAGTGCTGGGTGATTTGACAGCAACAATCTGGGCCTTTCGACAGGTTAATAGTGCCGTGTACAGAGAATATAAAGTATTGTAATACCATCGTGTATAATGAAGGCTTTGATTATTACCCACAAAATGATACAATATATGAAGGAATCAGATGGCAAACATGTTTTATTGTGCAAACTGCAATGTAGTAAAAACAATTAAAATTGAAGCTGCAAGCAGCATTGAGGAGGACCTCGCACTCCACGCAACACAGGGCATGTTGCAGCCGCGTCAAGTGCCATCACAACACGTACGGACCACGACAGGAAAATGTCATGTAAATCAGCTCAAAATCGCCACGCAGCACTTGCTTCCTGTTGCCAGTAGGTGGCGCTATCTCTATGTCTGAATATTGTCATGTAGACGTGTTCAGGGCGGGACTCTTATCAAACACGTGAAGTTTTGTTGAGATCAGATAATGTACACTGAAGTTGTGAGGATGTGTTAGGGCTAGGACTGTTTCGGAATATGTGAAGTTTATTGGAGATTGGACATTGCACACTGAAGTTATAAGTACTGTTTTATGGAGAATCGGCTGAATTCGACAAGTTGTCACTGGCTAACGGTTTGACGCACAGTCACAAATAGCTCAACTTTTCATCTAGTTTGTATGACCACAGAATTCAAAATGGCCAACTTTGACGGCACGCTACAGACACACCCTTCAACGTACAGTCTCAAATAGCACAACTTTTGATAACCAATGTGTTTAGATTGCAGTGATCGAATTTGAAGTCAATCTGATAAAATCTGCAGGAGGAATTAGTTAAAACAGAAGCCCTTAAATGCCAGAAATGGCATCACAGTTTGACATTCGATTCAACCTGGCCAACTTTGAGGGCACGCCACGGACACACCCTTCAACGTACATGCACAAATAGCACAACTTTTAAATTTCCTAGGAGGAGTTCGTTTAAATACAACGCAAAAAATCACAGAAAATGACCAAAAAAATCAAAATGGCTGATTTTGATGCCACGCCACGGACACATGCACAAATAGCACAACTTTTAATCAGCACCATTTTTTGACTGTACTGACCAATTTTGAAGTAGATCTGATAAATTCCCTAGGAGGAGTTCGTTCAAATACAACGCGAAAAATTCACCGAAAATGCACATGGAATTCACTATGGCCAACTTTGAGGGCACGCTACGGACACGCCCTTCAACGTACATGCACAAATAGCACAACTTTTAATCAGAACCATTTTTGGACTGTACTCACAAATTTTGAAGCAGATCTGATAAATTCCCTAGGAGGAGTTCTTTCAAATACAACGCGAAGAGTTCGCCGAAAGTGAAAATGAAAATCAAAATGGCCGACTTCCTGTGGGGTTTCGGGTATGGGTCCAAGAGGCTTTTTTGTACGTCCCGGCATGTTACACGTGCCTACCGAGTTTCGTACATATCAGTGAAACGTGGTGCCGGGGCTGCTGTTTTTGTATCCTGTAGGGGCGCTACAAACACGACAAACACGATTTTTGGTATGTGAGCTTCAGGCACCACTCTACACGTGCCCTGTGAATTTCATATTCATAACTATTACGGTCTCCGCACAGTGATTTACCATGCCACCAGTTGACAATTTTTTTAGCGAGCATCAGGGAGCCATGGGGAAGCATTGTACCAAGTTTCATTTAAATCACACATACCGTTGTAGAGATATAAACTTCTTAATTTTAAAGAGCGCCACCTTGTGGGGATGGCCTGAAATTGTGCAAATTTCAGCCAATCTGGTGAGAGAAATACATAAAAGTGTAATAAATCATATTTCCGGTTACCTCAATGTGGCACACCACTTCTACTGAATATTATCACATAGATGTGTTCAGGGCGCGACTCTTACCAGACACTTGGTGCCGATTGGACGATGTACACTCAAGTTACAGCAAATTCATGCGCATCCACGTTTGACGCCACGCTGCGGACACTCCTTTTAACGACAACCCACCACCCTCATGATATATCATCAACAATATGTTTTGCATTTTCTGACTACATTTCAGCTGGATCTGATCAACCTGCTAGGACTAGAAAATGAAAGGATAAAACATTTAATTCCTGTTGCCAGTAGGGGGCCCTATTGAGTATGACTGAATATTGTCATGTAGATGTGTTCAGGGCGGGACTCTTATCAGACGTGTGAAAATTTGTTAAGACTGCACCATGTACGCTGAACTTGTGACCACTTCCTGTTTAATGGAAATACGTCAAATTTGGCGCCACACCATGGGCACACCGTTTGACGCGAGGTCACAAACAGCACAACTTTTTAATCGTGAATGTCTTTAAATTGCAGTGTCCAAATGTGAAGTCAATCCGATCAATTCCCTAGGAGGAGTCCTTTAAAATACAATGCCAAAAAAGGCTGCTAAATCCATAATGGCCGACTTCCTGTTGGGTTTGGGATATGGCTCCAAAAGGATTTTTTGTACTTCAGGAAAATATGTGAATACCATGGTTTAAAGCCTGCAAAAAGGCATTTGAATTGTCTGAATATCAGTTCCTACAATTATGATAGGGCCATCGCACGATTTGTGTTTTGTTTGTATGAGCAAAATACAATTTAATGGGTTGTTATGGTATGGTCAAATGGTATTGCTATAATAGCTAATAGCTTACCTGGCTAGGACTTGGTTTTACAACTTGTTGTACTGGAATGATGTCAACTCAGGTGTGATATCACCCCCAGCTCCGATTTTGGACTTTATAGGTAAATGGAACAATTTGTGATGTCACAAATAATGCTTTTAGGTCCCGCCTCTTATAATCAGATTTTCAATGAGCACAGAGAAACTTTCCACTTTAAAACAATGTCTACAATATGAAAAAGTATGCTAGTCCTCACTAGCATCAAGATGGGATCTGCACACTATAATTTCTATTTATAAATGTAATAAACCTGCCTCAGTACATCACATCTGTCAGATAGAGTCCTCACATATTTTATGTACATGCTGTAAACCATTATTAGTATGGCCAGTGTCTGTCAGTGAAGGTGTTACTTTGTGCTTCTTGTAGGGAGCCCATCCAGTGTTAGGCTGCCTGGTTATGGTCCTTTCATTCCTCCAGCCCATAGTGGCTCTGCTGCGCTGTGGATCACAACATCCAATGTAGGTACCTTGCAGTGATTCAACAAGTCCTCAAATCTAAATGACAAAATAGGTTATTTGTTAGTGCAATCCAACATAACACAACATTTATCAGTGCTCTGCTGACCTGGCATGACATCACATCAGTGGAACTACAAGGACCTTGAGACAGAATGAACACCAGAAACAGACATCAGCTGCCAACTCCAGCAAGCAGAAAACACAATATCCAAGGACAGGGAAATACACTAGGAATCATACAGGAATGTTCGACATAAAGACAAAGATGAACTGGCAATGACACAAAGAAACACAAAAGACTAAATACCATGGTGAGGGGAGGATAACTAGACAAGAATGAAGCAATAAACAACCAGTGCTGTTGTATTTCCAGTGAGTAAAATCTTGTTTTATTTTTCCTCTTCTCTTTGACAGGAGGTTTTTTTTCAACTGGTCACATGCTTTAAATGCAGTGGTAATAAAAGCATTATCTGGTAAGCTCCGGTCTTGCATTATGCACTGATACAGGCCATAAATGTCTTCTGCAATGTCTTTAATATTTTTTTTTTTTCATATTCTTCTACAAGCATACTGCCAACCTTGCTTCAAGTCTGTTTTTATGTGACACCATGCAGTGGCAGCCATATTTACAGGCCTGAAGTTGATTGACAGCACTCTGGACCAATGGCTTATGAAAGTCATGGGAGGTTTTGTTGGCTGGGAAGCTTTGTTCTTCATCCTGTTGGATGTCCATTTCAGATGGAATAACAGTATCGGTAAATACACCTTTTTAATAGTTTTGTTATGATCATTACTGTTATCATGATTGCAAAGTGGCTCTGAATATGGTGCTTGTAGCTACGAGGAAACTTCAATTGTGAAACTCACCTAAATATAGTATAACTTCTGTGAAAACGCCATTTAAATGACCAGCGTGTAGGATTTAGTCCGTAAAGTTGGTTTCAACGAACCACCTGAACACCGCTCGTCTTCCAAGTGTGTAGGAGAAATTATGGTATCCACAACACTGAAAAATACAAAAGGCTCTATCTAGAGCCAGTGTTTGGTTTGTTCAGTCTGGGCTACTGTTGCAATTTAGCGGTCCAGTTCCATAGAAGAGGACCCACTCCCTCTGTAGATAACAATGGTTCATTCTAAGATAATAAAAACGATTCTATTTTCTGATGACGGTTTAATACACAGATGAAAACATGTCTATAAATATTATACTCAATTTCTGACAATAGATCCTCCTAAATGTGACGCACTGAACCTTCCAGTATCCCAGCAGCTTTAACTTTTCTCTTTGCTTTGGATTACAGATACTTTGGAATCAAAAACGGTAAGACAAAATAGGCTAAAAGTATATTAATAAAACAATAACATGCTTCTACTTTCTAATGTAAATGTCATTGTTTTGTCAGATGGTTGGTATCTTGCTGATGGCCCTGTTCTTCCTGGGAAACATTACCTTTTTGGTGGCACTGTTGGTTGGAATTGGGATGTCATATGAAGAGCGTGACTGAGCAAAAACAACTTACTAAAACATCTCTGTTGTTACCTTATATACCAGGAAATTGCCAAATTGAGGAATCAATTTTTTTTTATTGACATTTTTAAAATGAAATACTAGAACATATCCATTAATATCTCATTTGTAGGCCCTGCCTCAAAATAAATAAAAATACGTACTTTTTGACTTTTTAAATGTAGATTCAAGTAAATTCTGTAAACATGATACTTAATACTTAGTGATAATCATATTTTTGAAACCATGCATACGTTTGTTATTATTTAAGTAGAGAAGAATTATAAACATGTGAAGATAAGCCACCTTCTCTCTTATTTTATAATTAGTAGGTTATGGGTTATTATGTCATTTTCAAGGATTGTTGTTGCTGACAACATGTTGTTCTTGGATGGGCCTAAGCCATTGGAATCACGGTAGGAAAATACCTGTGACTGTGACTTGAACTGGATTCGAGCAGCCACCGGTAAGCCAGTCCAGGATGCAGTGAGGTAGTGTAGTGGGATTTCAGAGCAGACTGAGCACATCCAGTTGTGATGTCACAATGGAACCAAAAGATGTTTTGTGAAGAAATGGCAGCTCAACATTATATAGTGGTCAGATTAAACATAATTCAGTGAAGGGAGGTAAACCTGAGCAAATGTTTCAACAGAAACTCAATTGAAACCATATTTTCCATAATATGTCCCATTTTTAATGTTTCTAATATAGAAATTAAGTGTAACTCAATGCAAATAAGTGCTAAAATGAACCTATACTGTTTATAGATGATGTATTAAGAGAAAATCAAGTGACATAATGTTGTTGTTCATGTTAGTGCTGAGATGTGGAGAAAAGCTTGATGTTGACATTCAGACGCGTGTATATAATATAATGTAACATCACAATTTAATTTGTACGGTCCACTGTGATGTCACATTGTATGTGTTATGTCCACTCTAACATCACACTACACTGCTCCTCTTTAGCCTATACTGGCTAGGTGGCTGCTCATATCCTATTGTACTTGCCTACTGTGCCGCAAATGGCTCAGGCTCATCCTACATCCAGGACATGGTCAAACCACGCACCCTAGCTCACTTCCACCACACTCGGTTCTGCCAAAACGGTTTGCTACTGCCTCTACAGCTCAACAAAATCCAGACTTTGCTCTCCTGGCTCCATATTGGTGGAATGTGCTCCCCATTGATATCAGGGAAGCAGCAACTTTACACATCTTCTATTGTAGACTAAAAAATTAAAAAGCTGATGTACTTGCATGACTCTTACCGTTTGTGGTTTGTTTTCATATTGCTGAATTTACTTAGTGTAAGCTGCTTTGGATAAAAGCATCAGCTGCATAAATGTAATGTAATGACACATCACAATTGTGTTCATTCCACTCTGACATCACATTACCCTGCTCCTCACACTGTTGTAAATGGTAAATGGACCTGTACTTGTATAGCGCCTTTCTAGACTTCTGACCACTTAGGCCTCTATCTTAATGATCTGAAACGCAAGTATCAAACGCAAAACGCAAGTAGCTTTGTGGGCGGATCTCGGCGGGATAAATTACTCTTGCGCCCGACGCAAATCTAAAATGGGTTGGTCTGAAGTAGCTCCATTACTCATAGGTGTGGTTTGGGCGTAACATGCAATAAACCAATCAGAGCGTCAACTCACATTCCCTTTAAAAGCAGGCGCGCTTGTTTTTTTTTATTTTTATTTGGGTTAAATGGCATCGGCACATGCAGTTCAATTCAATTCAATTCAATTCAATTCAATTCAATTCAATTCAGTTGTATTTGTATAGCGCCAACTCATAACAGAAGTTATCTCAGGACACTTTTCAAATAGAGTAGGTCTAGACCGAACTCTTTAAAACATTAATTACAGAGACCCAACAGTACCACCATGAGCAAGCACTTGGCGACAAGGGCAAGGAAAAACTGCCTGTTAAAAGGCAGAAACCTAGGACAGATCCTTCGGCTCTAGGTGGGTGGTTGTCTGCCTAGACCAGTTGGGGTGAGAGAGAGAGGGGGGGGAGAGAGAGAGAGAGGGAGACAGACAGACAGACAGACAGACAGGTGCACAGCAACAACAGTATTGGCAATGGCAATCTAGCAGGACCATGGCAGGAGGCTCCACCAGGATCCATGAGAACCTGCGAGACGAGAAAGCACAAGAACTCCGGGGAAGAAGTGAAGTTAGTAACATGCATTAATGGAACATGAATGAGTGCAGAAAGAGAGAGGAAGAGAGGAGCTCAGTGCACCATGGGAAATCCCCCGATAGTCTAGGCCTATAGCAGTATAACTAAGGGATGGTTCAGGACTCACCTGATCAAGCCCTAACTATAAGCTTTATCAAAGAGGAACGTCTTAAGCCTACTCTTGAATGTGGAGAGGGTGTCTGCCTCCTGAACCACAACTGGAAGCTTGTTCCACAGGAGAGGAGCTTGGTAACTGAAGGCTCTGGCTCCTGTTCTACTTTTAGAGACTATAGGAAACCACAAGTAGCCCAGCATTCAGAGAACGTAGTGTTCTAGTGGGGTAATAGGGTACTATGAGCTCTTTAAGATATGAAGGGGCCTGACCCTCAACATCACGTCTACTGAAGTCCTGTAATATTTCCTCATTTATGTCATCAACACATCCACGATTCATGGAAATGCCATAAAGAATGCTGCGACTTTTTGAGGACTGTACTGTAAAGTGCCTCCTGACTTATCCAAACACCTGAAGCGCATTTTCAGTATGCCGAATGTTCGTTCAATTACACTGCGTGTTTCTGTGTGTTTTCGATTATATAGCATTTCACGCACTTTTGCTGGCATAATAAATGGTGTCATCAGCCATGTCTTTAATGGATAGCCGTGGTCCCCTAACAGCCACCCATCCAAGGGGGGATTCCCCTCGAAGATGGCAGGAATGGCAGAGTTTGCCAGTATGAATGAGTCGTGGCTTGAGCCAGGGTAATTTGCAAAGACATGGGTGATTTTACAAGTAGCATCGCAAATTACTTGTATATTGATTGAATGGGTTCCATTGCGGCTGATATATATCAGTGCGTTTTCTGATGGGGCACGTAGCTGCACATGGGTGCAGTCTATAGCACCAAGGACACCAGGGAACCCACACTTCGCCCAAAACACCTGCTTCGTTCTTTCTTGGCTGTCAGGTGTGACGGGGAATTGGATGTATTCCCCAGCATGTCGGACTAGACCTGATGTAACTGCATGTATAGCCGAACTTATGGCAGATTGCGAAATGCCTCCAATGGTGCTACGGGGGTGCTGGGATGTCTAATTATTTGTCCTAAGACGTACTCCATCTCACTGTGCAATAGAAAAAATTATGAGCAAGCGCAACTTAACTGGTAAGTTGAAGACTAAGGTTTTTATTCTTGACGGACAACCCACTTTGTCAGGTGTCCTTATATACCTATGTGTCTTGCGACTATTGGTCAAACAGGTTAGTTTGATCCGTCATTATTACAATTAGCCTGAATATTTTGGGTAACTGTGTACGCTAGATTTATGCTTATTTTTTCACATCTTCATGGACACCACAATGATTTCCCCCGTGTGGTAATATTTTTCCTTGTAATTATGTATGGTTTGCAAAAATGGGAACTGCTTCCTTGTAGATCAGAGAAACAAGGTGTATGCACGTTGTGCACACGCTACATTATGGCCAAGCATGCGTCCTTAAAATAGCATTTGAATAAGCGCCACTGACTTTAGACTAGGTTTTTCCTGGTCTGTTGTGGAATTGTTTTCTGAAACAGCAAAATAGCACCAGGGAATGTTTGCGCCGGAACACGCCTCCTCTTTTCGTTGAACCGCCCCCGGGGGCGCAAGTTCCTTCCCTAATTTAAGGACATGCGTCTGTGGAGGGAAAATTCCAATGTGCGTCGAATGCAAAATATTCACCCTTTCACACACCATCCATTGAACATAAACTAATTTATTCATTCACATTCACTGTGAGCAATTTGGGATTCAGTATCTTTCTCAAGGGTACTTCGATATGCAGCAGGAGGAGTCAGGGATCGAACCAACAACCTTCTAATTAGTGGACAACCTGCTCTACCTCTGAGCCACAGCAGTGTCTGCTGTGTCCTGGCTACCGGTCGCTGCTTGAATCCAATTGAAGTCAGTGGTACGTACCTACCATGCTGCCAATGGCTCACACCCATCCGACATCCAGGACCAACCAGGGTGGTGCTAGCATCATGTATGCAATAAGTATCTGTATCAAGGCCAATATGTATTGAGTTTATTTCACTCTTGAAAATTATTTAACAACTAACTGTATATGTAGGCTAGTGCTTATAGCCTACTTTGATAATAAGCCAGGCTATTCTGCTACCTAGCAAAGACACAAACACACAATATAACAATATATGCCACAGGATCTACAGGAAGATAGATATTTCCTGTCTCTCTTTAGCTGTCCCTGTAAAAGTGAAAATCCTCAATTAATGATAAAACATTTAATCATATCAATCAGTACTTAACGTTAATGATGGAGATATATGTCCTTTCTGTAGCTGACCTACCGAACAAGTCTAGATATGCATTGACTGCCTCTCCACCCATTACCCCAGCCGAATTTTTCTCTTTCTTTCTTCTTTTCCTTAAAAAGAGGAACGGAACAGTGTTTTTTAAATAGCATTGCAAATGACTAATGACTGAAACATGCTTAAAATCGTTGCAGGAGAGATTTTCTCGGCAAGACAAATGGATTTTCAGCAAAATAATTAACTTAATTAACAAATTTGCATGCATATTCATCAAGGCATTGAAGTCGCTCCAGCAGCAGCTTGATGAACACTGCTGTAATAAGGATCTCATTTACATCCTGCCATCCACTGCCATTTGTAGATGTAGATGGGAAGAACTGGAAAGAGAAAGAGAAATTAAAGAAAGACCTGGTTAGTCTTTGTGTATGTCTATGGGTTACATTGAAAATACAGAAGTGTGTGTGTGTGTGTGTGTGTGTAAGAATGCTCTCTAATTCTTCTGATAAACGGTCTAGTTAACCCGTAGTTCTATTTATTAGCAGTCATGTCAAACCTGATCTCATATGCATGTATTATGGGAAAGTAAATGCCCTCTTTTGGTGGACTGAACCATTGTGGCTTTTATGCCCTTTTAGCACTCACTACATTGGACAGCTATTCAAAAGCTGTTTTCTTGTAGATGCATGGGTTTTGATAGTATAGTTTCTCATCAGCCGCTAGTGCATCATCCTATACACTGCCACCCACTGGCCAGCTGTTATAGGTGCAATTATTACAATTAGTACATTAGTACAATTACTCAAAACCAAGATGGCCCATGTTAGAGCAGAAACATTGAGCAGCTCAGCAATGGACTTGTGGAGTATAGATGATTTTGCATTTATTGAACAAAGAAATATGTGAACACAATAGTTAAACAATATATTATTATATACATGAATATCAGTCACATGACCTTTTACGTCATCCCCTCTTTTCCCAGCTTACTAGCGCCATCTTGAGTACCTACCGAGTACCGGCATAGACAGTACTGACAAGCATTAGCTAGCTTGCTACGATTTACAGATCCGTATGGATACAGTAAATGGCTACGAAAGACAACATTTCGCTCCTCGACTGCCATGAAAAGAAACGCTACTTTCAAAAAATATCATCGTTAGCCTGCCAACGTTATAGTGTGAACAGATTAGCTAACCACTTGCTAATGTCACCAGTCTTAGGAGCACTTTCCATGAGATATGTGGTTAGGGTGGCCATTTCCTTCACATCAAAAAGGAGGACACTTTGCATACAGGGGGACATGCAAGCAGATATTTGTTTGGTATCATCCGGTTTTAAATTGTAATGTTTTTCCACCAGATTACATAAAGGTGTATAATGCTTAATGCCTAAAGAGTAATAAACACACTGCTGAGGTTGGCTGAAAAGTATTTTGCTCTAAGAGCTGGAAACAAGTTTAGTTAAAACTCAGGCATGTGACTTTTGTTACACTTCAGCTGTGGCAGATCTGCAAATGCGTGTAGAGATTTGTGTGTCTCAGTAGCTATTAGGGTGGCCATTCGTCCGGCTTTAGGCCGGACAGTCCGGCTTTTAAATGCCCTGTCGCTGTGCCTGCAGCCGGACACTCATTTGTCCTCCTTTTGACAAAATAACTAAAAAGGTCGCCTTTTGTCAAATTACCTTGTTAGTTTAATACTTATTGGCTAAAAATGTGTGTCAAAATAAGTAATTTCATTGGTTATATTTTCGTGTGGTGACC